CCGAACCGAACCGAACCGAACCGAACCGAACCGAACCGAACCGAACCGAACCGAACCGAACCGAACCGAACCGAACCGAACCGAACCGAACCGAACCGAACCGAACCGAACCGAACCGAACCGAACCGAACCGAACCGAACCGAACCGAACCGAACCGAACCGAACCGAACCGAACCGAACCGAACCGAACCGAACCGAACCGAACCGAACCGAACCGAACCGAACCGAACCGAACCGAACCGAACCGAACCGAACCGAACCGAACCGAACCGAACCGAACCGAACCGAACCGAACCGAACCGAACCGAACCGAACCGAACCGAACCGAACCGAACCGAACCGAACCGAACCGAACCGAACCGAACCGAACCGAACCGAACCGAACCGAACCGAACCGAACCCGAACCGAACCGAACCGAACCGAACCGAACCGAACCGAACCGAACCGAACCGAACCGAACCGAACCGAACCGAACCGAACCGAACCGAACCGAACCGAACCGAACCGAACCGAACCGAACCGAACCGAACCGAACCGAACCGAACCGAACCGAACCGAACCGAACCGAACCGAACCGAACCGAACCGAACCGAACCGAACCGAACCGAACCGAACCGAACCGAACCGAACCGAACCGAACCGAACCGAACCGAACCGAACCGAACCGAACCGAACCGAACCGAACCGAACCGAACCGAACCGAACCGAACCGAACCGAACCGAACCGAACCGAACCGAACCGAACCGAACCGAACCGAACCGAACCGAACCGAACCGAACCGAACCGAACCGAACCGAACCGAACCGAACCGAACCGAACCGAACCGAACCGAACCGAACCGAACCGAACCGAACCGAACCGAACCGAACCGAACCGAACCGAACCGAACCGAACCGAACCGAACCGAACCGAACCGAACCGAACCGAACCGAACCGAACCGAACCGAACCGAACCGAACCGAACCGAACCGAACCGAACCGAACCGAACCGAACCGAACCGAACCGAACCGAACCGAACCGAACCGAACCGAACCGAACCGAACCGAACCGAACCGAACCGAACCGAACCGAACCGAACCGAACCGAACCGAACCGAACCGAACCGAACCGAACCGAACCGAACCGAACCGAACCGAACCGAACCGAACCGAACCGAACCGAACCGAACCGAACCGAACCGAACCGAACCGAACCGAACCGAACCGAACCGAACCGAACCGAACCGAACCGAACCGAACCGAACCGAACCGAACCGAACCGAACCGAACCGAACCGAACCGAACCGAACCGAACCGAACCGAACCGAACCGAACCGAACCGAACCGAACCGAACCGAACCGAATCGAATATTCCGATTGAGTCAGAGGAAATTATAGCGACTTGTAATCTTTCTGTAGCGACATCTCGTGGCCGTTGGTGACTCCATTACTTTATATTCGACGTCTTGTGGCCAATAGTGGTATTATAGTGCTACTATTACTTTCAGGGGCGACGTCTTGTGGTCAGCGGTAGCACTAATTGCCATTATGTGACAGGACGGTGTCATGCTTAAAATATTGAATATATTGAATTATATTCAATATTCTGAATACTACCATATTCACTTTAATATTACCGATTCGGCCATATCGGAACGGAACGGAACGGAACGGAATGGAACGGAACGGAACGGAACGGGACGGGACATTTTTATTCCGTCAATGTCAGCAACTTTCTTTAGCCTTTTGAATATAATATTGAGCTTACGAATCTGGAAACATAAAGATTTAATTTGATTTTTTCCAGTTCAATGTGTGATCAATTACTACTCCGAGGTATCTTGTTGTAGGCACTCTTGCGATGTTCAGTGGTAAAATGTTTTAAATATTTTGTAAACAGCTTAGGGAGTCCGAAATAATGAGAGTTTTATTTAGTTTATCTGCTTCTACATAGGATACTGCTTCCATAATAGCTATGGATTAACCAGTAAATGTTGAGGATGAAGGTGAACAATTGAAGTTGAGGACAACGGTATACTTTGGAATCCATACAGTGGCTCAAACATGATCTGATTTTTCAGTTATTGAAGCATCTATAAACATCAGGAGCCAGTCGTGCCATGTTTCCGCAACAATAGCATTAAACTTTTGATTAACAGAAGGCGAATGTTTTACTAATCCAAAATCTAGAATTACAGGACGATAAATTAGAGAATCATAATCAAATTCGAGAAGAGGGTTACGGCCTTTTTTTTTAACAAGTGAGATAGGGTTTTTGTACTTGGTAAAGCTCTTAATAATGGGCGGGTGTTCTTTATGCGTCCAGTAACTTGATTGGTTTATTTGTTCTGAGAGAGACTCTAAGATAGGAAGGAGAGGATGGGAGTTATATTGGGCAATATTGAGGTAAAAAAAAAAAAAAATGAAAAAAAAAAAAAAAAAAAAAAAAAAAAAAAAAAAAAAAAAAAAAGGGATTTTAGGATATTAATACTACTTTCGCATTTATTTAGTACGTTGCTTAAATGATGCAGGCCTGTTAATTTTGAGTCCAGGATAACACCCAAAAAATTTAACTTTATCTTGTATTGAGATAGGTTCGTTATTTAGAGAGAGTTCAATAACGGGCATTTGTCTCTTATGCTTAAAGACGGCCGCTGAGCACTTTGGTATAGAAAGTGTTAGCCCATGATCATCTAACCACTGATTGAGGTAATATAACGCGGAATTTAGGCGGGAGGAGGAGTCAGAAAATGAATCTGAGTCGATATACATAGCAATGTCATATTGTAGGATTGTAAGATTTGGAGAAGCAAGTAACGAAGGATTCAAGGTCAGATGTATAGATGCTATATAGAAGGGGACTAAGGACAGAGCCCTATGGGAGACCTTTCCAGACCAGTATTAAAGGAAAAAGAGAGCCATGAACACGCAAGGAAATCGATCTAGCCATTAAGAGATTATATATGATAGTAGTCAGTCTCACAGGAATACTCAGATTTTGCAGCCTTTGCCTGAGTATTGGAAGCTGGACATTGTCATATGTAGATGAGATATCAAAGAAAATTCCTATGAGGTGTTCATTGCGAGAGAAAGCAAGCCGTATTTCCGAAATAAGGACACTAAGACTATCTGTAGTACCTATGCCAGGTCTAAATCCAAATAGGTATTTGGATAATAAATCTTTACTTTCTAAAATCCATCCGAGTCTATGTTTAATGAGAATTTCTATCTGTAAGAACATGGATCGTTAGGATCTTTTTGGGGTTTTAAGATGGGAACTATAATTTAGGATTGTAGGAGCTTTTGGGTAATTTTTTAAGAAGGAAGAGTGAAGGAGCTGCAGTAATTGTTAAACGTTGTTCGGTAATGCATCTGAGAATTTTGATATAATGTTAATGAGGGTACAAACAAGAAGTTCCACAAGATTGTCATTTGGGGTAGGGAGAGGATTTGTTTCCTCATATTTTTGTTGGCCTATAACAGCACAACCATTAGGTTGAGAGGATTTGGGTGTCTGAGTAATATTATTATGTGTAGATATGTCATATGATTTACCCATGGAGAGGCGAGGTCGGGGAGTTATAAGGACTGTTTCACGATATGACTTTTGGGGTGATGAGGATGGGGATGATATAACTGAGAATGGATAGTTTAGAGGATGAGAGGTTTGAGGTTGATGTAAGGTTTGTTGAGTCGATGTTACATCAGCATATGACCGCTTTACAGATGGAAATCAGACAATTGCCTCCATGTGGCTTATATTTTCTTCAGACATTACAATTTTTATACTTTTTTGTCTTGCATGTTCGGGACATACCGGCTTTGTAGCTGCATGGTTATTACTGTCACAGAGTATGCAATGTGGTTGTTCCTTACTTTTATCACATGCATCACCTGCATGTTGAGCACCACAGTAATAACATCTAGGTTTAGATCGACACTGAGTGCGAATATGGCCGAACCTACAGCAATTTCTGCATTAGATAGGAGATAACCTATACAGCAGAACCGTGAAAGAGATATCAAAAAAATAAACTTTTTCTGGAACAACCTGCCCTTCAAAAGTCAATACAACTAAAGATGAGGGGATCCAAGTGACTGAGTTGTCCGGTTTATGAGATTTGACATTTAATGGTCTAGCTCTTATCGCTTGTCCACAATTAAGAGGAGTATCGATATTTTTGACCAGTTCCTCAAGGAACCAGTCATTAGGAATATTACGAACAACCCCCATTCGGGAGATTTGGAATTTTGGGATGCTAGCAGAGTATTCATTATCTGTGAGGAGTGGATTTTCAACAAAATTGTTGGCTTCAAAATTATTTTTAAATTCAACAGATATCCTATTACGACCTAGTGCTTTGATACCTCCCTTCCTGATTCCTGTGATTTTATTTTTGTGTAAGAACTGCGCAAATCTTAATAGTTTTATAGATAATCCAGTTGAAACATCCGGTTCTATTCTTGTTACATGTACGGAATAAGGAGCTGCATCCTGAAGATTATACTTTGCTTTTGAGTCACTCTCAAAACCTGGTCTGGTATAAACAGATAGTATTGATTCTGAGGGTTGATTAATTTTTTCCCCATCCTTGTTGTCAAGATCAAAAGACGCTCGTCTCTTCTTTGTATTACCTACCAGGGATTGATAGAGTTCCAAGCCATCATCGATAGGTTCTATAGGTATACCTCCTATATCGGGAGGATCCTCATCACCGCTCACCTCCATTATTACGGAGGTGGAGTGAATATACACATAAGAAACTACTTAGCACACACCACTAAGAATATAGGACAAACACAGGACAAAATGAAATAAATATAAGAATTCTCAACACAATATAACACTAAATAAGAAAGTTTCCAACACAAAAACGTGTATTCACTAACACCTTCAAGTGACAGTCTCCCGATTTTAGGCTACTTGGGGGTCCATTTTTTGACGAATTCCGATCCATTTTATTTGGCAACACTGATCATGCAGCCCTGATTATCTGTCAATGTCAGTTTACAGATGGTATCACTTTTTATATACTTTTTGGCAGATGCCATTTGTTATTTTGTTTACATTGCGAAATTTTCATAACAGATTATTTTAAAATACTGTAATAAAAAAATAGATATCTGGACATTTACACTTATAATAAAAAAAAAAAAAATTTAATACATAATAATGTCTATCGAAATAGAATCAGCTGAGTAAGTCCATTACCAACAATTACTTTTTCTTTCATTGTTTATGTTGAAGAAATTAACTTTCCGTTTATTACTTACAGTGTGATTCGTTTAATACAACAATACCTGAAAGAATCAAATCTCACAAAGACGTTGCAGACCTTACAAGTAAGTTTAAATACTGAAATTATTTGGAATTATAGGTTAGAAACTGTCACTAATGCCGCTACCTAAGTATGATGATACAATCCATCTGTGAATTTGTTGGCATGAATTATAATAATAATCTTTATTAATTTATCCTTTACATAGTTTAAAAACATGGGCTAGAGTCTCCTTTTAAGTATAATTAAATACCTATGTTAGGAAACTGCACTCTGCCAGAGTTCCTCATCAACACCAATGTATGTACATAAACAATTTTTATTTTATTCTTAATGATTTTACATTAATATTCATAATAGTCATTTTAAATAGATAAAACATGCAAAATAAAAAAAATGTATTGTATCTTTTTTTATTAAAGATTAAAATAATTAACACATGCAAAATTTATTTATCAATGTATACAAAAATATTTATTTATATATTATAGCATTTTACACATGCAAAGCACATTTCTATTTTCAACATAGTTATGAAAGGTCTTTTACCTTAAAGAATATGATTGTGAAGTGTACAGTTGTAATTTATTCTTCTATCATTGTATTTTCCAATTTCATTATTATATAATTCACTAGTTCTTATAATATTGGGTGGCAGGGCTTGTTAGTAATGGTTCTAACAGTCCCAATAGATATACTTGCAGTAGACATTCACCATATGATTGGATGAATGAATCAATATTTGCAAGACATGGTTATACAGATATTAAAATAGGTGTAAGTCCACATATTTCACCATAATTGGGCATGCACTATTTAAAATACATAAATATTGATTGAATTAAGTTTTAAGATTAAATATTATTTATTTGTAAAACATGCATATAAATACATGCAGATGTTAACGATACAATGTCGTTTGACATGTTACGCCTGTACAGCATACAAACATATGTAGTTACACAGACAGTTTAAATTATACATACAAGTCCAGTTCATACAATTAATCATTATCATTTTCTGATTTGAATTACATTTAAATAATGTTAACAATTCTTATACAAAAAAAAAAAAAAAATTGTCAAATACAATTTCATGTTAATATAATAAATATACTTCATTTAATATTATATTATAGGAGCATATAAATATGTGTTTGCAGGTCTGATTATATAATTATTTTAATAGTTATTTTACTTTTAATTTCATAAATTCATTAATTGAATTGAAGCAATGGTCTAGAAGCCATTTTTGTAATTGGTATTAAAGTTTTTCAAGGCACTTTCTCCCATGCACAACTATGAAGGTGAAAATGAAGTAATATTAATTAATAATTGCTCAACCAATTATAATGAAATTGTCTAGATATGTATCGTTTGCTCGAGACAGATTGGACCTGGTATGGGACATAACAACATTAACTAGTATTAATATAAGAATGCTGCATGCTACATATTAACGAATAATAAAACAGTAATTCCACACTATACGAGTATAACATTATTATTGTACAGCGGATGATGTGTACATCTCTGACCAGTGTGCATATATTACCATGTGTATGTTGAGTGTTGTATTATAACAAACTATATGTAACACTGTTGATGTACCAATAAATAAATAAATTGTTGTTCTATTTGTTAATATGTAGCTAAAGTACATTATAAGTCGAATCCAGTTTATGAATACATTTTAGAGTAAGAGAGCTGTCACAATGGAATTTTAGAATAAGATGCTACAACTTATATATCCTATATGACGTGTGACTGTGTGGCCCCGGCCTATGTGTGTGTGTGCAGCAGTAGATAGTGAACGGCCGATATAACGTTTGACCCAGGAGGAGACGGGGGTGTCTCTAAACACGGTGGACAGCGTGGACGGCTTCTGCGCGGACATCAACAATGGCCACTGGGACACGGTGCTAAAGGCGACGGCGTCGTTGAAGCTGCCCGACAAGAAGCTGATGGACCTGTACGAGCAGGTGGTGCTGGAGCTGATCGAGCTGCGCGAGCTGGGCGCCGCGCGCTCGCTGCTGCGCCAGACGCACCCCTGCCTGCTCATGAAGCAGCAGGAGACCGACCGCTACATACACCTCGGTCAGCACACTACCTGATCGCACGTCCTTGCACGAGGCGCCCTCACACGCCGCTTCTATTTTATCGTAGCACGACATAATATCTTGCAATAAAGTTAAATAGTCAAAATAAAGTTTGAATACATTTTGTGCTCCATGTTAGACCACGTTATCGCTTACCATCAGACGAGATGTGATCAATTGCGGGACCCATTAATAGTAAAAAAAAAAAAAAAAAAAAAAAATAAGTTCATAGTCATTTTAGTTTAATAAATCAGTTGTGGTGGTCGCCGCGTATGGATACAACGTATTACGTATACGTCCACAGAGAACCTGGTGGCGCGGTCGTACTTCGACCCGCGCGAGGCGTACGGCGGCGGCGGCGGCGGCGGCGGGGGCGGCGGCAAGGAACGGCGGCGCGCCGCCATAGCGGCCGCGCTGGCCGGCGAGGTGTCGGTGGTGCCCAGTTCTCGCCTGCTCGCGCTGCTGGGCCAGGCGCTCAAGTGGCAGCAGCACCAGGGCCTGCTGCCACCTGGTGCGCCTCATCCTCCCTTACACACATACACATACTCGAATTCGTATTAAATCGTTTGCAAACTTCTAACAATATCAGGAACGCGACGAACTTATAAAAAAAAACCCAATGTGTTTTTCAACTAAAATATGTGACGCAGGTTTCCAATGGTTTTTGTTCTCCATTAACCTTTTTGTGTCTATCGAATTTTTTTTTCCAAGCTTGAAATGGCAAATAAGCGTAATAATTCATGCATTGGCTATTGCTGAGAGCAAAATGGTTAGTTATGCCTTCGAATCTATTATTGTAACCACAATCATGCAAACACGACTGTGTTGCAACAATAAAGTACGTATTATATACAATCGACTCCATACAAAGTCCCCGCTTGCTAGTCTCCCTTTCCTGACCGGTTTCACTGACCCGAGCTCTAGACCGGTTGGCATTCTTGCTAAATGTCCATTTTACCACCTCAGGAACTACGATCGATCTGTTCCGCGGTAAGGCGGCTATAAGGGACGAGGAAGACGACCAGTGCCCCACGCAACTATCTAAAATAATCAAGTTCGGCCAGAAGTCGCACGTGGAGTGTGCCAGGTGAATGGACAGTGTACATGTTCTAGTGTAATTATTTGTTAATCTACTCAAGAAATATTTATTTATTCTTTATTGCACAATAAATTATATATAATCTAATTAATTTAATTTTGGCTATTTAAAAATTGTACACTGCTGTATCCGCTGACATTGATGCTCCTTTCCACTTTGGGTGTTGCTGGAAGAAAACTCTATCAGAGTTAAACTCGCCTTTGTACTTTTGTTTACCTCTGTCATATTTTTATAACTAATGTGTACAATAAAGTATTAAAATAAAAAATAAAACTTTGTACAAATGGTGAGCTTAATGTCATATGGCATTCTCTACCAGCTGACTATTAAATATTATGGATCGTTTAATATAATTTCTACTGGATCACCATTTCACATGCGCTACATTGATCACAAATTGACACAGCATTTGTGAATCCAAACAATTTTTATCCATATTCGTGATCCTAAATACCGTGACAGTTTCAAATAAGTATACTATTTTGTATAGATTCTCGCCGGACGGTCAATATTTGGTGACGGGGTCCGTGGACGGGCTGGTGGAGGTGTGGAACTTCACCACAGGCAAGATCCGCAAGGACCTGCGCTACCAGGCGCACGAGGAGTACATGAGCATGGAGGAGGCGGTGCTGAGCCTCGCCTTCGGCCGCGACAGCGACACGCTCGCCGCCGGCTCCAACGACGGCAAGATCAAGGTGCGCCGCACACCCGCCCACGCAACACTAATGCCATACCTTACTCAGTATTTCAGTCACCACGATCATATTAGCGCGAGACCAACACCGGAATATGATAATCAGAACTAGCCCTCGGTGATGGTAACATGCACAAATACTACTGTCAATTTCAGAATTGTCCTTTTGAAATTTGTTTTTCCGTTTTCGTTTTTAAGTACAAAAGTGCCTCTGTACATATAATTGTACTGCCATATTCTGAAATCGTCATGCACAGGTTCTTAACGAAAAAAAAGACATAGATAAGGCATCCAGTGAAACTTGTTAATACATAGTGTACGTGTGTGTGTGTTGCGGCAGGTGTGGAAGGTGTCGTCGGGGCAGGTGCTGCGCAAGCTGGATCGCGCGCACTCGAAGGGCGTCACGTGTCTGCAGTTCACGCGCGACAACTCGCAGATACTGTCCGCCTCCTTCGACCGCACCATCAGGTACAGTCGGCGTACGCCGTACGCGGCAGCGTGACACATCTTATCTCTCAAACGAATACGGCATTCGGACGAGGTACTAAAGCGAGCGGTGACGCGTCGGCAGGATCCACGGACTCAAGTCGGGCAAGATCCTGAAGGAGTTCCGCGGGCACACGTCGTTCGTGAACGAGGCGGTGTTCACGCCGGACGGGCACTCGGTGCTGAGCGGCTCGTCGGACGGCAGCGTGAAGGTGTGGGCGGTGCGCAGCGGCGAGTGCACGGCCACGCTGAAGCCGCTCGGCAGCGGCGAGCCGGCCGTCAACTCGCTGCTGCTCACGCCCAAGAACCCGGACCACTTCGTGGTGTGCAACCGCACCAACACGGTGGTGATCATGAACATGCAGGGCCAGATCGTGCGCTCGCTGTCGTCGGGGCGGCGCGAGGCGGAGGGCGGCGCGCTGGTGGCGGCGGCGCTGGGCGCCCGCGGCCGCCTCGTCTACTGCGCCGGCGAGGACCTCGTGCTGTACGCCTTCTGCGCCGCCACCGGCAAGCTCGAGCGCACCATCAACGTGAGTCTCCGCGCCTCCACGCACTGCACGCACGCCACGCACTTCTTACACTCCACGCACGCCACGCACTCCACGCACTCCACGCACTGCACGCACGCCACGCACTCCTTACACTCCACGCACGCCACGCACTCCACGCACTCCACGCACTGCACGCACGCCACGCACTCCTTACACTCCACGCACGCCACGCACTCCACGCACTCCACGCACTGCACGCACGCCACGCACTCCTTACACTCCACGCACGCCACGCACTCCACGCACTCCACGCACTGCACGCACGCCACGCACTCCTTACACTCCACGCACGCCACGCACTCCACGCACTCCACGCACTGCACGCACGCCACGCACTCCTTACACTCCACGCACGCCACGCACTCCACGCACTCCACGCACTGCACGCACGCCACGCACTCCTTACACTCCACGCACGCCACGCACTCCACGCACTCCACGCACTGCACGCACGCCACGCACTCCTTACACTCCACGCACGCCACGCACTCCACGCACTCCACGCACTGCACGCACGCCACGCACTCCTTACACTCCACGCACGCCACGCACTCCACGCACTCCACGCTCTGCACGCACGCCACGCACTCCTTACACTCCACGCACGCCACGCACTCCACGCACTGCACGCACGCCACGCACTCCTTACACTCCACGCACGCCACGCACTCCACGCACTCCACGCACTGCACGCACGCCACGCACTCCTTACACTCCACGCACGCCACGCACTCCACGCACTCCACGCACTCCACGCCACGCACTCACTTACTCCACGCACTGCACGCACCACGCACGCCACGCACTCCACGCACTGCACGCACGCCACGCACTCCTTACACTCCACGCACGCCACGCACTCCACGCACTCCACGCACTCCACGCACTCCACGCACTCCTTACACTCCACGCACGCCACGCACTCCACGCACTCCACGCACTGCACGCACGCCACGCACTCCTTACACTCCACGCACGCCACGCACTCCACGCACTCCACGCACTGCACGCACGCCACGCACTCCTTACACTCCACGCACGCCACGCACTCCACGCACTCCACGCACTCCACGCACTCCACGCACTCCACGCACGCCACGCACTCCACGCACTCCACGCACTGCACGCACGCCACGCACTCCTTACACTCCACGCACGCCACGCACTCCACGCACTCCACTCCACGCACTGAACGCACGCCACGCACTCCACGCACTCCACGCACGCCACGCACGCCACGCACTCCACGCACTGCACGCACGCCACGCACTCCTTACACTCCACGCACGCCACGCACTCCACGCACTCCACGCACTCCACGCACTGCACGCACGCCACGCACTCCTTACACTCCACGCACGCCACGCACTCCACGCACTCCACGCACTGCACGCACGCCACGCACTCCTTACACTCCACGCACGCCACGCACTCCACGCACTCCACGCACTGCACGCACGCCACGCACTCCTTACACTCCACGCACGCCACGCACTCCACGCACTGCACGCACGCCACGCACTCCTTACACTGCACGCACGCCACGCACTCCACGCACTCCACGCACTGCACGCACGCCACGCACTCCTTACACTCCACGCACGCCACGCACTCCACGCACTCCACGCACTGCACGCACGCCACGCACTCCTTACACTCCACGCACGCCACGCACTCCACGCACTCCACGCACTGCACGCACGCCACGCACTCCTTACACTCCACGCACGCCACGCACTCCACGCACTCCACGCACTGCACGCACGCCACGCACTCCTTACACTCCACGCACGCCACGCACTCCACGCACTCCACGCACTGCACGCACGCCACGCACTCCTTACACTCCACGCACTCCACGCACTGCACGCACGCCACGCACTCCTTACACTCCACGCACTCCACGCACTGCACGCACGCCACGCACTCCTTACACTCCACGCACGCCACGCACTCCACGCACTCCACACACTCCACGCAACATCGGTTCAGACGACTCGAAAATATCGCTTAATAGTAATAAGCTATTATTAATTAGTCAATAAGAATGGGCAATCGATCAATTCCCTGGCTAAACTCATCAATAATATCGCATCGGGCACTCTCCTGCTGAACACAGGTGTAAGCGTTAACATATACCAATAACATCTATTAAGTGTATAGACATACATACATACATATCCGTCATGCCTGTCTCCCATTAGGGTAGGCAGAAACAATGGAACGCCAAATGCTTCGATTCAAACAAACCTCTTAAGTGTATATTTCGTATGAGAAATGCAATAAAGGTCCATTTTATCTCATGTATGGAACTCCGGCGTGTGAGTTTAACTCTCACCTGACAGAGTTTTTTTTTCAGTAGGTTGACAATAATAAAACGATTTTTTTTTTTTTAATAATTTATTTACACTTTTTCTATGTACATTAATATTATAAAAATATAATTATCAGCCCACATGGGGTTAATACACTAATCAATAAATTCGCTTACATATTTTGACAACTTTAGAATATAACGTATTCAGATATAGATATGTAACTTTATAGTATAAAAATAACCGAAATACATGCTTTAGTTATATTTGTATGTAGCAATGTAAGTAAATATGTATGAGTGACATGTTGTTGTATGCGGCCAGATCCACGAGAAGGCAGTGATCGGGCTGACGCACCACCCGCACCAGAACCTGCTGGCCACGTACAGCGAGGACGGCCTGCTCAAGCTGTGGAAGCCGTAAGCGGATCGTCCGGCGCCACCGCCGCCACCGCCGCCGCCGCTGCTACCCCGCCCCTCTCCCCCCATATGTGCAGTGTATAGTGGTGTAATATATCTAGTTATACAAAACATGCATATAGGGATAGTGCGCAGTCTCGGCAATATTATTAATTAGACATAAGCACACGCGTGGAAATATTGTAAGATTATTGTCAATAATAGTAATTAGCACTTGAATAATTTGTTTTATTGAGAACCCCTGAAATACTTATAGAATGACGCGTGCGACACAGGCGACGGTTACTAGTCAACTTGTAAACGGAACTTACAATAATTATCATTGAAATCACATATAACAATACTCGAGAGCTGTCCTCCTGTCTCACTGTGTTGCATTCGCTGGAAGAGATCATAGAGATAAGTTTACGTTCGCTCGCGTTATTTCCAACAATTCATATCATGACTGTAATAAACAATATTTTAAAATACAAAACTACTACAATACAACGAGTGTCGTTGTACATCACCCGTTTATTGTTACAAACCTCGTTAAATACAATGACATGTCCGCCGTGAGGTGTGCTTTTAATGATTACGTGACAGTAAATTCCGTTTAGTTTTGATATGCTTTTCATGTTGCATAATTTCTTCAATAGCACATGTGTAATCATCGTGGCCCATCAACCTGCCACTGCTGAGGCGCCCCGCCGTACTGTAGCTATATGAAAATTTACATTTTACCTTACTTATTTTAAACTAATGAAGAAAATGAGACAACATATAAATTTTTCAACATTAAAAAAAAATCCTGCTGTCTTGTCTCATTCACTTTTATATATTGAAATTCTTTAACCTACATTTTTTAATTTTCCATATGATTTTTTTTTATTTTCACACATTTTTTTTTATATAGGTATAAACCTTATCCTGACAATTACAAACAACAATAAAATTATAGCCAAATATGTACGGGCGTTCTGAAGTAGCGCTCAACTATACAGACAGACTATTATGCGTTATTTATTAATTTCCGGTTCTATACATCTCAAGGACAATGAAAGATTAAAAATAAATAATTCAAAGTGCATCACGCAACAGAGCGCGCACTCACAACCTTTCTAATACAACGTACTGCTATTGCTTTGCATTTGTTGTTATGCAATCTTTCGTACTGCACTACACAGGGACGACTACTGCGCCTAACAGAGCTTACATTTGGAACACAATCTATTGTATAACGTGAGGATCTGCCAAGATGTTGAGGTTTCAACATTAACGGGAAACACGCACGACACCACGCGAGCAAAGGAGGAGAGATTGTTAGCAATTGAACTTAATAACCCCATTGCTAGCAATATAGCCTATCAGGTCGACATCTCGACGCTGTTCCCTGCATCGTGATTGATTTATTGTTGCATTTTGTCACGATGGGATTATTGACCTGCTTCACCCTCACTGGTGCCCCGCCGGTGTATACCGTTAGCGCGGGCATTCACCACCATTTCATTATCATCTATTAAAAAAAAAGAACAACGCGGGCAACAGCCAGTTTATATAATACATTATTATTATATTGTTATAAAGAGGAAAGATTACATTTTAGTATGTTTGTATGTAATGCATAAACAGAAACTACTCAAATGATTATTCATTTTTTTTTTTTTTTTTACTTATAGAAAAGTACATTATCAGCTAAAAACAAGTTATATATTGTTTAAAAACGGACCCTGCCAAAATTACAACAATGTAAGGCAAAATATTGCCTATTAAACTAAAATTATATTAAGCTAAAGTGTCCTTTCATGGTCCCCGTGCGAAGCCGGGACAGATCGCTAGTATAATATGAAACATATTCTATTTCATTTTGAAGCGGAGTTACTTTTTATCCACAGTATTGTGTGCAGTGAAAATACGTTATCTCTTTGTATTTTTTGATAATTGTATGACGAGTCGAGTATTGGTCGAGGCCGCTTTCATGACGCCATTTCTCCGATCCTATCTCTTAACCTAATATTTTAATTTGATCACTACGCGAAATTACAGTTCTATGGACCGTCGGAAACTTAATTGTAATATTTTTTAATCGGTCGCTATAATACTGTAATTATTAAAGAGGTAAGTATGTCTACTAGTTACCTAGTACCTACGGGACGAGCTCTCGGCCTAATCGGTAGGTCCCTATCTTAAGAATTCCTCGATCGCTCTGCAGCGGCGGCACCGGCGGCAGCTAATCACTTTCAGGTGACATAAAACATGTCTATCTCGCTACGCTTGTAGTTTCACAAAATTTCCGTTATATCGTTAACAACAGAAGTTTAAAGAATGATACAAAACATGTTGAAAGCGTGTATTTGCAGCGAGCGCGGTGTAGGCTAGTTGCTAGTGTGACGGGGAGGACAGTGCCGGGCGCACGAGCGGCAGGCCGCGCAGCGCCGGGTGCGCGAGCGCGGCGCGCGCGGCCAGGCGGCGGCTGGGCTCGTAGCGCAGCATGCCCTCGAACAGCGCGCCGGCCGGCGAGCCGCGCACGCCGGCCGGCAGCAGCGCGCGCGCCGGCCGCGCCGGCCAGCGCGGGAACGCCGCGCGGAAGTCGGGCAGGCGCCGCGCCGCCGGCCACACGCCGCCGCCCGGCGTGCCCAGCGCGCGGAACACGCGGAACAGCTGGTCGATCTCGCTGTCGCCCGGGAACAGCGTGCGCCCGCTCGCCTGTAAACCACACTACGCTGCACTACAACACGACCTCGCTGTCGCCCGGGGGGCCGGTAGCCCCGGTGCTAGCAATTGACCCGCTCAGGTCGACCTCCACGCGGTTCCCCCTGGAAACCATTCTGGTTAATTCTTATCGAGTTCATCCCGGTGGACCACCTGACCCGCACTCATTCTCACCTATCATCTTCCCCTGGCGCCTCGTCGGTGTATCCCGATAGCGCGGGTGGGGTTTCCGTTCCATTTTCATCTATTAAAAAAAAACCTCGTTCCTGCCGGGTGAGCCACGGTTGCTAAAAACATTATTATTAGAGCAACCACAGCCCGGTTCCATGGAGAGGTGAACACGCTCCGTGAATAGTCTTACTGTTTGTAACGGATGCAAATGTATTTATTATAATACATTTTAAAAAAGTATTTCCATCCAACCAGCGCGAGCGAGCAAAATATCTTTATAAAAAAGAAAAACTGAATGTATAAGTATATTGTAGCGAGTCAAAGTTCCATATTGCATTTCCGGAATCACCGTAATCAATATGAGTGACATAGTATGTCGCAGTCCACACGGGCTTGAACACACGACTACATATGGATACAGCAAAGACATCTATTTCGCTTCACAGACGACTTCGATACTGGCTCATCTCCGTGTACCTACGTAACACGTGAGTACGTACGAGTAGAGCCGGTGTGAAGTCATGTGCAATATGGGGTCGTACCATCTCTGCGAATATGCAGGCGAGGCTCCAGATATCGACGGCGGTGGAGTAGAACTTGGCGCCGAGCAGGATCTCGGGCGCGCGGTACCACAGCGTGACGACCTCGTGCGTGTACGCTCGCACGGGGATGGCGAAGGCGCGCGCCAGCCCGAAGTCGGCCAGCTTGATGTGGCCTTCCGCGTCCACCAGCAGGTTCTGCGGCTTCAGGTCGCGGTGCAGCACGCGCCGCCCGTGGCAGTACGCGATGCCCTCCAGCAGCTGCCGCAGGTAGCTCTGCGACAAACGACGCCGATACTTATTATACGCTCACCGCACCGCCAAGTACCAAAATTTAATATAATTTGTAAAAAAAAACTTTTTACACAAAATAAACTGGAAAAGAGATATAAAATAAGCCTCTGTCTTGAATCTTAATGATAGAGCGCCTAAATTATTATGAGTTGATGCGAGTGAGTGCAACTGCATTGTAGCCGACCTACACAAACACTCGCACACACCACCGCACGCACGAAAACTCGCGCGTGTTAGATATTTATTTTAAATTATATTAATTTTCTTAAACATCTTGTGTCAAAATGTGTACCTACATTTATTAATAGAAATCAAAGTAACTACTTTAACTATAATAAAGTATTAAAATTGTTATTATACCGAATTTGGTAATAAATTATTCTTGTAATGTATATAGAACACTAATTTATATTTTAATTGATTTTATAATTATTTATTATCGTGATAATTAAATTAAAAGTAATGAAATTGTAAGAACATGTGACTTGTTTACTCGACGAATTCGGCCGTGTGAATATAAAAGATTGTCATTTGGGTGGGGAGACACTGCTTGTCCAACCGACTTGAACAGAGCGGAGCTCCCTGTCGTATCAAGAGTGAACAAGTATAGTGAACCACGTGGTCATTATATAAAATATATCACAATTATTGTTGATGGAAGTCCTAAAGAAGCTATAGTTAAATAAGTGTGAATGGATTAGCAGAAGTTGGGTATTTATGTTATGTGTCCATTTTGTGTTACTGTGACACACGCACGAAACGAACAACTTTCTTACTTCTTTTATGTATTTTTTAGGTATCTGTACTGATTCTAACACAACTTATTTTATTCTGGACTAGCTGAGCCGGCGAACTTCGTTCCGCCTAACAACTAACTAAATTCTTTATTTTTTTAGTTTTTTTTTTTATTATGATACTTAATCTCATTTTATTTTTACTTATTCCAAATTAAGTTATATTTTTATTGACAATAGCTGTGGCATGCGCGTGAGCTGCGCGCGGTACTGGGCAGCACTTGGACATTCCAACATTACTTTATTTTTCTAAATTAAAAGATTTTTTCTAAAATAAAGGAAGCCTAAGTTACTCCTTATTACATCAGCTTTTTGCCAATAAACGTCCCGTCAAAATCGGTTCAGCCAATTTAGAGATTAGCCAGAACAAACAGACAGACAGACAAAAATTTAAAAATGTTATTTTGGTGTATGTACCGTATATATATACAACACATGAATACTACCATGGACACGATAGAGTGTCGCCCATGATACCACTCATGCGTTGCCATTCCTGAGGACTCAGGTGTTATGCCTTTATATACTGTAATTTCATTGCCCTTTAAATTAGAGCACAGCCATGCCAACACAACTGCTTCAAGGCGAACACACAAATGGGACAGCGATACCGAAACAGATTACTTTTGTACAAAGTCTCCCTCTGGTGAAAACTACTGTAATCTTTTGAAAAAGAAAGACAATAAAAAGTATGTGTATATCTCTCCTGTGCAGTAGTTCAACTGCCATATCTCATTTTTCAAATCGATAAGTTGCTATGCCGACATAACAGCTCGGTGGCAAAGGTATGTGTACGTATTAGAAGAGAGATGAGAGAACTCACCTTGGCGAGATCGAGGTTCAGGGGGCCCTTGGTGAGGTCCATGAGCCGCTTGAGATCCATGTGCAGAAATTCAAAGACTAGGTAGAGCTTGTTTTCGGTGAGCAGCACGTCGAGTAGCTGCACCACGGCCGGGTGCTGCAGCTCGCGCAACACCGAGATCTCGCGCAGCGCCGTCGACGGCACCCCCTCCGGCTCACTGCGCAAACAGTACAGGGGCATGCTCACACGACATGGACATAACATGTAGGTCGTGTTGAGCGTAGTCGGAGCCTGGACACACACATTGTACACTACATTGTTAACGCTACATTAAGTTAAAATTCTGCCCATGCTACAGATATAGATTATATTAAGATAGAAATTATTTTGCTTCTTCTATACGTCTATTTATTTTACCAGAGGAAGACTTTGTACAAAAGTCGTTTGCTTGGGTACCTCTGTCCCATTCGTGTTTCAACCGTAAAGCAGTTGTGTTTGCATGTCTGTGTTTCGGTTTGAAGGGTAGAATATGGCGTGAATTTACAGGATACAGAGGAATAACACCTGAGTTCTCAGGAATGGCAACGCAAGGGGGATATCATAGGCGAAACAGTATACTCTGTTATGTCCATAGTACTGCTCATGTCTATAGGCGACGGTTACCACTTTCCATCAGGTGGACCGTCAGCTTGTTTGCCATTCTAAGTTGCATAAAAAAAGAACTGACTCCCTGCAATGCATTTCAGGTCGTCACTCCATCTACTGGGGGGTCGTCCTACACTGCGTTAACCCGTACGCGGTCGCCATTCAACAACCATTCTTTCCTATCGGTTGTCGGTTCTTCGAGTTATGTGACTAGCCCATTGCCACTTCAACTTGCTTATCCTTCGGGCTATGTCGATTATTTTGGTTCTTACGATAATATCTTTTCGGATTCCATCACACAAAGAGAATCTGAGCTTAGACCTTTCCAGAGCCCGTTAAGCAACTTGAAGCTTTTACATACGGGCCATAGTGTAGGACCATGTTTCGGTTCCATAAGTCATCACTGGCAACACTCACTGATTAAAGACCTTTGTCTTCAAATTCTAAGATATTTTAGATGAAAATATGTGGCGTAGTTTTCCGAACGTTGCCCAGCCGAGTTGGATTCGTCGGTTGACCTCTCAATCGAAGTTGGACGTATCCATTCGGACAACTTGTCCCAGGTATACATACTCATCAACAATTTCGAGCGTAGTGTTCACAATCGTAACCGATATAGGTGTGACGAGGACGTTATACATGATTTTAGTCTTGTCCATGACCATCTTCAGACTTACCTGTCAAGAAACACCATTGAGGTCATAGAGTATTCAGATCCTCCAGGGATTCCGCCATAATTACTATGTCATCAGCAAATCGAAGGTGAGTGATGTATTCGTCATTGATGTTTATACCATATCTTTTCTAGTCCAAGAGTTTGGAAATATCTTTCATTGCAGCTATGAAAAGTTTTGGGGATATTACGTCACCCTGTCTTTCACCTTTCTGCACTGGAATGGGTTACGTACTCTGGTTCTGTACTCGGATAAACATGGTAGCCTTACTGTACATACACTTCAATACTTCGATATACCTATAGTCAATCTGGCACCACTGGAGGGACTGTAGTACCGCTCATGTCTTGACTGAATGAAAGGCCTTCTCATAGTCCACAAATGCTAGACACAGGGGCTGATTATACTCTTCGGTCTTCTGTATAATCTGCCGCACTGTGTGGATGTGGTCTATGGCGCTAAAGCCATTTCTGAAGCCAGCTTGTTCGGGTGACTTGAAGTTGTCGAGGTTACGCGTAAGACGATTGGTCAGGATACTCGAAAACAGTATGTAGACGCTATTCAGAAGGGATAATGGTCTATAGTTCTTCAATAGCATTTTGTCACTCTTCTTGAAGAACAGGACTACCGCACTTCTGCCCCACGCCTCTGAAGTAATACCGTTATAGATGATGAAATTAAATAGCTTCTAAAGGACTACATGTGCAGGTTTTCCACCCACTCTTAGAAACTCTGCTGTAATTCCGTTCTCTTTACGTGCCTTCCCGTTTTTAAACTGTTTGAGAGCCATTTCAATCTCTTGCAAACTGACGTCCGGGATATCGTCGGTATAGCGTCGGGTAACTTTAGCTCTTTGTTCGTTATTCGCATTAGTATACGGTGTTAACGACGATGTATATAGCAGTCCGTAGAACTAATCAAATCTCATCTCAATCAAAATCTCAGATGCAGCGGAAATTATACTTTAACTTTGACAGTCGGATTCGCCCAATAGCCAAATATCTGGCGAACACTTTGGAGCCTTGGTTCCGCTCTATTGCCTGTTCAATGCATATAGTATTGAATTGGCGTATGTCACGGCGTATATATTTGGAGATTTTCCTATTAAGCTGCCTATATTCTGACGCAGACGTTGAAAACTGAGACCTTAATTCACGCCGTTTCCTCATAAGATCTAGTGTGATCAGAGAGCTTTTGGGTTTTTTTTTTGAGCTTTGGGGCTTGCAAAATTTAGCTCCCACTGCTTGGGCCGTTTCTACTAGCTTATTGTTGTTATCGTCCGCTATTTCACAGTTTACCAGGCACTGTAAGCGATTTGACAATACAAGTTGAAAACTCTCGGAGTTTTCGATAAGGGCATACGAAGGTTGGAGCGTAGACTTCATCAAACGAAATTTTTCTAGCCTAATATTCAGGTTTAATGTGCCTTTTACCATTCGGTGATCACTTCCGGTTTTAAACCTGTTGGTCACTGAGACATCATTGAACAAATGGCGATTTGTCGTCATAATAAAGTCTATTTCATTCTTTGTATATCCGTCAGGGCTAGCCCAGGTCTATTTCCTGTGTGGAAACGGTGATACGCTTTTGAAAGGAGTTCATCATAAAGAGTCCTTCTTCTCCATGAAGTCGGCCAACTGCTGTCCCTTAAGTTTTCATTGCCCGATACCGTAGTTCTCCATTCTTGTCTCATCGTCTTTCCTTGCGCCCAGTTTAGAATTGAAGTCCCCCATCAATACTGTACATTGAGTGTTAGAGGAATATATGGCTCTTGTAATGTCCTACATACATTGCCTCCACCTCATCATCGGAGTGTGTCATGGTCGGCGCATATACCTGTATGACCTTCAGCGAATACCTTTTAGTATTTCTGAGTATCAGGTATACCACCCTTGCAGATACACTCTCGATCTTTATAACGTTGTTAATGAAGGACTTGCAGACAATGAACCCAACATCACCATGGGATGGATGGTCACAGATTCAAGGATTACCATATCCTCCCCCTGTCTTCAGACTTCAGATAATCCTATGATATCCCAGTGTAACTTGTTTACATCTTCTTCCAGCTTCACAATCTTTTCATTGGTCCTTAAGTATCGTGCATTATATTTTGCCAGATCCAATTGTTGGGATTAGTAATAGAATCTCTGCCAGAGATTCTCAGCACCCCTTGCTCTGCCGTTACCATGACAGCTACTGTGATCAGGAAAAATGGAGCCGCCGGGGACTGGGGACTGTTTCATTACAGTATTTACCATTGGGGAGTTTTGCCAGTAGTTGCCATGCTTGACAGGTGATTTGGCAACCGCAATTGGGTCTTTTGAGATATTTTACGAGGGACACTGCTGCCCATCCCTCGACTATAAGTTTTCTTAGTTACCTCTTACGACATCTACTGGAAAGGAAGGGGCGGCCCATTCTATACTGGGACCAACACGGCAATATTGACAATCCTTTAAACTGTAATTATATCAGATTTTATTTCTTAAAAGAAATTATTCCTTTGCTTTCATTAAACATAAAATACACAGAAATTCAAATGTATAGGTTAATCACAAACTGAGAAAAATAAAATATCTTGGGATACACTAACATCCCATATAATATTCTAAGATTAAAAATATCTTTGATGATAACTTCTTATCAACTAATTTCAAATTGAGGTTCTCAATTCAGTTTTTTTTATGTTTGTTACTATATAAACTTGTCATTTGTAAATCTATTTGGAAAATGGTTTTTTTATTCCAAAGGATATAATTTCAAATTGGTTCAATAGAAATATTACATATCAAAATCAATTTAGTGGTTCAAGTTTAAAAATCAACATAACTGATTTTACCACAAATGAAGTTGGTGTTTTTTTTATGAAATAAAATTTAATTATTTTACTGTTTATGCAATTATTGTTAAAATGTATAAAATAAACATCTCAAGTATTTTAAATACTTGTTTTTCATTCTTTCAAAACATCATAGTGTCACAATAAAATATATATTATTATCGTTTTAGATTATAAAATTATAAATTTAGTTCATAAATAGATGCCATCCATGTTCTACAAATACTTTTTTATCTTAATTTACAAGAATAATATCGAAATATATGGTTATAAATAAATAACAAACAAAATATCTGTTGTTATTTATTGTGAAAATTAAACGGCAAATTGTAGTATGAATGTACAGACGCAGTAAAGAATGGAAAGTAGTTGCAAGAGAACAATTACACTAACTTCTTGGTTAAGTGGCGTGAAGACCTGAATTTTTCAGAAGAGAATTGAGAAAAAGTAAAAAGGTCATAAAGTCTTTAAAACAATATTATAATATGATAAAATTGATAAGTATACGATTATTATGAATAAAAAAAACTAAATAAAAAACCTCGAAAGAAACGTCATTTTTCGCGCCAAAACTTACTTCTCGAGTTTAATTTTCTTTAATGCGATTTCTTGTCCTGTTGTCCGATCTTTTGCTTTATACACTACGCCATAGGTCCCTTCCCCAATTTTTTCTACGGTGGAATAATTATCCATTGATAATCATTGATTAAGCTTCCAATTTTAGAAAAATATTTTAAGAATTATTATAACAAGTTTCATTCTTGAGAATACTATAGTATTGCCAGATAAAATGAACCTATATTGGCCAAAAATTGGCTATGTAGCCTAAAGTCACCAAATTTTTTTACTGCTATAAAACTTATAATCGCCTAAATCTATTACAATCTATAACGGATTGTGCTCAGAAGAATTATTTAATATAATGCCAACGGCCACTTATTACCATCGTACGTCTTGCCATTGGCAGAGAGTTCTCACTACTCAGGTTATGTTATGAGCTCCCTACCGAGGTTTACCCAAAAGACTACAGCACTTTTCTTCTTATGCTAATATTATTAACAAATAGAGGACGTGAGATATGTATTATCATATTACTTCTTCCTCAATTTGTATTAGGGTAATTTTCAAATTAAAGAAGATATTGATTGATGCTGACGATTAAAGATTTCGGAATAGAATACATGAAATGCATAATTCACATAGTGTGTAGCTCGTTGTATTTATGACATGGACGATGCGTTAGAGAAAGATAGAGGGAGACTTTGTTCAAAAATCGTTTGCTTGGGTACCTCTGTCCCATTCGTGTTTCAATCGTAAAGCAGTTGTGTTTGTATGACTGTGTTTCGGTTTGAAGGGTGAGATCTGGCGTGAACTTATGCTCATGTCTATAGGCGACGGTTATCATTTTTCATCAAGTGGGCCGTCAGCTTGTTTGCCATTCTAAATTATATAAAAAAAAACATAAAAAAACGTATCAGTATTTTGAATAGTCAATAGAAGTCAAATTCATCTAGATATATCAATTTGATCTTATTGGCTGTATAACCCTTAAGAACAAGGAATTACATAGAAGGAATAATAAAATAAAAACTAAATCATATAGTTTTCTAGTTTTTTCTTATGCAAATATTATTAGTAAAAAGAGGACGAAAGATACACCATCATTGCTATTTTTCTCAATTCATAGCAGGCTAGTCTATAGAAAATGTTTGATATGTCAATTATTTGTTCATGACAAATTTTACATTACTAATTAATTCTAGGTTATTTTTTGCCGAATTCTTTACGATAGGCCGATTGACCTGCCTTCATCCTTACCTATTATCTATCACTGGTGCCTCACTAGGGTATACGATAGCGCAGGCGGGGTTACCATTCCATTTTCACCCGTTAAAAAAAAACGACAGTAACATAGCTTCATACAAAAACGTCATTGTTCCAACTTTCGTACGCTTCGTACTCTTTTTAATTTGTTTGGGATGACATTTATGTTGAGATATAATCATTCCAGACAAATTATCTTCTTGAAGACTAGGCAGCATGGTCTCCGACCTTAGCCTGTTCCAAACGGAACAAACGTACTAAAAAAAAAAAAAATGAGATATAATCTGTGTCTGTGGTTATATATGATTGTGTAACCGAACCATATTTTATCAGTGTATATTTCCAAAATAAACTATAGATTTATCGGATGGAATATAAATCCAGTGATAAATTGCCTATTTAATAAATTAATTTCAATCAAAACACTCAGTAAATAGGTACTGGTAATGGCTATAAATTTATGGCGACTGTCCAGCCTCCTGAAACAATCTAAATTTTTCGGCTCTTCTATCTCCATCTCACGGAATATCTCAACTACAACCCCTAGTATGGAAAAAGCTCTTGAAAATTTACAAAATAACCCTTATTATGATAAGTATGCTGAACGTATTGCAGCATTACAAAAAACTTCTCCAGAAGAGTTTTTACATAGAATAGAAGAACAGCAGAAAGCCAAGAAGGATGAAATGAAAAAGAAATTTGCTTCCGTTGATACTCGGTAAGTAGGTACATCTAAACTGCTCCTCAGAACAAGGTACTCACTGACCCGTTTGCGACATTTATCTTTTAAACAGCAACTACTAACAAGAGAGAATTGGGTGCTAACCTCTTCTATTCGGGGGGAAAGGGATTGTTAGTAATGGAGATTGGGAATCCCATTGCTAGCAATATACCCAGCCAGATTGACCTCTTCGCGGTTCTCCCTGGAAACTCATGGTTAATTCCTTGTGAATTCATCATGATGGGCTAACTGGCCTGTTTTCATTCTCATCCATCACCCTTCACTGGTGCTCTGCTAGCATATCCCGTTAGCGCAGGCGAAATTACCATTCCATTTTCACCCACCAAAAAAAAACCTTCTATTTGGGGAGGAAAGGGATTGTTAATAATGGGGTGTAATGGCCCCATTGTTAGCAGAGTACCCTATTAGGTCAACCTCCATGTAGTTCCCCCTGGAAACCAAGTGATTAAGTCTTGCTGAATTCATCACAATGGGCTAACTGACCTGCTTTTATCTTCACTTATCACTGGTGCCCTGAAATTACCATTCCATTTTCACCCACAAAAAAAAAACCTTCTATTTGGGGAGGAAAGGGATTGTTAATAATGGGGTGTAATGGCCCCATTGTTAGCAGAACATTAGGTCAACCTCCAGTGTATACAGATAGCACAGGTAGGGTTACCATTCCATTTCGCCCATAAAAAAAATCTATTAGGGAAAAGGTTTGTTAGTAATGGAAATGTAACAGCACCATTGTTAGCAATGTTCCCCCTGGAAATCATTGTGGTTGATTCTTATTGAATTCATCATGATGGGCTAACTGGCCTGCTTTCATTCTCATGCTTATCATCTCTCATTGGTGCACTGCCAATGTTTACTGATAGTGCAGGTAAGGTTGTCATTCCATTATCACCCATTAAAAAAAAAGCTTTTAATCAGGGGGGGGAGGGGGAAGGATTGTTAGTAATGCAGACTACCAATCCCATTGCTAGTGATATACCCTATCAGTTCGACCTCCACATAGTCCTGGAAACAATTGTGTTGAATTCCAGATATATTCCTCATGATGGGCTAACTGACCTCCATTTTCATTCTCGCCTATCATCTCTCACTGGTGCACCATCAGCATATACAGTTAGCGAAGGCAGGGTTACCTTTTCATTATCATCCATTAAAAAAAAATCTTACTTGCATTCTAATTCACATCTACTATAAATAGAAACTTATATAATCAGATAGTTAACTGTACAATTCTGTTTCAGTCAATATTCTTCTGTGTTGCAACCAAAACAAGCTCTTGAGTCAGACATTTCCAAAGAAGAGAAAAAACTCAGTGATATATTTAAAATAGATTTAGTGCAGGACAAAGAAGCTTCAGAAATACAAGATATTTGGGAGGCATATCACAAAAACAGAGAAGTAATATCAGCAACAGTCCCTAAGAACTCGTATGATGTCATACAAGCGAACATGAAAAAATACCCAACTTTTCTATTCCCTTTACCACGGTCACAAGGTTATGAGTTCATCATGAGCCAGAGCTATGGGAGCACAGTGCACTTCACACCACTGCTAGCATACCAGGTGAGTATGTGTGTACAACAAATCACAGTCATTGAACATTTAAGTGAACTTACAAATTTGTCTCTATCAGTCATTCTGAAATTTAACATACATACCTTTTGAAATAGAGTGGGACATAGACCTACTTTGGTCAGTGGATACCCTTAGGAATCATGCAGACAAAGTCACAAGTAAAACCTAGTATTTATAATAAAGTGCTATATTTAAAAAAAAAAAACAAGCTATCTGAAATTGTCTCCTTATAAAATGGAACATTGGAAGTCTCCTAAAGACCTGACCAAAGAGGCCACCATCACACAATGGGAAAGCCATCATTATGACAATTTATAAACCCATCACTTATTATTATAGCTGTCAGAAATCCCTCCAGCAAGAAAATATTTTAATTATTAATTACTTCTAATGATTTCATATATACATATATATGTATATTTTTTAATCAAAAAAGTTTTCTCTTACCCCTAGTATAATGTTATTTGTTCTCTTGCTAAAGATGGGTTCATATTTATTTTGACAAATTAATGTTACCATTCTACTCGCCTTACAGAGGAGGCTAATGTTCAGCAGTGGACAGTTACTGGCTGATATGATGATGATTACTAGTTTAATTTCATCATGTATCTACATTCCTGTAGCTACAAACACACTGAAACTACTGTGGTAGGTTCTGGCTCAGTATACTTATATAAACTCAAACCATATAATTTAAAAGACAAGACACAGATTTAGAATTTCTATTTTAATGCCAATTATTATTTTTCTTTAAGGTACATAAAGAGAATGCTCCTGAATGTTTGACCATGGTCCACTACACAGAATTAATTCAGAAAGGAATTGTACTTATGAGGGGTGAATATGACAAGGTCAGTATGAATACTACACTTATTGTATCTAATTAATTGAGCATCTATACATTAGGAGTATGGATATCACAGAATATACTGTGATATCCATGGTGCTCTTCATGTCTATAGGCGGCTGTTCCTGCTGTCCATCAGGGGGGCCGTCAGCTTGTTTGCCATTCTATTATATTAAAAAAGGTAAGTTTTTGACAATTCTCATTTTATATTGATGCAACCTATAACGTCTCCACAACTGAATTATAATTTACTAGCTGTTGCCCGCGACTTGGTCCGCGTTTTCGTTGTTTTTCGTAAAATAAGTAGCCTATGTCCTTCCTCACGGTTCAGTGGTTTTGATGTAATAGACACATTTCTCTTCACTGCTCTGCTCCTATTGATCGTAGCGTGATGAAAAGTATATAACCTGCCCAGGAGTATGAAGAATAATTGTACCAAGTTTCGTTAAAATCCGTCTAGTAGTTTTTGTTTCTATAACGAACATACAGACAGACAGACAAGAATTTTACTGATTGCATTTTTGGCATCAGTATCGATCACTAATCACCCGCTGATAGTTATTTTGGAAATATATTTCATGTACAGAATTGACCTCTCTACAGATTTATTATAAGAATAGATAACAACTTTTTTTTTTATCATACATATAGTCCATACTGGTACATATATAGTCACCAGAGAGAGACTTTGTACAAAAGTCGATTGCTTGGGTACCTCTGTCTCATTCGTGTTTCAACCGTGAAGCAGCTGTGTTTCGGTTTGAAGGGTGGGATATGGCGTGAATTTACTGGGTACAAAGGAATAACACCTGAGTCCTCAGGAATGGCAACGCATGGGGGGTATCATGGGCGAAACAGTATACTCTGTTATGTCCATGGTACTGCTCATGTCTATAGGCGACAGTTACCACTTTCCATCAGGTGGGCCGTCAGCTTGTTTGCCATTCTAAGTTGTATATATATATTACCCACCCTCAGTAGTGACAGCCTAATGGGTGGGGGACGGTTGACAACACCATGCCTCCTATCTGGACTGGATATTCTTAACAATTAAGTAACAGTATGTTTTAATTGTTTCAGAATGTGCTAACTGGTAAAGAAGCACAATGCTTAGCAAATCAGTTTCAAATGTATTACAGTGGTAACGACCAGAATAAGCTGAAACTCTTGGAAAATTTCACCAACAACCCTGATACATTCAAACACATGGACCTTATAGCACAGTTAGAAAATATAAGTTTATTTTAAACAGTATTCACTGCTTAAAAATGTAATTAATATATTATTGATTTCAAAATATAAATAAATTATGTTGTTATTACGTTTGTTGATACAAAAGTCCTTAATTAAATGCGATGTTATGATAAAACTAGAGGGGTTCCCTCAATATTATAATCTGGATGAGGGAGGAGCGGTTGTTAATAATTAATAGTTAATCCTAATTGCTAGCAATATATCCTTTCAAGTTAATGTCACTTCCATGCGATGCCCTCCCACCCCCTAGAAATCATCGCGATTTCTTGCTTACAGTAAGTGGGTTTAGAGGGATTGTTAACAATGAGGTTTCGGGAGCCTATTGCTAGCAATAGGGTCTTTTTTAAAGGATGACAATGGTATGGCAACCCCATCTGCGCTGACGGTATACACTGGCGGGGCACCAGTGAATAATGATAGATGAGGATGAAAAGGCAGGTCAATTAGCCCATCGTGATGAATTTACTTAGAATTGAACCCGATGATTTCCAGGGGGAACCGCCTTGCTCACCTAGTCCCCATTACTCACAACTCCTTCCCCCAACTAGCAATAGGGTCGTAAAATATTAGGTCGACCTCCACTTTGGTTTCTACTAGAAACCATCATGTTAATTCTCAGCGATTTCTACACGATGGATCAACTGACCTCTCCTCGTCCACATCTATCATCCCAAACTGATGGTGTATTTTTCTTCCTCTTTTTACTAATTATATTTGCATAAGAAGAAAGGAGGCAATCATAAGATTAACAGTTTTAATTTTATCATTCCTTCTATGTAATTACTTGTTCTTAGAATCACTACGTTATAATAAATATCTAAAAAAAGGTTCCAACAAAAGTCTCGTCTCCGTAAGGAATAGCAGGATCGGCTCCACAGTTTCGAGGTAATAATGAACTGCGATGATATGGGAAGTCCACTTACGTTACAGTTACTTTTATGGTGGAAAGCGATGCCGCTAAGACTACGAATTTTCTTATCTTTAGCCATAAATATAAGGGATTCTAAAAAGTTATAGGGAGAAATGCTGGTAACAAAACAGACAAAAAGACACCAACGCACCGCGGTGCAGTACAGGTTGTGCAATTTGCTGGCAGCCGGAAGGCTTCCGATCCCTCCACCAATGTAGCAGCCGAGTCTACTCCGGTCTTCTACTCCGGCACGACTACTGCATTAGTGGATTATGCGTCAGCGGCGGTTTAACCTCTCAGAGTGGAGATTAAGTATGCTCTGGATTCGGTAACCCAACAACCCACGGCCAGTCAGCGCCAACACGTTGCGCTTGCACTACCCTACAGCACTATGGGCAATCGGGTCCCCTGAAACCAGCATAACCCCTCTCTAAGAAGATCTGGTTGCCTTACTCACTGCAGAAACATACCACTGTTAAAACAACACTATTTGATTGCGATTTTCAGTAAGGTGAAGGTACAGCGCTAGTCCGGGAGGCTCCGATATCAGGCGAGAGACCTCGCTGTGCCCTACCTCTATTTCTTTAAAAAAAATTTTCTCTATATATATTTTTATTTTTAAATTGGGTATGATTTTTTAATATTATATATTACTAATTAATATACAACTATATATTAAATAAAAAAGCGGTCATTTTCAGTAATTTAAAAACAAAACATATTTTATTTCTGTATTCAGATTTAAATCAAAGTAATAATTAAAAATCAGCATCATTACGAAGCATTATGTACTGTTTATCTTATGTTCTTTTGAATATATTTGTAAGAATTTAGTATTGTTTTTATTTTTCAGTTTTATCTTACAATATAATTTCTTCTAAACATTGAGTACCTACTCAATACCTTATACCTATACATGCACACATAGATAAAAATGTTGAGCTGTTTTGTAAAATCTAAATGTATAAGTAAGTAACTAGTTACTATGCCTATTAATATATAATTAATCTACCTATATTATTTTAACTTGTGTGGGAAGAAATTGTGATCTGGTGTTATATGAATCGGAGACAGCATACGTGATGGCTGACAGCTGGCAGTTGTAAAAGACATACAAGGAGACTTTGATATTTTAGTAGTTGCAGAAGCTGTAATCTCCAATTTATCATGCACATTTTTTTGCCAAGCATTTCCATATGTTATATATTCAAGCGGATTTTCGATTAATGTGTTTTCTAGTTTGTGAGACATATCACTGTATTTATTATTACTGTTATTTTCTTCTCTTTTATCTTGAAAAATATCACAGTCAAATTTTTTTATAGAGCGTGTATACAATTTTCGCATATGTGATTGTGTATTTGCCATGACATCAACTTTGAATAAGCTGGGTACATTAGTTCGTAAGTAAATAGGGATTTCTTCCATAATTTTTTCATAAAGGTGGTGCCTATCCTCTGCTATTGTATCTCTGGTAATATTTGTTTGTGGTGAAGTAGTATCACCACTCACCATTTGTTCCTTAATATCAACTTCAACAGGACTAAATAAAATATTATAACTTTCAGGAGATTTATCTTTTCCAGTTTTCAGTCTGATTTTTTCTCTATAGTTACATTGTTTAAAATCTTTAATTAATGCATTACATATTGATCTATCTGTAATGCCGGTATCAAGTTCGGTTTCTTGTGTCACTCTTGTTCTACACTTTTGATTCAAAGCAGAGTTTTTAGTGCAAGTTACGATTAGGTTATTTAGATTTTGCTGATTATTTGATTCAGACTGGATATTACGTCTAGTTATAGGTTTAGAACGAATAACATTAGTGAATGTAGATAAAGAGAGTTCAGATATTTTAGTTTTTTTTGGGCTTTGTAGACGTGATGCGACTTGATTGATAATGTTAGTACAATGTCGTGATCTTTTTCTTAATTTGTCAAGACACTTTCTTGTTTTCTGTCTTTTGCATTTTACTCTGCAATTTATCGCTTCCATTCTTAGTAAATAGGTAACTTTGGAAATACCTATTTATTTATTAATAATGTAAATATTTACTAGGTACCTACCCATTAAAACAAGAATTATACATTCAACTTTAAATCATAGTTCTTAGCAAGAAAATAAGCTAAATAATAATAAATACATTACTTCAAACGTACTATTTCAAACGTAGGTAGATATTCACTATGCTAATTAAGGCTTGACATCATCTTTATATTGACGGAACTGGAAAATATCTTTATGTAACCATTTAAAGTCATGAAAATATCCAAAAAATAAATGAATATTAATAATGTAATTCATTCCCTCTTTCAAACTAGTCAAATAGTTCGCCATCGATTCCAAATCCAATTGATTGATACTTAATTGCTAGATGGATTAAGTCATAGACATACTGAGGGTTTCTGCATACAATAATGTGTAGGGAAACAATTTGTGTTATGTTGGATAATGGATACCATTTCTTTAAACCTATCTTTTAATGTTATATTTTAAATTAATAATTTCGTTAAGTCACTGTATAAAGGTAGGTAACAATTACCTAAAATTTTAATATTCTTGACTTCAATCTATGAAACAACGAGTTTATATTGATACTTACAATAAAGATTCTGCTTTGATATGAAATTGAATGTTTTATTTAGAGACAGGTTACTTTTTTAAATATACCCATGAAACTTAACTAAATTTACATATACTTATACCGCTAATATTACTATTAATAATGACATAAATAAAATAGTTTGTGATTTAATATTGAAGCTATTGTGTACTAAGGAATTTGTAAATAAATTTTATATATCTATATGAATTCTTTTATCTATTTAGATACCTATCTATGGCTGTCTTCTTAATTGCATAGATATCTAAATAGAATGCATATGGTGTGCTAGCCAAAGTCTTAAAAATTAAAAAAAAAAAATGTAAACTGTCATTGTCAATTGTCAAATGTGTCAAATAAATCAAAATAGAATTGCCTCCCTTATAGGTAGAATCAAATGTAATAGAGAAAAATAATTCAAACTTTAAAATAGGCAAATTAGCATTTTGCAAATTTACCAGTATTTAGCAATGAAGACCAATTTATGAATTCTGCTTTACTGCCATTTGGATGTGATATTGGTCTCTTTTGAGGTGAGGCTGTGTTACGATTATTAATTAGGTAAGGCGCCTGTGCTGTGCTGTGACACTCGACAATCTACAATTTAACTAATAACAATTTGATTTCTATTTTATTGTAAATTAAACATATCAAATTACGTTCTAAATCACCTTAATGGTAATAAACTTTACTATAATCTTTTACTAATAATTGAGACGATTTTGTAGTATTTACTGCTGTAGTATTTTATTTGATATTAATAGTTTTATTCTACATATTATCGTCACTACATAATGTTTTTCATTATTTACCTCAATATTGTAACAAAAAATATTTTCCAGTTGTCCATCTAATTATTTCCACTGTAATGTTTCTCATAATGTACACATAAACAATCATAATTTATACATAAATTAATTTTGTCATGCATTATATACATTGATTGTTTGTTCAGTTTAGTTTATATGCAAGCAGCATAGTTATATATTGAAAAATACCATCTTCTAGTGATGCACTAAATTATCCAAGTCAATTGAATTTTATCTAAGGTGTCTTTTACTACTTATAAATTATAAAGTGACTTACCATAAGAATATGTAGCAGATGTAAATGAATAAAGATGATTGATTGATATAATGTATGAATATAAAATTTGTTTAAAATAGAATAGAAATATTTTTGAATCATTATATGAAAAAACTTTATACATTTTGCTCAGACTACAATTTTTGACTGAGGAGAATGGGCAAGAATCTCCATTTTTTACATAAAAGTTGAATTTCTAATGTTATTGAGTGAATACAAAATGCCAAATAGCATAGGATTTTTGTTAAAGTAGGCCAATTATAGAAGAAATTAAAAGAAAATAAAAAACTAAAACAATAATTGTATGCTATCAATAGAAAATAAATTTGTTAACTGCAACTTATTATGAACTTGCCATGCAGTTCTGGTGTTGTAAGAGGCCATTAAAGGAACTTAATGGTTGAAGGGTGGCCAGCAGAGTCCCTCTTAAAATATTGTCAACATTTAACTATGGATGCCAACCCATCTGCCAAAAATAGGGAGAGGCATATAATTTCAAATTTCCAAATCCTTTAAAGTTGCAAGTTGCTAGACTGTGGAAATCCCTCCCAAGTGACACTAGAATAGCGCAGACCTTTCATGCTTTCAAAGCTTAAATAAAAAGATTTTACAATACAATTGACAGTTGAGTTATATATTTATTTATATATGTTTTAAACCTTTAAGTTAAAAGTTTAAGTTAAGATTTAAACCTTTTTTTAGGAAAATTCAGAACAGGGCCTGGTAGTTGTTATAAAATCTTAGCAGTTCTTATGGAAAGAATCACTAACCTCTCAGTTAAACAGGATTTAGATAATGTTAATTTATAATTATTTCGTAAGCAATATTAATTAATTATTAGTACAATTACAATTTTTTTTAAAAGTGGTAATAATTTTTCCTTTCATACATAATATTCTCGTAAATGTATTGGGAAGCAACTGTGAGAATATTTTTTATAACTTCTTTATTCTAATTCTTTAAAACATTCTCATACTGACTGCATTGAACCCATGCCATAAATAGAGTGGATGGTCCTCTTTTGTAAAATAAATTTTTATTTAATAATGAATATTGTATTTATGTTAGCTACTTTACTCCAAAACACTATTCTATATGACATAATGCAATAAAAATTGTTAAAATGAACAAGTTTAGCAGTTGCTACATCCCTTAATTACTTAATACTTTTAACTGCATATGCAAGCAAGTTTATCAGTTAATTTGGAAATATGGGTGCCCTTATGCAATTTAGAGTATTGTGGTACCTAAAAATATGATGCATATGGTAAAATTACATAGGAATCCAGTAACTTGGAATATTTAATAAAAAATAAAATATTAGCAATAAACAATTTTAGGACAGTAGAAAGAGCTCCAATTGTTTCGTTCAACTTTTTAGTCTGTCATCTAATTTTAAATATTAAGGAAGTATCGTGAGCAAATAAAATTACATCTGCTATTTTCTCTACCAACAAAGGAAGTCATTTATGTAAATTAAAAACAAAAATGGGTGTAAAATAGATCCCTGGTGAACACCCATCTTAATTTGAACTCCTGTATATTTACATCCTGTATTTGGTAATATTTTAAATGTATTAAAAGATCCTATATCTAACTAACGAGAAAAATTAAGAACACCTAAAAATCTACATTAAATAATTGCAAAATTTAATCAAAAACAAAATTGGTATACAAAAAATTTTTTACTCATTATTTTCATTTAAAATTATGTTGTCTATAATATTATGTCAGAATATAAAGAAATAATAATATTATATAATGAAAAACAATGAAATGCAAAAAAACAGTAATGTAATACAAATATTAAAATCTCACTGCGGCGCACGGAATCAGCTGTGTAAGATACTCTAAGCATATTGCTAGTCAGCAATAATATGTCTATATGCTAGAAGTGTAACAGTACACTCTATTGAGCACATGTTTTTGGGTTCACGTGTCATGTGGATCTTAAAATTTCAAATACATTGTGCGGCTTAAAAACTAAAAATCATTAATTATATGGCTGTGGTGCATTTCCGGTGGTAAAATAATTTGCTATGTGATTCAGATCATTCATCTGAAACTGTTTTCGTTTCGGCCAACCTGTCCCTTTCACCCTGCAGTTACACTATAAATGGTCTGATTGAGTGGATCGCTGATTGGCGCGTGTATCGTGTGGGGCAGGCGCGCATCCAGAGCGGCGGCGACATGCGCGGACGCAGCGCGGGCGGCGCGAGCGGCGCGGCCGGCGGCGGCGCGCGGTGACCGGCGCGGCCGCCATGGACGGCGAGGCGGCGCCCGCGCACGGCCAGCCCGACGCCGTGCTGCTGGCGCCGCTCACCGAGGACACCTTCCTGCACAACCTGCACGTGCGCTACAAGCGGGACATTATATATGTAGGTTTACTTGTGTCCGCACCGGCGCTGTGAGGCCGGCGGTCGTGTCGCTCTACATGGTGTGTGTGCGTGTTGCAGACGTACGTGGGGAACGCCCTGGTGTCGGTGAACCCGTGCCGGCCGCTGCCGCTGTACTCGGCCGAGCTGGTGCGCGCGTACCTCGCGCGTCCGCCCTATCAACTGCCGCCGCACTTGTTAGTATCCACCGCTCTGGACCGCTCTGGTGGTCTCTCCTGTATGAGTCCCACACTGTTTCACATTCAATTTTCGAAACCAAGACGAAATCTCAATGGTTTGGCTCGGTACCCGTTTTACCATTGAGGAAACCGTGTGAGGGCTCCCGATCTGAAATTGAACAACTCGCCGGCGACACGGTCGTCAAATGGAGACTCCATCGTATGCCTGCAGTTATAAACTTTAAAAATACCTATATATTTAATTTCAGATATGCCATCACGGCCACCGCTTACCGCTGGGTTCGTGATAGGAATGAAAGTCAGTGCATCGTTATAACAGGTAATGAACTCATATACTACATATTCATAATTTGCGTTATTAGCAAAGTCAACATCGGTAGGACTCGCTCGATTCAACTGTAATTATAATAGCAAAACCAGTTATTATTATTTAAAAATTAAGCCACTGAACCAAATTTTAACCAATATGTAAGTATATCCTTTCAGATATAGAAATATTTTTTCAAACTGGTTAAGTAACAAACGACCGATTATGATTCGCACTGTCGAGATTACGACGACTACTTTTGAAATGAATCAGTCGGTGTGAGACACGACTCGTTTGAACATGTTGTTTTCGCGTGTTGCAGGCGAGAGCGGCGCCGGGAAGACGGAGGCGGCGCGCGTGTGCCTGCAGTGCGCGGTGCTGGCGGGGCCCGGCGCGGCCGGCGGCGGCGCGCCGGACGGCGGCGGCGCCGGCGCCGCGCTCGCCGCCGCCGGCACGCTGCTCGAGGCCTTCGGCAACGCTGCCACCGCGCGCAACCACAACGCCAGCCGATTTGTGAGTTCATCTCTTATCTTCTATCTTCGCTTGCCAGTCATCGGCGATAGAGCGTCTGTACGTTGAGTGGCATACATTCGCTGCTATTGGTCGCTTCGCGTAGAAGATCGGTCAAACATTTCATGAAGTTCCTTGCATGAAGCGCTACACACTGGGGCACTTCCTTTGACTGCTAGTGCGGCGACGAAAAGAGGAGTGCAGAATGGAATAACGCTCCTAAGATACTCTCGGTTACGTTTATACTAAACAACAATTAAAAAAGTATAACAGGAACTAGTGCTCACTCCCTCGGTCGAATGCCACTTTAATATACTCATAGAACATGTCCTCTCCTTTCAATTGTAGGAGGATACCTAATGACTGTAACGCGCACAGGATGTCGCGGGTAAAACAAATTTATATATATATATATATATATATGTAAAATATAGTATATATATTTTTTCAACTTGAAATGGCAAACAAGCCATGAGTAGGTAGCCTAACCGAGAGTGGAAAATAGCAACCGACTCGACTCGACTTCCGTCGCCTCTAGTCAGTAAGGTGACAGCCACGCGAGCGCGGTCCGCCTCGTCGTGGCAAATATATGAGCGGTACTTTAGTGTCCATCTCATTGCAGGGAAAACTGTTAGACATAGAATTCGACTTCAAAGGCGACCCGGTCGGAGGACACATCACACATTGTGAGTACATATTCAACTAAATTGAAATTCAAAATTTTAAGAATTTAAAAATAATTTTTGTTTACGTGTCGAGGAATACCTTTCCTCGACATGTAAACAAAGATTGTAAACAAATCTTCGTTCATTTGGTTTACGGATAAATTAAAAGTTCGTAATTACATTTTATAAAGGTTTATTAAAAATTATAATAAAATAATGTTTCTATTTTTTAGAAATCGAGAAATTACTGTATAATTTCTAAAAACGTAATTATTTTGGAACGCAGTCGTAGGCCAAAATAAGAAATCATTGTAATAACATACTGGCAGCTATCACATGTATATTCCATATTAGCCGAGCCATATATTGTAATGTCAGCTGAGAAGAACAGGCAAAAACAAAGCTGTTGCTTTTTTTTAATAAGAATTAAGTGTACGACAGATGAATATGAATGGATAAAGTGACTATCACAAAGTTTGTATTGATAAAAAGATAGAAAATAATAAGGTACAAAGCTACAATCAATCAGTGTTCTTGAACAGACCAGTCCTTAATAGTAGCACCTGTACGTTGTTCACGAGTATGACAAAGTATGAGTCAGCCATCATTGTATTCAACCATATTGTAGGGCGGCCATCGATCCTTCCCATCACGCCGCCACCAATCTGGACATTAAAGCGAGCATGACTTGTTTCAAGATACGCCACTTACGTCGAAAATATCGATACCAAATTGAATGTGACCATCAGTACACGCGCTCATTACAAAATTAAATGTTATTTATATAATTATTTCGATAACTTGGGCAATAAAAAAAAATACTATATAAATTAGTAAAATGACAAAAGTGTCAACATTTTAAAAGTAACTTTGCACATATAGAAATAAATGAATACATAGATATAAATATTCTATGTATATCTACATAACATATATATTCAAATATTTTTTTCAACAAAGAAAACATTTTGTCAACAAAAGTTTATTTACAGACCATTTTATGTACGAACCTCGACGACCGGTTTTTCATGTAACTATTGCTGGGTCAGGAATGTTATCTGCTGAGAAGAATCAGCGTAATAATAAACAGTCACCGTTTAAAATAATATAAATATATAACAAGGTTCTTCAATTATTTTATCAGGTTTTAGTAAAGTGTTGAGGCAACCATTAAATATTTGTGATTTATTATTGAAATACCTCTACATTCATAAAGAGCAATTTATAACTTAAACAAATTTAATCGACTAGAATAATTTTGTTTAATTCCGCTGCTATTAGTAATTATTATTATTATATCGGCCGTTAACTATCCACTGCTGAACATAAGCCTTCATTGGGGGGGGGGGGGGGTTTGCTAGTATTTGTCACGCTTTGCAAGCGGATTGGTAACCGCGGTTAGACTTTGGTGATGTTTTAAAATAAACACTACTGCCTATCACTCGCCCTCTGTTAGTCGTCTCTTACGACACCCACGGAGAAGGAAGGGGTGGCGTATTCTATGCCGGGACCACACGGATTACGGATGCTATTAGTAATTATTGCAGTTTGGCTAACACTAGGCTCCGAAAGATTGACCACCACCTTATAAAGAATATATATATAGTAGTGGTCGATGTTGCAGTGGTGGCACTCGCACACATACTAATGGTAGCGGAACTAAACAAAATCATTCTAATCGGCTAACTGGCGATATGAACTTTCGTAAAGCAACATCTAATTCAGTAAAATATTAAATAAATATATAAAATAAATTTATATGCGCACGCAGACCTCCTGGAAAAGGTAACGTAACAGATAAGAATCCTTATTTATGTACATATAAACAATCAATTTTTTTATACTGCTGAGGTGGTAAACAAGCATACGGCCCATCTGATGGTAAGTGGTTACCGTAGCCTATGAACGCCTGCAATACCAGGGGTATTACATGCGCGTTGCTGACCCTAAAGAAACCTCTTTACCCCCCCTTTTGAAGAACCCCATTCTGTAGTCTCTTGGAAAAATCGCGGCTGGGAGCTAATTCCATAAGCTGAGTGTAATTTACGATCTACTTGATTAAGAACCATCGTCTGAAGCATGAAAAGCACCCTGACGTGCATGGTGCTCGTGCGTTGCCAATCTCGAAGTCTTAAGGTGTTGTGTCTTCATGCCCTACGAGTTCCCCATTATGTTCCACCTTTCAATCCGAAACAAGCTCATGCAGAATAGTATAGCTGCTGCTATATCGCAGCAGAGACACGAGACAGATAGAGATACCCATGTAAATGACTTGTATACAAAGCTTCCATCTAGTATTTCGGCGGTGTAGATATGTAGTAGGTAGTGGTAGTGGTAGTGGTGGTGGTGGTGGTGGTGCAGCCGGTAGTAGAGCGCAGTGCGTGTGTGCAGGAGCGCGTGTGCGGCGCGGCGGCCGGCGAGCGGAACTTCCACGTGCTGTACCAGCTGCTGGCCGGCGCGGACGTCTCGCTGCTCAGTGAGTGCCTCCCGGCCTTCCACCTCGCACACCGCACACCGCACACCGCACGCGTGCGCCGTCCCAACACGCGCGCTCCAACACACACACGCGCACCATCACACACACACGCGCACCATCACACACACTTGCGCACCATCACACACACACACGCGCACCATCACACACACACACGCGCACCATCACACACACACACGCGCACACACGCGCACGCATACACGAACGCACACGCGCGCTCACACACGCGCACACACACGCACACACACACGCACACACACGCGCACACACGCATACACAGACGCGCGCGCGCACACACACACACACACACACACACACACACACACACACACACACACACACACACACACACACACACACACACACACACACAAGCGCGCATGCGCTTGAATAATAAAGAACCTATTGTGAATTATGTCATAAAATGCACGAGAAGAATGTTAGTTGTTCGCCCCGTGTGTGCAGAGCGGCTGAAGCTGCAGCGGTCGTGGGAGCAGTACCGCATCCTGCGCGGCGGCGGCGGCGGCGGCGGCGCGGAGCCGCCGGCCTCGTCGCCGCGCCGCCCGCCGCCCGCGCCGCCCGCGCCGCCGCCGCCCGGCCCGCGCGCCCCGCACGCCGACACCGACCACTTCGCCTTCACCAAGGTGAGCTCCACGCCCAACCGACGACGGATCGGAGAGTTAAGCTCCTCACTCATCCATCCCGATTGACAAAAATGCCCTTCGTGTTCCGGGTTCCTCGTCCCTCTGCCGCGACTTACAATTATGTTGTAGTAGCAGTATCGGTTATCGAGTAGTATCGATTCGAAGACTATTCGCAAAGACCAATCCCGTGAGAATCGGACGTTCTGCTTCGAGTCGTCATCATCGTTCATATCGCTAGCAGCGGTGCAGTCGAGCTAGCATCTAAATTTTATAATTTCTATCGTTTATAACTCACGTTCATCCAGGAAAAATATTGAAACTTACCGTAATGACGTAAATAACGACAATTATTTCGAGTTCATATAACTTAAGTTTTAATAATAAGAACAAGTTAAAAAAAGTTACACACGGCGCAAGATTTATTCCTTCGGAGAGATATTTTGGTGAGATAAAGCGTGTGCTCGGTCCGCGGCGGCAGGCGGCGATGGCGACGCTGGGATTCGGCGGCGGCGAGTGCGGCGCCGTGCTGCGCGTGCTCGCGTTCGTGCTCAAGCTGGGCAACGTGCGCTTCGAGCCGCAGCACAACATCGACGGCAGCATCGGCGCGCGCCTGCACCAGCCCTACGGTCGGTACACCACCGTCGTATACGAGTACTACTTCAGTATTTTCGACGACGACGACCTTCACGATAGAGTTCCTTTATTCCCAATTCGATGTGTTTCAGCAAAAACACCCGGATGTTTGCGACTGCGTCCTCGCTTTAAAACATTTCCAAAACCTAACTGCGGTTACCATTTCGCCCGCCAAACGTGGTAATTACTAGCAAATCCCTAGGGGGAAGCTTATGTTCAGCAGTGGACAGTTAAAAGCTGATGTAATGATGATGACATGTGACTATATACTCGAGGAACTTGTAATACTCGGTGTACGTTTCCATGGTGCAGAGCTGACGGAGGCGTGCGCGCTGGTGGGCGTGGAGGCGGCCGCGCTGGCGGCCGCGCTGCAAGCCGCGCCGCCCTCGCCGGCCCGCGCAGGTTAGTCTCCCAGCGAACGCTTTCAAATTTATACGTACTCAATAAAATCGTTCGCTTAGTATTATTTCATTAAATTGAAAATTTATATACGCAGAATCGGAGGGCGTCCCCGAGCACGAGTACGAGTGGGAGGAGGCGGAGGCGGGCGCGCGGGCGGCGGCGGAGGGCGAGGCGGAAGCGGAGGCGGAGGCGGAGGCGGAGAGCTGCGCGGAGTGGGCGGCGGCGCTGCGCGACCGGCTGCTGTGCGCGCTGTACTCACGGCTGTTCACGTGGCTCATCACCGCCGTCAACGACGCCATTAAGGTACGCGCGGTCGCCGACGGGACGCCGCCGACAAAAATTGGATTATTAAGTTTAAAATTAGCAAATCATCGAGTCGTCAGCATAATTTACATAATTTGCATTCGTGTGCCAGGGGCGCCGACACCGTGGGCGCTCAGTGGTTCCAGTAGAGCCACGAGAAGTAAATAACGGCTAAACAAATAAATAGTCTTCATCTCGTTATCTGTTGTTTAAGTCGCGTTTGCTTGTCCAGCATGCAGTCTTCGTCTTTCAGCTGGAATGATGACATAGTTATCAAAAGAGTTTGGGCACTCACGAAATTTTTTTAGAAGCCGGCGCCCCTGTCACGTACGCCCTCGTCGTACTACCGTATCCGTTAGTTCTGAACGTGTAAGTTGTAAGTGTGAATATTTATACGGCGCGAGCAGCCGGCCGAGGCGGGCAAGCGATGCACGCTGGGCATCCTGGACGTGTACGGGTTCGAGTCGCTGGCGTACAACGGGCTCGAGCGGCTGCTCGTGAACTACGCGGCGGAGCGCGTGCAGGCGGCCGTGACCGGCGCCACGCTGCGCCGCGAGCAGGAGGAGTACGCGCGCGAGGGGCTCGCGTGGCAGCCGCTGCCCTACCACGACCACGAGCTGCACGCCGACCTGCTGGACGCGGTGAGTGCCACCCCGCCCCGCCCCGCCCCGTCGCCGCTCGTCGCCCCGCTGACCGCGCCGCTCCTGCCGCAGGGCCCGGACAGCGTGCTGGGCGTGCTGCGCGACTGCACGGTGCGGCGCGCCAGCGACGCCGCCTTCCTGCAGCGGCTGCAGCGCCGCCGCCACCCGCGCCTGCACGTCGTGCCGCCCGACCACTTCCAGTAACCGCACCACCATTTTTTTTATTATTATATATACATTTACTTATCGTGTCGCACTCAACACGGGCAAGGAGGAAGATTGGTAGGTGACGATGAAACCTAGTCAATCGGATTATCGCAGTTTCGGTATCGGTATTTATGCGTACTTTTTATTATAACAAATTATGACTTGTTAATTTTTGTCGGATGCCTACGATACAGGTTCACCTAGTGCGGGGCCCTTTGTATCTTGTTTTTGTGTTTTTGTCAAATAATACATTTTTATTCAATTCTAAGTATTTTAAAAACAAAATGCCACCATTTAAATTGTTAAAATATATTTATACCCACGTGTAAATATATTTTAACAATTTAAAACGTGATATATTTTGACAATTGTAAATGTTATGATTACGATCCTCGGCCGAGACGGTCGGCACCGCCGATCGCTCGTCTGTGTCGTGTCGTATCATGGTCGTGACGCGGTGGTCTCGCGCGAAGGATCGTGCACTTCGGCGGGCCGGTGACGTACAGCGCGCGCGGCATCGTGCAGCGCAACCGCGACGCCGTGTGCCGGCGCTGCGCGGCGGCGCTGGGCGCGGCGCGCGAGCCGCTGCTGGCGGCGCTGTTCGCGCCGGCCGCGCCGCCCGCGCCGGCCGCCGGCTCGCCGCGCCGGCCCGCCGCGCTCGCGTGCCGGCAGCGCGCGCTCGTGGCCGCGCTCGTGCGCCGCCTGCCGGCCGCGCCGCGCCTCGTGCGCTGCCTGCGGCCCGACCCGCTGCTGCGCCCGCAGCGCTTCGACGCGCCGCTGCTGCGCCACCAGCTGCGCTCGCAGGGCATCATGGACATGGCGCTGCTGCGCCGCGCCGGCTGGTGCGAGAGCATGTGCGCGCGCGCGCTGCTGGCGCGCTACGGGCTGCTGGCCGGGCCCGGCGCGCCGCGCGGCCACGACGACCCCGTGCGGGCGGCGCGCGCGCTGCTGCGCTCGCTGCCCATCCCCAGCGCCGAGTTCGCGTACGGGCGCACCAAGGTGTTCATTCGCAGCCCCCGGACGGTGAGTGCGGGACGTGCGGCACGTGCGAGCCCGGGCGAGGCCACTGTGCACTACAGCGCGGCGTGTGTCGCAGGTGTGGGAGCTGGAGGCGCTGCGCGCGGCGCGCGTGGCGCGGCTGGCGGCGGCGCTGCAGCGCGCGTGGCGGCGCCACGCCGCGCGCCGCCGCCTGCGCGCGCAGCGCGTGCTCGCCCGCGCCTGGCGCGCCTACCGGGTGCGTGCCCCGCCCTCCTCTTCTAATTCCATTATGTTCCGCTAGCAGACAGCCTTGAGGCACCATGTACGCCGAGCACCCTTCCGGATCCGGACGGTCACCTAAAAAAGGTGGAATCCGAGACGAAGTGGATCCTGTTTGATCCCCCCAGTAGAAGCTCTCCCCCGTGACTCTGGACGAGGTGCGAGCGCTCATCAAAGGAATTCCCAGCCGTAAGGCACCCGGTACCTACGGAATCACCAACAGGCTCCTTAAGTCTGGCAGAATCTATTCTGCTACTATCAGTAGCGATCAATGCGGCGATTTCCAATGCCACAGCGGTTTGATATACAAGCTGCACAAGATAAGAATGTCAGACAGGCTCGTGCACATCATACGGACCTTCTTGTTGAATAGGTCATATCGCTATTGTGTCAACGGCGTGCGCTCCAGCGCGCGCCCGGCGCCCGGGAGAGACCGGCGCCGTCCTCTCCCACCCTCTTCTTGTTGTATACCAACGATATCCCGCGTCAGCCCCGAGTGCAAATTGCCCTTTTTTTGGCACGCCCGTCCCTTGGACAGACGAAGCCAAATATAGAGTAACCTTAGATTCCAAGTTGAACTTCGCATCTCATCTTAAGCGCGTTCGAGACTTGGCCAATTTTATATTGGGACGTCTTCATCTCTTCATCAATAAGCTGGCTGCGCTTACTTTCGCTTAACGCGAAACTAACGCTTTACAAACCATGCATCAGACCGGTGATGACGTACGCCAGCGTCGTCTTCGACCATGCCCTCTCTTCGTTGCTACGCCCCCTTCAGGTGGTACAAAATAAATTCTTGCGACGGGTCACGGGCGCCCCGTGGTTAGTGCGCAACGCGAATCTACATCGCTACCTCAAAATACCCACGATGAGGCAGTTCATGAAGCAAGCGTTTCGACGCTACTTTGCCTTAGCCGAATCCCACTCGAATCCACTCATAGTAAAAGGGGGTAAATACAAACCCCCTTGGAGAAAGTCACTCCCCGATGTCGTCGCCCGAGGCATGCACTCTTGGACCCCGACGATTCAATTACTATAGCTAACACGCTCCCCTCCCTTCCTATCGCGAAATCTTCGCTGAGAGCCCTCGCAAATACACCCACATACCGCACACACCGACCCCGCCGGCGGGGACGAAGATCCCACGCGACACACGGTTCGCGCGCGATCAGGTTTGCACCCTAGCGCACACCAACGACTCAGAGTTCCCATCCATTTCGACATACCGATCCTTCGCCGTTCCTCGACGGGGGTCGAAGTGCGGTGGCCTAAGCCGAGGCCCGAGTCACTCTGACGCCCTTAGGCGCATGCCGCAGTCTATAAGTAAGAGTCGACACCTCTGTCGCTCCCCTCTCGCGGGCTTCGAGTGCCATCTGCACTTGCTCCTGCATACGCGTTCGGTGAAGCTGTAAAGGCCACTCATGGCCAACAGCAAATACATTCAGAAAAAAAAGTCTCGTTTTACTGTGCAGGCTACGCGGGAGTTGCCCGAGCGACAAGCGCTGCAGCGTCAGTTGCAGGTGGGTGAGGCGTCACTGTACCCGTTAGCGGCGGAGGCGGGGGATGTGAGCGTGCTACATGGGCGCGACTGTGCGCAGGCGCGGCGACGCGTGGCGGCGCTGGGCCGCGCCGGCGCGGCGGCGTGGGCGGGCGGCGTGGTGTGGCGCGCGTGGTGCACGGCGGCGCGGCGCCGCTACCTGCGCGGGCTGGCGCGCCGCCTGCCGCCGCGCCACGCGTCGCCCGCCTGCGCCGCCTGGCCGCCGTGCCCGCTGCCGCGCCTGCTCGGCCGCGCCGACGCGCTGCTGCGCCGCCTGCACCACCGCTGGCGCTGCCGCCTGTACCGCGCCGCGTTCGACCAGACCGCGCGCAACCGCATGCGCGAGAAGGTGACCGCGAGCGTGCTGTTCAAGGACCGCAAGCTGACGTACGCGCGCAGCGTGGCGCACCCGTTCGTGGGCGACTACGTGCGGCTGCGCGCGTCGGCGGCGTGGCGGCGCGGGCTGGGCGCGGCCGGCGACCGCTACGTGGTGTTCGCGGACGTGGTGGGCAAGGTGGCGCGGTCGAGCGGGCGCGTGGCGCGCTGCCTGGCCGTGCTGTCGACGGGCGCGCTGCTGCTGCTGGACGCGCGCTCGCTGCGCCTCAAGCGCCGCGTGCCCGCGCACGCCGTGTACCGCCTGTCGCTGTCGCCGCACGCCGACGACGTGCTGGTGGTGCACGTGCGCGCGTGCGGCGCGCCGGACAGCTCGGCGGAGGAGCTGTCGCAGTGCTCGTCGCGCGACGCGCCCGACGCGCCCGGCTGCCTGTTCGGCGGCGAGGGCGCGCGGCGGCGGCGCGGCGACCTCATGCTGCGCACCTGCCACGTGCTGGAGCTCGCCACCAAGCTCTTCCTGGTCGTGCAGAACGCGGTCGGCGCGCCGCCGCACGTCAACATCGCTACCGAGTAACTATACCCTGCACACCCCCATGTAGCCCGCGTGCCTCTCCGAAACCCGGGCTCTCGCAAATATAAACACGTTTTCTATTACTGCCCGTGTCGTTGATTCACGTTTGGCGGAACCGGTGACATCGCCTAATTCACTAAACAATAGAAGACTGAAAAAGTATAGGGCAGGGCGACTGTCTTATGAGGCCTGAATAGTTCTAATAGTACCAACTGCTTTACCGATTTTTCTACAACTTTCCCAGCACCGCCACCCATACGAATTATAGTACATAAACTCTGACCTGATTGTTTGAAATTTCGATGGACTTACTACTTTACTACTTTCGTTTACATCGTGTTGTGGAGAAAGAAACAAGGTCCCACGTTTGTGTTCACGAGGTGCTCTAAAGCTCTTCTAGACGATACCGGGCCGTTAAAGAGATACGGCAATGTGACCCACCTAACTAACTTCAAAACAGAAAAGGCGCTCAGACACGCCGCTAGGCGGGGTGGCTAGGTGGCTGACACAGTAATATTAGCTTAATCGTCGACGGCCATCCGGAGAGAGGACTGATCGGCAATAAGGGGGGTTTAAAAGTTTCATTGCTAGCTCACTGGAAACCATCGTGGTTAATTCTCGTCGAATTCGTAACGATTGGCCAACTGACCTTCTCTCATCCTCAGCTACCATCCCTCACTGGTGCCCCCCCAGCGTATACCAATAGCGTAGATGGGTTAGCACTCCACTACCATCCAATAAATAAAGGCCATCTGTGGTGACCGATGCGCGCTGCGTCGCAGGTTCGAGGCTAACTTCGGGCAGCAGACAGTTACGGTGTCGTTCCACGTGCTGAGCGGCGGCGGCGAGGGCGCCGGGCTGGCGGCCGAGCCCGCGCTGGCGGCCAGCGGCGGCGCTCGCCTGCTGCGGCGCGGCAGCCGCATGGACGTGCTGCTGTGAGGGCCGCGCCGTGTCGTTATAAATTTCCCGTTGTTACTGTTACAAGTGGCCCCCTGCCCCAGAAATGAGCGAGCCACCATGCAGATATTATTTCGCCGGGAGATCTGAACGAAGAAGATGGACCTGAGAGTGTTCCCGCGGAAGCTTACAAAAGTATGGCCATTTTTTATAATTTATAAAGTGATGTTAACTGAACTGATAACAAATTAAAATGGCAATCGCGCAGAAGGTTCCAATGGCATGAAAGTTCCAACACTTCCAAAACCAAATATGTAATAAAATTAATAAAAAAATTAATGGTACATTGTATTGTGCACCCTGCGCGTTCACTAGCAGAGTAGCACTTTTAAATGATCAATCAGAAAATTAAAAAATAACGGACATTTTTGACGTTGCTGCGTTTTGGTAAACGCTCTTAACATTAGTCTAATTTTAGTATCACTCGGGGAAGTTTTCGTTCAGCTCTCCCCTCGCATTGTAACATGTAAGTTGTGCGTCATGTCCCGGATCATAATGTAATAATTGTAAGGTTCGCTCGCGTCTCTGGTCCGATCGTACTCGTAGTTAGATATAAATTGGCAGCGCGTTTGTTCGCCGCCGAGTGAGTGACACGTGACATCACACCGCCGTGTTCTTATCGATACTGGGACAACCCCCAACCTAGGGTCTTATGATAGCTTGTAACTAATAAGTATATAAGTGATCGATCGCTATAGTACTAGTAACTAGGTAGAGGTATAGTGGTTAGGGATGGTGCCGCGTGGAAGGAGCGCGTGCCGCCTGCGGGCCGGCGTGAGCACGCGTCGCGTCCTACGCTAGCTTTACTCTTAGATTTTATAAGTATCGTACGGGAGACGTCGCTAGTCTGTCGTAAACATAAAGTGTTCGACATATAGAAAAAATATCAAACTTGGTATGTCGTTCACGCGCATCGTGTCCACATTGCATGGTTAATATCGCAGCGCCATACTTTGTATCCGCCATCCCTCAGGTACGTTCCGTACGTATCCGCAATGACAGCGAGCGAGCGGGCAAACTTCACTGTGCTGTAAGGCGGGTGGCTGATACTGCCCAGTGACGTCACTCTTCGCACAGTTCCGCGTACGTGCCGCTACTACGCGATCACTATTTCGAATCTATAAATGATATTTCACGTTCCTGCTTTTTTTCTTTGTATTTGTTCTTATGTAATTGCAATGTACTAGCTACCTAACAGTAAACATTCGGCATGAAACGATTAATATTTACCTGGGGAATACCGCTGACGGTATCTCTATGTATATTTAAAAAAATAAAGCCGGGCGTTCCGTACATAGATATGAGATAAAATAATCTTATATACATATACTCGTAGGTGTTTATGTTTTTACATTAAATAGACACAGTAGTTAATGAATTATTATTATTATTATTCACATTTCTTATTTTGGGTTACAATTGTGATAATTTCTCAAAAACTAATAATTAGAGACGTCATTTTTTTTAGTAATATTCACATACTACTTTTATAAATTGTAATTATTTCTGATCTTTCTCACATTTTCGATCATACATAAAAATTCCACGATATAAAAACGATTTTAGAATGTACAAATAAAACTTTCTCCCTTGCTTGCGACTAGAAGCATAATTTTAAAATTTTGTGCACCTCTTTTGGACCGTCAAGCAAGCGAAATAAAAATACTTATTTCTTTTGCAATACGTGTGGGCCAACGATATCCAGCATTGTTCCAATTTCAAATATAGCATTGTGACAGACAGACGGACGGACGGATGGAAAAAGTAGCACCATAAGGATTCCTTTATACCTTTCTGATAATGGAACCCAAAAACCGCACAATGCTGAGTTATTGCTATTCCAACATTTTGGTAATCAAAGTTGAACGACATTATTTGATTATCCAGCCGATGTCTTGGTACAGAGGTGCCTGCATTATGTACTTCGCCTAACTATTTGTTGACTTCTTGAAGCACTTGCCTTACTTCTGATTGTGGTAGCTGTATTGCGAGTAAGTAATGTATTTTATATAATCATATTTGTAAGTACGGACACTGCGGATGGAGATGTTTCGAGTCGAGTAGATGAGTATACATAAAGCCCAGCAGCACTGCATACATTTGCTACATAAAGCGGTATTCGCACCACATTACTATGCCGACTGTGTCTGTGTGTGTGTATACAGTGAACTGAACGTTCACATGGTATGTAGCGAGTGATCCTGCACCGGGGCTAACATGCAAACGGAATGGCATTCGGGTACGATGCAGCTTCTGGAATGTTCCTTATTGTCCTTAGAAGTTTAGGTGCTCGCCGGCCAATACAGACGATGGACAATAATCGGCTCAAATAGAAAATAAAACACGGTCATTATCTAAATGTATCGGCATATAGCGTCGTACCTACGCATGTACTTGAAAGTCTGTTAAAAATAAATTAATTACACAATATAAATATAATAGAAAATAATTGATAAAGTAGATACTTCCTCGCACGGCGATGAAACTACGCGGTCTCCTCTCTCGGCACAAATCGAGTAGAGTTCGTCATCACTGCCGTGTACGATTACTTGCAAATCTTAGTGACAAGCTGATGATAATAATAATCATATTGATAAGTGCGCATCGGAATCGCCAAATCTACAAAGTGCCAAAGCTCGTCGCGTGCAGTAGCGACTGCAGTGATGTGACGTGTACGTGCCAACTACTTACTGTGTACATTAGATATCCTCGATTATGATAGATTGTAAATAGGCGCGCGGGGCGAGCTCGTTGCCCGGGCTAGTGGGACGCGGGGCGAGCTCGCCGCCCGGGCCAGTGGGATGCAGAGCGAGCTCGCCACCCGGCACAATGGGACGCGGGGCGAGCTCGCCGCCCGGGCCAGTGGGTCGCGGGGCGAACTCGCCGCCCAGGCCTATGAGACGCGGGGCGAGCTCGCCGCCCGGGCCAGTGAGTCGCGGGGCGAGCTCGCCGCCCGGGCCAGTGAGTCGCGGGGCGAGCTCGCCGCCCGGGCCAGTGAGTCGCGGGGCGAGCTCGCCGCCCGGGCCAGTGAGTCGCGGGGCGAGCTCGCCGCCCGGGCCAGTGGGACGCGGGGCGAGCTCGCCGCGCCGCCCCTCACAGAGGCTCTGTTTGCTGTTACACTCACTGTTTGTTATCAGTGCGCCGCCTGCGCCTCGGCTGTCGTGTCACGTCATGCCACATATCGTATCAGTTGAGGTCCTTGTGCCGTGTATCGTAATGTGCCTTTGGATCGTGTTGCGGCTGTCATGGAACTCGATGAGATGTTTTACTCACGGCGGCTTCATGTTTTTATTTTTATGATACTTAAAATGGCAAACGAAATAGCGGGCCACCTGATGGAAAATAGCAACCGTCCCTATAGACATGAACAGCATGGGGGCATCATGGTTATAGTCCTTGCCATGCATTTATGCGTTGCCATTTTCGAGGACTGTGGTGTTAAGCTTCCATACTCTGTAATTTGTTAAACCCATCATTTTAAACAATCGACAAAGTTGGGCCTTAACATACACCGACATGCCTACATGAACATACACCAACTACGGTAATGCTGTAGATATATTGTTATTACACTTTATTATTAAATTTTGAAAAATTAAATTTCTTATCAATGTTCCGAATAAAGGCCTAATTATTATTATTCTATTAATAAGTATTTTGAAAAGGCTAAACTAGTTTGGTTCATTTTGAACAAATTCTTATTTTAAATAAACAGGTTCTATTTTGTGTTAAAAAAAAATTCAGAAACCTATTATAGATACCTTTATTGTTGTTATCGATATCAGCCCTGATACGTCTATGAACATGTTTCACTATTTTCCTTATAGTTTCGGATGTGGCCCCATCACGCACACGCGAGAATACTTACTACCTGTACTTGTAAGCAATTCCTAGGATGAATAAGATTTACTTTAAACTTGTTCCACGTTCGTGTATTAGAACACGACTAGAGTTAGAATGCGCGCGAGAGCCGTTCAAGAATAGCTATTATATTATTATCGGATGTAAGAGAATGTTTCATAGTGCAAGCTCAGCATTCACGTTCGGCCGACAGGCGAGCTACGAGGGACATGCTCAATATCCCATTTCTGTTGAACAAAGAGTTACGTTAACTATAAGTAAATTATGGGAAATGTTTTATTGTTTTTAATAAAAGCTAAAAAAAAGTAAATGATTTTTATTTATACCACATTCCATTTTGCTTCCGTCACAAGTTCAAAAATTATTTAATAGATTTTTTTTTCTCATATTGCATTTTTTTTTTTTTGATGGGTGAAAATGGTATGGCAACCCCGCCTGCGCTAACGGGATACACTGGCGGGGCACCAGTGAAGGGTGATTGATGAGAATGAAAACAGGCCAGTTAGCCCATCATGATGAATCCATCAGGATTTAACCATGATAGTTTCCAGGGGGAACCGCGAGGAGGTCGACCCGGTTGTGTATGTTGGGATGCAATGGGATTCTCAGTCCCCGTTACTAACAATCCCTTTCCCCCCAACAATTAATATATTGGCTCTGCAAAAAGATAGTAGAGACAAAATTATTACGAGAACAACACGGCAGGGAATCGTATCAATGTTGCTCGCAAAAATAATTATTATCAGCAGATATCAGTTTAGAGTTGGTGGCGATATCGCTGGGGACGACGCTGGGGACTCCATTACAATTGTTAATTTGCGCGCGACTACGGTTAGTAATAGTAGTTGGCAGTCAGTCTGGCCGCCGAGCGGTCCACACGACGCTCCGACCAGAGATCTATTAAATTAGCTGGAAATGCCTCGTTTAGAAGTAAGACACGTGTCTCATGTGTGCATGGAGTTAGTAACGGTTGATCATTGATGGAAGATCGTAGAACTTTTACTAATAACAGCAACTTTGAATGTTGGCAGTTGCACACATACTAATGGTAGCGAAATTACACTAAATAATTGAAATAAACCAACTAGTCATAGGGGCTTTTGCAAAATAACATCTAATTCCACAAAATATATCGCTTAACATTTTTAGGACTCTATCATAAAAATGGCAATATTCATTTTAGTCCTACCACAGCGCCATCTATAGATTTTTAACGTGCTGATAACTATTTTATCAACACTGCTCTTTATTTTAATTACATAATAGTTAAATATTTATTTGACTAAACAAATTAGATACTTCAGGCAGATATGAAAAATTATATTTGGCGGTGTACTAATGTAGATACGATGTTGTGCTTCTAAATAATGTACACAAGTCGGATACTTCAATCACATTTTATTCACACAAAGTACTAATGTCTATATAATAATTAACAAAACGTTATTCAGTAGATGATATTCCTAATATTATGTTGAGACAGATCAAACTAAATAGGTAGTAATACATTATTATTACTAACAATACTAAATAGGTACTTTACAGTAATAACTTTAAATCTATTTAATATTTCGTTTAGTATATATAATTAGAATATTTCATACAAAACAGTAACAATATGGGTACCTACTTGTATAAGTGTGGGGTAAAGTAGGTAGGTAATAGCTGGGGCTGCTCGGTACACTGCAAGTAGGTAAGCACCTACGGTGCCGCAACGCATATGACGCAGCTATACTACATAGGTATCGCCGCAGTGTCGCTCCACTCGACTTGCATAGTTTGAGCCTACAGTATATACCAAAACAGAAATCGCTCATATATTGAACACTTCTTTATGGCGCCCAAATAAATATTAAAAAAAAAGGTCAGGTTAAGGAGCCGCCGAGGCCGACAGTGTTACAAAGATACTGATCCACCTATTAGATAATTTGCTGGATATCCGTTCAGCGACTTTGGACAATCTCTCAGAACAGTTCCGCACTTAGTCAAAACTACTAATATTGAATTTGATGCGAGAGTCTTGATGACCAGCTCCTGGTCATTTTGATCATGCCCCTCTAAGGCCGGCCTCTACCGCTGAGCACTTTCTACCATTTGGTGTTTACCTCTCGTATTCTTTCCAGTAGCAATCACGATGTGTGTTATTTATTTATTCTTTGTTTTATTTTTTTTACGTAACACTCTTCAATCCTGTTTTTTTTTATGTAACCTGGAATGGCAAATAAGCTGACCTGCTGGTAAGTGGTAGGAGTCACCTGTAGGTATGAACAGAGGAAGAGCAACGATGTCATACCTCCATACCTTGAAATTACACTGCCGCATCCCAACCATGCAAGTCCAGCTGCTGGGCGACAGCATCCTATTGCGACAGGCAGGTGCCGACCTATCGTAGTGTACGCTACCTAATAAACTAGTTTAGTTAAAAATTAGGCACACAATAAACAGTACCTATAGTTATATAGTAACAAAACAGGCCGATACCATTCAGTCTTCTCGTTACACGCAGCTCATACAAAACTTTATATCGTCTACGTAGGTAGGAATTCTGTCGATTTCAGCGCTATGTTATATAGGTGAATGTGTAAATATAATATCTATAAGCAATATAATATGCAGGGGTGCCTACAGATTGAAATCTAGATACAAACATCGGCAACACTGCACCCTGATTTGTCTAATCCTTCTTGGGTGATTTCTTTTTGATTCATACACTCTTTATAACTGATGCAATATTACAAACAGCCCCCTGGACGATTATGCAGCATAGGAATCTATCGATACGTTGTCACTGCCGTATAGGCACATGTTTGAGGCGTCAACGAGTATCCTTTGCTATACAAAGGACACTGGTAGTGCATCTATGCGTAGGTATTGGAAAGTATATTTTTCAACGTATTAATAATATAGGTCTCCTCAGGCAAAGTTCTTTTTATGGTTCAAGATGGAACAGTGTACCCGCTTCCATATGGGCAGCAACGAAAACGTACGATATATTCGTTCGCCAAGGGGGCAGTATACACAGCTGTACGACAAAATGGTATGATATGACGATCTATATATTTTATACATAGTGACAAATGATATGTACCTACATACTGTAGACATATTACAGTAGGTATATTGTATCTAATTGCAGGTATTTAGACACAGTGGGTACTTTGGACAGGGTCTACGTTTATATGTAAATAATGTTATAACATGTTATAGGTAATAATAAAAATTTTGCAGTCACTTAGTCACGATACTCTCGTTATTTCATAATGTTTACGTAGGTACTCGTATGTATGTATGTATGTAAGAGACAAGAGATGAAAAACTCGAAACATGACTCTTCATACCTATTCCTCACCCGGTAATAGGAGGTGATAGGAACAAGATTCTAGATAGTGTTACATCTGCTGCGGACTCTATCACTCGCCATGATGCGACGTTACAATAGGAGCTTTGAGCCGCTGCAAAGTGGTGGTCGCTGCTACCGCAAGCATTTTGTCGAGCACAGAGCCGGTACGGTCGGTTTTAACCATCCATTGTCCAGCGATGAACTTCTCAAGACTATCACTTGGTTCTATATCAACGCCTCACATGTCCTATATATAAACCCAGGGCCCCACCCACTGCTTCATTGTAGTGTAGGAGTACATTTACTGTGCTGTGCCCGACTTCGTGACCTCAACGTATCGGTTCTTGTGTATATTGATCTTGTAATATTGATTATCAAAAACAATTGTACTCATGCATATCACCGGAGCGCTCCTAGCACCGCACCAGTCTATAGGGAGGCCTATGTTCGGCAGTGGTCACATGACGGCTGATATGATGACGACAATATCAACGAAATACATTGTTCTTGTTTCGAATAATTACCGTGCAGCGACCCCACACCCCGATTCCGAGACCAGCCTCTTACATTCCACATACTATGAGTACCTATATATATAGAAATAACCGATTAGAACTTTCTCATTTATACAACTCGACTATATTGTTTACTGGGGACTCCACTAGGCTGAGATCAAAAGAGAAACGCCCACACAAATAAATAAATAGGTCCATACCTAGCTAAGATCTTATTTTGTCTTTTATTTGTTCAATTAACCTTGGCTGAACGGCAACACGGCAACGTCAGCTTCATTGGGTAGGTACGCTGTAATTTTAGAACGTGTTTCCAAACATCACCTACATATAAATGAGCCTACAAATTATTACTTATAATTTGATAGAGATTTTAAAGATTTTCAAACCACAATATAAATATAACATCAATTATAGTGAATTAATTTAACACGTACTGTGGCTCTGTCTACGGCCGCAATGTACATACGAGTACAACCGCGGCACAGAAACATCCATCTCTCTTCACTCACAACTTACTACGCTTCGCTCAGCGCCGCCACCGGTCAGCTTGTTACACAAACAGATCACAGAATGCCTCTGAGATGGAAGTGAGGAGCGAGAGGTCTCTGTAGAATGCTGTCGAGGTGCTCAACAGGGGTTGCTAGTCGCAACATGTACGCGGTGGCGGCACCGAATAAAACTACCTCAACTAGATTAGGTACATAGCGTCTATACAGATGAATCAGCCCAGCTCAACTTTACAGAATAGTGTACAGTCCCTGCCTGGTCGACCACATGGTGACAGGAAAGCGATGGCTATTCACGATAATTAATTTCTCATTTCAGTTAAGGAATTAACGTTCTAACAATTTTATCGCCAGTGCCGCCAATATGGCGGATATGGCCGCGAATATGGCCAAATATAATATATAGCGAATATCGCTTGCAATAAGGACTCTATCAATACATTTAGTATTGATAGAGTCCTTATTACAAGCGAGCCCATAAGTCTTGTTCAAATGTCTCATGTGAGCGCTGAGTGAAACGATTTTATTGATAGATTGCTTTGTATCATGTGCAGGGAGGCTGGACAGTAAAATACAGTGGCAGTAGCTAGTCAAAGTACTTGAACAGTTACTGGAAATATTAAGTATAAAATTATTAACATATGCAGGTAAGTGACTAATGTTCCTTGAATAAAGTTTATTCATAGGCGTATTTAATGGGGGGCTGGATGAGCCGCGCCCACCCTGGGATGCCAACAAGGCTTCGCAGAGACATGTCTGATGGTACGATACCGCCTTTTTAAGGGGTCAGGTCCCTTTTGGAGAATAATCTCAAATATGCCAATGGAAAGTTGTTCATAATCCAACACTCCACATAACAACTTCTATTTATTCTTCTGATTAACCCTGTATAAGATCTATTTATAAATAAAAAAATACGTCGCGGTAACAACGGTCGCGATAGCCACCGTCGGCGTGTTGTTGTAGTTGCAAGTGGTTGCAGGTGGCTCGCCGTTATAATACTGCAGCTACATGAAATAAAACTCAAATGGGCAAGTGAAAACAATGTACAGTGACACAACGACACGACAAGAGCGAGCGGCGGCTCGCCGCTCACTTGATGGAGCAGGCGAACTGGGCGCGCAGCCGCCGCAGCGACACGGCCGCGGTCGTCTCCGCCTCCGCCTCCGCTTCCGCTTCCACCTCCGCCTGCGACAAGCGAGCGCTATAAACTGAGTTATACAAGTAGCGAAGGAAAATCTTCATGTTAACTAGAGGGACATTTTATACAAAAGTCGTCTGCACGTATCCCTTTATCCCATCTACGTTTCTGTCGTGAAGCAGCAGTGCTTTGTTTCGGTTCAAAGGGTGGAATATGGCAGAGAAATTATACAAGACGGAGGCATACCATAACACTATAGTCCTCAGGAGTAGCAATGCATAAGGGGTACCACGGCCATCACAGTATCTGCTGTGATGTCTGTGGTACTTACTGTTCGTGTCTACAGGCAACTGTTACCACTTTCCATCAGGCGTGCCGTCAGCGTGTTTTCTATTCTATCATAAAAAAAATTGTTTTATTTACTGACCTCCACGCAGACCATCCGCGATGACTTTGTTATCATCTGTCACCTTAGTGTAGTATAGTAGGTACCCTACCAACATCAACTCCATCTGCACAGGCGGGCTTACCATTCCATTTATAGAAAAAAAAAAATAACTAAATTAAGAACTGTAAAAAAGAATTACCTTGTAGTGCGTAGTATCGTTGTTATCATTCTCGAGATCATCGATTTGTAAACAAACTGAAAACAAAACAGTAAGATCAGATAAGTGCACCTCGGTCGCTACCCTTTGGAGTGCTGAACACACCACGTCTATAGAAAATCGATTTATTATTTCATCTCGACAGTGTTTACACCTGTACAAACAAACAGCCGGACACACAGATAAAATTGAGAGAAATATGTTTTTCCCGTTTCTATCTACTTTGCTAGTCGTCCCCAGCCCATCATCGCGGTTGTGATTCGTTAAAGATCAGTTATTATTATTGAGAAAGAGCTGGAAACCTTGTAACACTGCGACCTCTGTGATCTATTGTGCTCGCCCTTTTTAACGTTCGCTGCTAATTCCTGGCAGTTATAGGAATTTTAAAATGTTCTTAGTAGCCATGTTTTTTATTTCTTAAGGAGATTAAAGTATATTTCCTAAAAGAGATATATCGTTTGTGCATGCGTGTGCCGCAGCCACAAATTATGTACTGTAGCGTTTCTTCTGCGTCATGACAAAATATACAAACGGATTATGGGTATAACCTAGTTGGGCCAGGTGCTTATTTCGTTTGCAGTGTCCAATGAGAGAAAACAAATGTTGTTTTTACTCGAAAGAATTAAATTCTTTTAGTAGCTCCTTAATCAGAGGTTTCCTGTGATTTCATTTAGTTTTATTTGCTATTTTTAAGCATTCAGAGCTTTAGGCTTTGAAGTATGCAAGCTTCTGGTCCTATTTGGGCATTCTTTGCCCAGTCTTTTGCTAATTGGTCAGTTACTTCATTATTCATGTTTAAGTGATCAGGGATCCATCTTCAGATAATGTTATTTCTGCTTCCCAAGTCGATTAATAATATTATACAGTTCTTTATAAATTTTGATTTATTTTTTTTATTTAGTTATTTATTGAATCCAGTACTAGTACTAGCGGTGGGGGGAAAGGGATTGTTAGTAATGGGGTCTAATAGCCCCATTACTGGCAATATATCCTCTCAGGTGGAGGTCACTCCACCCGGTTCCTCCTGGAAACCATCATGTTTAATTTATGTCGAATTCATCATGGTGGGCCAACTAACCTGCATTCATTCTCACCTATCATCTTTCACTGGTGCCTCGTCGGTGTATACCAATAGCGCGAGCGGGGTTACCAATCCATTATCCCATTAAAAAAAAAAGTACTAGCGCTATGCTATATACTAAATATATATATATATATATATATATATATATATATATACTAAACTAAACTAGTAGTGACACTAATGCTGCTTAATATATTATTATTGTGAGTGGAAGATCTACGTTATTAATCTAATTAAGTTAATCTTTTGTACATTATATCATTAGGAAAATCGATTTCTTAGAACTAATTTTAGTATGTATTAATTATTAGTGTCTCAAAAAATTCTTTTATTTAGCAAAATTTTTAAATTTCGAAAAACTAAATAATCAACGACACTACATAATAATACTCGTAGATATATTATATATGTACACACCTTGTACTGAGTACTCTGTGGTGTAGTGCCGTTGACAAGATACAGATTATGTTTTTTGACATTTTTTATTACTGCTTTGGCGCTAAATAGCTACCAGCTCCAGTATTCTCCTTGAGGCGCGCCGCGATCGTCCTCCTGGCTTTTTACTTATGCAAATAAATATAGCAATATGATAACATAGTAAAAGTTGCCCACCGGGTGACGAGTGGCGGCAGCACGGCGGCGGAGCGTTGCCGTTGTCGTCGGCGGGCGCAGGCCGCTCGCCGCCGCTGCCGCTGCCGCCGCCGCCGCCGTCGGCGCTGCCCGCCGTGCCGGTGCTCTCCCAGCCGCTGCCGCTGCCGGACATCGAACCGGAGCCGGAGCCCGACGCGCACGCACCTGCTCACGTATACAACCGTCAAGCATTTCTCGGAGACGTTCCGCAAGAATCGAGCACTCACAGTAAATATACGAACTGTCGGTGTGGTCCGTGCGCCGGCTGATGGAGAGACTGGGCGAGGAGTCCAGCTCGAGCGAGGACTGCGAGGCACACGACGCCTCCGTGTCGGAGCCGCCCTCCCCCTCCGACTCGCTCGCCGTGCGCGCCGCCTCGGCCTCATCGGCCTCCTGTTCCATCACCTCCTGTCACCCGTACACGACCATTAGTAGCAGGTACACACATGCATGTAATATATTCGAGTACAAGTGCTACTCGTATGAACGTGCTCTCATGCGTACATACGTGTCGCGAGGCGAGGGCGCGGCGCCGCGAGCCCGCGCTGCTGTCGCCGCTCGAGCTGCCGCGTCGCGGCCGCGGCTCGTCTATGGCGGTTACACACATAAGTTAATACAAATAAATACTTTGTTCGACTAGTCAATATAGAAAGGTTGAACATTCCAATAAATGTTTATAAAAACCTGTGTGGAGTAGTGTAGTGATTTTTACCGACGAAAAGTTAAAAAACGACCATGACTGCTTTTAAAAATAATAAGTGTGTATGTATCGTATGTCGCGGATTAATATTTATAAACATTTTCTGGAACGTGCCAATATTTTGAGAATGGATACTGACCAGCACGCTTGTGTGCGTTCACTTTATGTTGCAGTAGAGGGTAGAAGCCGCGCGCGGTGGTATTGTGCGGCTCGTACTGCAGGATCAGGCGGCAATACTTGAGCGCTTCGGCGTACTGCCGCTGCATAATAGCCGACAGGAACTGGCGACATATATGGTACATAGCGTGTTATAAGGTTGCGGCAGACCTCCGATTACGCTTACAACTAACAAGGGTGAGTGATGATTGTTGTCATGTCTAAAATAGGAACTGACCTCGGCGAGAAACTCGCTGGGCGCTGAGGCGGCATCGTTTCCGTCGGAGCCCTCGTCCGGAGAGCAAGGCGGGCGCGCGTCCATAGCGCGCGCCGTCGCCGCCGGCAGCGTCACCACGAGCCGGCGCGGCGCCGACAACACCGGCGGCGGCGCCGGCAGGGGCGGCGCGGGCGACGCGGGTGAGGCCAAGCGCCGCCGCTCGCCGAGCCGCAGCGCGGCACGACACGCGGTGTCGAGGACGCGCGGGCCGGGTGGCGCGGGCGGCGGCCAGTGCTGGCGGACAGCGGTCGGCGCGGCGGCCCGCGGCGGCGCCGCCCGGTACAGCCGCGCTTTGGGCACCGGCCGCCGAAATGTGCGCTTTCGACGTCGACCGTGCCCTTCGCTTCGCTCGGCTTTCAGCTTAGTTTTCGGCGATGGTCCCGGGTAGCTGCAGCAATTGTAGCAAAGCCGTGAAACGACAAGTGTCAGAGTCGCTTAGAGTTCACAGTTGGATTTATACTCACAGTCTGGGGTTAGGAGTATAGGTGCGAGCAGTGCGAGCGCGAGGCGAGGCGTCGGATCTCAATAGCCGCGGCGGGCGCGGTGCACCCAGATTTATCACGTCGTCCGCCTCGGCCTCGCGAGTTCTTCTGAAATACGATAAGGAACCAATACCTAGTTTTATAAGATAAAAAAAAATATACGGAATAGTAACACTATCGATGAACGGGGTACCAATGAAGGATGACAGTTGATAATAGAGTTAGATCAGTTAATGGCAAATTCAACGGGATTTTATCGCGATGTTTTGCTTCGAGAACCGCGTAAAAGTCGACCTGATATTAATAGGATCGCAAATGACCGATGGTGTTCTATTACTAACTATTCCAGCCTGTCGGTGCCTTTATTTTATTATGACAAAAATTATGTAATAATAACCCTGCTTCTCATATTCCATGTTATGAGGAACTAGGCAAGAAAAGGTCATTTCTTAAATTGGAATCGAAACCGGGACGGAGGTCGTCATTATCATCATTGTCACTGAAGACATTTTATTATTTCACAAAAAAATAACCATATATGAGTATATCTAGACTATAATAATACTTAAATATGATAATACTAACAAAGCGGTATTCCGACATTTAAATAGATATATACATAGCGAGGATCGAAAACAAATGCTCACTGCAAAAAACACGAATCTTATGCACATGCAGTAAGCGGATGACTCTATCACCATCGAACGGAGACAATAGCTGTGGCAACGCAATTTAAAAACAAGCGCACGATACCATACGCAAGAATACCATTCGATATGTTATCTGGAGATAACAGACGTTTGCATTTTCAAGTTATAGAAATATCCTATACTTGTCACGGAGAGCATACCCCACGTCGATTCAGTTCTCTAGTACCACAGTCAAGACCATACGGAACAAAGTTGCAGACGACATGGACCGTTTGCCAGGCTGAAAAAAGTGATAGCATGCTCCTGGATAGGCAGCAACTATGATTTATTTATTCATTCATTTCTGTGGTACATCAACAGACTACAAACAAAACTCTTACCAATAGAATACAACAATAGCATTATAAGTTTGCAATCCAATTATAGTTGTACTCAACATTCACAGAGATGAAACAGCATACGTTGGTTTTTAATACAAAAAGAATGTTAATGAACGATATAATTATCAAAAAGACAATGATGATGATACTCGTGGAGCTATTTTCTTGTATGCATTATGAATACTCCATGCACGCGTTCCCGCTCAATTTAAACAAGTCAGCCGGCTGCAGTTGAAATGTGAATAAAAATAAATGTTGTATACGCTATCTGCTTATATTAAGTACTATTTCCCCGTGTTCTATCTTCATCTACCAGTGTCACTCTCTCCTGTTGTATGTGTGCTTTTAAGTTTGTATATGTTATAAAAAATACATACGTATTTGTTTATATGTATATATATATACATATGTATATATTCACATATACATATATGTGTGTATCTTTATACATATTTGTTTATATATAATAGTGCGCCACCTAACCTTTTTTTCTTTTCTCAATGTCCTCTACTCAAAGATTGAAAGAGATTGCTTAGCGATAAGGCCGCTTTTTGTATCATTTCTCATTACAGTTAAATGTATTTACTATTTTATAAATGGTGCAATAAAGTGTAAAATAAATAAATAAAGTAATATCAAGCAGAATTTTGGTTGTAAATCATTGCTTGTTAGTGTTAGTTATCATTTACATGGGATCCGTTAGGTACGCTGAAGTTAATGTGGTGTGCCCGAGTCCCGAATGGGTGATAACGTGAAAGGTTAATGTTCCCGCGGCCCGTGGATCGATGAATGCGACTAGTGCCACGAGAAAGTACGCGCCGCTAGGCCGCCGGGGGCTCTACTTAGGAACATAGAACATATATACGGCATATATCATATGTAGTGAAGCCTGCGCTACGTGTACTAATTAATTCTAAGCTGACAATGCCGAATAACCATTGCTCAAGCGACTTCCAGAAGAAGGAGATAATCCAAGTCGACTGAGTCTTATTTTTGTTACACAATTACGGCGTCAATTTTAAGTTGATTTTTACAATTCTTTTTACAATCTACGGGGTTTGCTCTCGTGTTGGTCTCATTTTAATTTCGTAAAACAAATAGTTCAGTCCTCTACAATCGACTGATGTTGATAATTATTTTTTTTTCTTAGAAGCCTAGTTTTACATGTAGGTACTGTCACTGAATCTCGGATTGTTACAACTTTCCGTAACATTTCATACCTCTTATATGTTGCTTGCTACATGGATGCGGTCCGGTACATATAAGTATAATGTGAAAAAATAATAATATTATACGAAAGTCGAAAGTGTTCTTCTTGTCTTTGAAGCATGTTCCTAATAATTTCTAAACATATAGTGTTACGAGTTTATTACAGACTAGCGGTCCGTCCTGGCTTCACACGGGTGGACATTTTTACATTTTAAAAATTGATCATTAAGGCTGCACACGCGACGGAAGCTTAAAAATGGAGTAACTTCTCCCATTTGCCCATATCCCGTATCCCATATTCCGCTCCTATTGATCGTAGCGTGATGAAAAGTATACTATAACCTGCTCCGAAGTATGAAGGAATACCATGGAATGGAATACAATGGAAATACCATGAGGCGGGATGGAAAGAATTCCCACGGCTTCTCCCTACAAAAACCCCTGCGCAGGGGGAAGCCGTGGCCAATATCTAGCGTGATATATGTTAATATGAAACATGATTGTTGTAGGTAGCCTACACAAGTACAATCTAATATTGGTTTATTACAACGTATTATTTATATGTATAAGTTAAGTTGTATAATATGTATGTATATATATTATACAACTTAGAATGGTAAACAAGCTGATGGAAAGTGGTAACGGTCGCCTATACACATGTGCAGTACCATGCACATAACAGAGTATATATTATTTATATACGTTGTAATATTATTCTATTACTAGCGGCTAGTCCCGGCGTCGCACGGGTGGACATTTTTAACATTTCCCTTCACTGCAGTAGTTTTTGTTTCTATAACAAACATACAGACAGACAGACAAAAATTTTAATGATTGCATTTTTGGCATCAGTATCGATTACTAATCACCCCCTGATAGATATTTTGGAAATATATTTCATGTACAGAATTGACCTCTCCACAGATTTATTATAAGTATAGATTATAATAATAACAACTATGGAACTCTATTGGTGTAAAAAGCTTCCGAGTTGTCCAATTTATTTTGAAAATAATAATTATATTGTTCTAATATTATTTTTAAATACACAATCAGGATTTATTACTACTTCTTCACAGTTCTGCTATGAGTACGTAGTCACGACGTGGTACAGTACAATCCACGTCGAAACGTCAGCTATAAAGAAGCAGGTGTGTACGTACTATTTACCTGTAAAAGCTTTTTCATAGCGTTAAGTCCCGATTGTGTATTTAAAAATATGTGCAAACAACACTAAAATTAACTAAACTAATATTAGGTCGCTACTGTGTAGCTAGTGAGCAAAACAGGCCCACCCACCTGCAGTCGGCGACGTCGCGTTGACCAGGTGCGGCTACTCTCAAACTGGATTTAACAATGATTACGTCTTGGCTGCGGGCACCCGCCTTTACGCCCTCTAAATTGTTCCTGCAAGACAAAACATTTCCATTCAATTCAATTGATTGCCCAAAAGAAAAGTAACAAAGTTTAGTTTCAGTTGTGAAGAACACAGTTTTTTCAAAGGAACTACTATTTTCAACCGACTTCCAAAAAATGGGTTGCTTAATTCGGTTGTTCGGTATTTTTTTTAACTTATTTAAAGTTATACTTATATAAAATATACGCCATTAATTACCATAATTGGTAATAAACAGATATAAAAAAAATACAATCGACTTGAAAATTCTTTTCTTTTTGTAGTCGATTGAAAATTATTTGTCCTGCTTGACACACAGCCGAAACTACTAAGTCTAGAAGGCTGAAATTTGACAACATCCATTTATTTTATAACATAAGCTTTCGCTAAACTAGAATTTTTGAAAATGTAGACAAAAGGGAAACATGACACCACGCGTGCTAAGCCACTGGCAACAGATAGTAAAGTATATTATGAATTTTAAAATTGTGAATCGGAATCATATTTTAGAGAGTCCAACGACTCGGCTTGTTGGTACTAGTAATCTGGACAATATTCATATTGGTATGCTGTAGGAGTAATAACACAACATCTGAAGCATCTCTATTCGTTTCGTCGAGCGAACGGTGGGAGCACCGACTGGCCTGCCTGCGCTGCGCCCGCGATCTCCCGCGATATTTGGCTGAACAGCATGTTTTGATTTATTATTTGTTACATTTACTCGCTTAGAATTAATTATTTATAATAAACATTTCGTTCGGCTTAATTATTTACCAGAGGGAGATTTTGTACAAAAATCGTTTGCTTGAGTACCTCTATCCCATTCGTGTTTCTACCATGAAGCAGTTATGTTTGCATAGTCATGTTTCGGTGAGGGTGGGATATGGCAGTGAATTTACACGGTACATAGGAATATTACCTGGGTCCTCAGGAATGGCAACACATGGGTATATCATGGGCGAAACAGTATATTCTGTTGTGTCCACTGTACTGCTCATGTCTAGTGAGGAAGTCAATCACAAAAGTAAAAGTAGCATGTCGTATTTAGTTGCCGGTCTGCTATAGAGGCACACGTCGCCGACAATGATAAGAACTGTGATTCCCCCACGTATTGGCGTATTTTAGACTATTTTCCGAGGGAAAGGAGCTTGGTCCTTTAAAAAATGCGCGTCTCGAGTATGTACCCTCAGACATGCCTTTGCACATAGTTTAAAACTCCGCTTATCATCGTGGAGTAGGCACCAGAGTATTATGCAGTGGGCATGGTCCACTTGCCTCCCTTAAATACGCCTATGCTGCTACGTAGTGCAGAAACACTCGAGTACTATATATGTTTACAATATAAACTTAATTTTTTTTTTATAAATTAAATCACTTTTTAATAATATCTACCCCTAGGTATATATCTTTCACGCGTTGTCTTGTTACTCACGTATCAGGAACCATCGTGATTAACGTTATTCTGATATTCGACTTGTCCATATTTTTTGAACATATTGGAATGCGACGTATTGTTAATTATTCACTTAGTACCGAAGGTTTATTTTGTACTACTCGAGGCTCTTGTTTATAAATTAGTAAAGCAACAATGGATAAATTGGTAAACTTTACCTGCCTGTCTCACTGCTGACGAGGATCAATTAGACAGGTAGGTAAATGCAAATTATATTTAGAATTCTATCACTGAGAACGTAAAAGGACTATTTGTTGGCATACATTGATAACTCCACTTGAATACTGCTTAGTGAATTCAAGCTAACTAAAACGACATGGATAAAATCTTAATCGATGTTGATATACTGCGACGTAGCGACGAGACGGCTCGCAGCCTGCTGGAAGGTGCATCTTCCCAACAGGAGTTCGGCCTGCTGGCGACAGTGCCAACAACCCCCGCGTTATGCAACGTACACATTTCAATACTATCAGGCGTCCCAGTTATCATTCATGTTGGATGTTTTTAACTTTAGCCTTTATTGAATTTTCAAGTAAAGTTTAGTTTCAAAAATTATGAACTGATAAGCTATAAATGGCTGCTCACCTCTATTACCAGTAGGTACACATGACAACACATAAAACCTGTGTAGATAGCTGATAAATGAGTATCTACGTGATAAAATTGTCACGCGCCAATATCGCGTCCAAAACAAAAGCACATTTGCAATGTATCGATTGTGGAGCAACAGTTTGTTTGGTGGGCCGTGCTCGTCGCGGCACAGGCGGCGCGGCGCGGCGCAGCGGCGGCCGCGAGCCGAGCCACGTGGCGTTATGGGCGTTCTGCACTAGTACCTCCACGACCGAACATTGCGCCATCCGCTTCCGTGGTGCGAGCGCGGTGTATCGCGGCGAGTACGCTGGCACGGCCACCGCGGCGCCTTCCACCGACTGAGTCGCTCGCTCGCCGCCCGCCTCACATTATCAAGGCTCACAACGAAGCGCACTGCGCATGCTCTACTCATACTATTATACTACCATTGAATGTTTATTTCGTTTTCTTATCTAAGGCCATTTTATATGACTATCTAGATACCTATTATATTAAACTGGATACAAATTTCTACCTAAGCCTTACATTTTTATACCTATCTGTCGCCTATATCTCTGCTAGAGTGTATCAATAATTATTTAATGTTTGAATATTTTTTTAATTAATTTATCGTATTGGTATCCAATACACCTCAAAGTTTGAAGACGGAGCTCTATAACTAGTGCGTGTTGACAATTATGACTTATGGAATCAAAACATGGTCCTACATGATTACCCGTATGCAAAAACTTTAGATTACTCAGCACGCTATGGAGAGGGCTATGTTCGGAGTTTCCAAAATGAGGATATCCGCAACAAATCCAAAGTGACCGTCATCAGGGCTAATAATTAAATTGAAGTGGCTATGAATTGGTCACATAACTCAAAGAACCGACAACTTATAAGGAAGAAAGCTTCTTGAGTAGCAACCCCGCACGGACAAACGCAGTATAGGATGACTCCCCATTAGACGGAGTAATGATTTCAAATGCATTGCAGGATGTCGGTGGATGCAGGGGGCTCAGGACCATTTCAAATGGTAATTTGTGGGAAGGCCTATGTTCAGCACTGCACAGATAATGGCTGAGATGATGATGGTGGTGGTGTTGACGATTGGAGTCTTGACTATTTCCTAACGAGCGTAACTTTTTTATGTAAGTTACAGAGTCTCACAAGATCGGCCTTCTTAACCTATCGGAGTAATTTTAATTTTACTTACACATTAATTCCAGGCTTAGTTTTGGTAACCATTTTATTTTCAAATGTTTCTTTATGCCTAAACACTGATAATTTTAAAATTTTACGACAATATTATTCACATATTTTTTTTTATTTTATTACAAAAATACTTTAAGTCATTTTCGAAACAATTGAAATCCATCATTCCACGTTTTTTATACAGACAAACTTTAGGTATTAGATCAAGGAAATAAATTTTAAATAAGGTATTTTTAAATGTATTGGTCCATTATTTTTATTGATTTGTACATAAATTGTCATATTATTTTTAGGCTGTTTGGATATTGTACTTTTGCCTATTTTTGCTTTTTCGTTATAATAATTAACTGTCATTGTCATCGCATTTGTCACTATTTCCTTGTTTATTTACTGTCATTCCTATGCCATCATGTCATGTCAGTGGATGTCAATTTCTTGACAGACAGTCAATGACCGTCACTCGCAGAGATGGCTGAGTTATTGTTTGTACCGTTTAAAAAATCCTCAGATGTTGATATTGTGAAACCATTGAAGAATCTAATTCAATCCACTTATAATTCCGGCGAGAACAATGAGGAATACAGTGATGCGCTTAACGAATTGAGCCGCCTCAGGACCAACGCCATTTGGAAAGTGTTTGAGAAATCTTCCTTGGAAGTTCTTTACAGGTAGGTAACATATTAATTGTGACGAATGAGTCATAGTCGCTAGTTGAATCATTCAAATAATTCATAATACGTTCATCTAAAAAAAGATATTTCAAGTAAATCATGATAATGTCAGTAATAGGTAACCGATGTCGAAATCCAAACAAAACAGTGATGTCACTGTCGTATTCATTCATTATATTGTACGTAATGACGTCGCATCGCTAGTGCGACGCCCCGGGGATTGAATTCATAAATTTTAACAAATGTACGATGTCTCTCGACAGCTATTATGATCAGCTTGTGCGCTTGGAGAGCAAGATCCCACCACAGGAGGTGCAGATTCCCTTTAAATGGAAGGATGCCTTTGACAAAGGCTCTATTTTTGGAGGCCGGATGAGTCTAAGTAAGATCTCTCTAAATATTATCTTAGTTTAATAATAATGCAATAATATTTTGTCACTTTTTGTACATTTATACACTACTTATCTAGTCATGTCAATTCATTGTAATATAAAGTCATTAAAAATATACACAATTATAAAAGCTGCAACAAAATGAAGACATATCTAATCACAATTTATAATTTTTTTTGTATCATTTAAGAACTCATTTACTGAGTAATAAAATTTATCCAGAAATAGCTTGAAAAGCATTTTTTTTTTAAATAGAATAAATTATTACAATTCCTGATACTTTCAGGTAGGTGGTTATCCATATTGCCATGAAGTAAGTGTTAGTACTCAATACATTTAGTTGTTGTATAGGTACATATAATTAGTTTTTATGCCTGTTACTGTGGCTTATAATGTCTGTTTGTTTTTTAAATAATTGTGAGTAATAAAAATACACATTTCTAACAAGTAAAGAAAAGGTAAAGGCAGTATTTTATTCATCCTAAATAATGGTTTACAACTAACTCGGAAATGTGTATTAGACAGTGTTCTAATAATTTTTTTTGTGCCTTAAATTCAATATTAGTATCAACTGAATTACCCAACAGTGTTATGCCATATCTTAAAAGAGATGATACATAACCATGGTCAGCTAATAATGCTAATTCCTTGTCAGCAGTTTTCTATAAACAATTTAATACAAACACAAATTTGTTAAGTTTAGTGCTTGATTTTTCAGCATGAAGTTTCCAGTTACATTATTGATCTATTGTTATGCCAAGAAACTCGGTATTGTCAGCAGTATTTATACAGTCATTGTTTACAGATAGCAAATAAATATAGGCCTATATTTATTATAGTATACTATTCAGATGTTTGATATTTAAATTTACTTGAGGTGAACTTACTTATAAGATAACCTAGACCAGAGGTGGCTGACTTGACTAGACCCAAGATTTACTGTTTACTTATGAAACCCTGTGCAATTAACCAATTACATGCTTTTTGAAATAATTAAACAACATAGTTTAGTATAGAATTATGTAGTATTGTGGTACTTTTTATTTTATTTAGAGGGAAAACATAAAACAAAAAATTATTTTTAGTAACTTCTTGATATTAGTATAAGTTTGTATCTAAGCATCTGTTAGATTACTAAAATATTATATTTTTTACCTGCCATGATCAACTGCACTGGTAATAGCTGTGATCAACCAGTTGAGTTAGCACCACTTGACCTAGACTCTTTCTAAGGTATATTAAATTTCTGAAGAAGTTCTCAAAGATCTGTGACCATTAGTCAACAGTGGACTTGATTCTATGGTGTCCGTTCTCTAAACCTGTCTCTAAAATTAAAATTTCATTATGATATCGCAGTGAAATCATTATTGTAAAGATGATATATATTTACTAATATGAACTAAACTTCAAATAGACTTCAGTTAAAATTTATATAAATTTAGTTTGTAATGATCCATGAAACAGTAATTGCATACACTGTCAAAATAAAATATTAGTTTAAAACATAAATATGGAAAAATGGTACCTCAGAATCAACACCAATATTCTTATAGTTTGAGACATCTCTACATGTGGTGTTAACAAAATCAATTAATATTAACTGTAATTGTAAAAGTAAAATATTAAACTCTGTTAAATAATATGTTACTTGGACAGCCATAAGCTCGCTCGCCTATGAACGGATGTGTGTGCTGTTCAACATTGCTGCGATGCAGAGCACCATCGCCGCGCAGCAACCGCTCGACACCGAGGACTCCCTCAAACTGGCTGCCAAACATTTTCAGGTTCCTATCTAAATATTCATTACTAGCTTTTATTCACAACCTCTTCTGCATTACTGGGTTACCTATATCTATTGACCACAATAATAAGTAGCCTATGTCTTTCTCCCAATCAAATACAATGTGTATGTCAAATTTCCTAATATTTAAATGAACTGTTAAATTATCAAGAGGTCATGTACTTACTAATTGGACTCATTTACTCTGCTCATATTTATTCATTTATTTGATATAAAACAAATCTCTCTTGTAATGCACGTGAGGTTGTGTGTCTCCAATATTGTGCATACGTGCAGCAAGCGGCCGGCGTGTTCGCTTATTTGAAAGCGAACATAATGATGGCCGTGCACCAGGAGACCACGCCCGACCTCAGCCCGGACACGCTGAGCGCGCTCTCGCAGCTGATGCTCGCGCAGGCGCAGGAGGTCATCGCCTACAAGTGCATCCGAGGTGAGCGCCTGCTGCCGCTGTTAGTTCGCATACGGCCGCTGTGCGGTGCCGATACGTCGCTATATTCGCGGAGTTGCAAAATTATTTGAAACTTGTCACAATCAATGTTAGTTATTAATGTAGTGTTTGGCTTCACATTTTATATTGACAGTGTTATAATATAATGACGATGATACAGCCGTTAACTGTCCACTGCTGAACATGGGTCTCCCCCTGGGGATTTTGTCAGTAATTGCCACGCTTGGCAGGCGGGTTGGCAACTACAGTTAGATTTTGGTGAAGTTTTAAGAGAGACGCTACTACTCATCTCTCGACCATCAAGTTCCCTTAGTCGCCTCTTACAACACCCACGAGAAAAGAAGGGGTGCCTCATTCTGTACCTGGATCATATGCAATAAGTTTAATATTAGTGACAAATATGTACGTACATATGTATTAATGATATATTACTACAAGTAACATATTATCATATTGGGAAGGATTTTCCAGTAGTATTTCTACATGTATGTATGTTGCATTTTATAATGCTATATTTTTTGTATACTAACTGCTAGGCGAAAGGCGATCCCGCTGTCAATATTATGACTTAGCTACCAACTTCGGGAAAGGAAGGGGTGGCCTATTCTATATGCAGTATGCAATTGGTATATTATAACACTGTCTGTATAGAGGGTAGTGAGTAGTAGTGCGGCCCGCGTCCTTTGATTATTATCAAATTTATAATGTACCCTTATCGGTGACACAGTGTTACAGTATCGACTTATAGCACAGATTTTAAAGCAAAATAGTGAATAGTACAGATGCCAACAAGAACATTAGTGATAGATATATAATTTATTTGCATTACTTGCAGCAGACAAAGATAGACATGCACAATAAAAAGATATAAAAAAATACATATGTAAAAAAATTGTCTACCTCTGCATTAATTTTTTACACCATATAGTGAACGTTAATGTTTATTTCTTAAACATGCTTGGAATTGTAAGCATTATTTTGACAATCTTCTTCGAGATAAATCAAAATTGCCGTACTGGCCAGATACATACGGGTAGCGGCCGGCAAAAGTTGTATGAAAATCTATATCTGTCGTGTTTTGCGGCCAGATAAATTACTATATAAACTCATATCTGTCCTGTAATTTAAAAATGGAATGACCTTTTACTTCGAAACATGGCTCCCAAGGAGGTAACTAATAAAAGGTTTTATTTAAACTTCGAACTGGCTTGCAAATAGAAAGCTGTTTATTGAAAAAAAAAAGAAAGGAACATTATGGCGCGTGAAAAATGATTATTGTTCGTTATTCGTCATTGAACTTAAAAAGTAAAATTGTGTTTTTGATTTCCGCGCATTGTTTGAGAAAAGTGCTATATAAGCTTTAGCCACAACTAGGCATTGATGGACGAACGTGCAAATGTGGGCCGAGGCGTAGCCGAGGCACACATACGTGAGTCCATCAATGCCTCAGTTGCTGGCCGCTGCAGTAGCGTACTAATACATGGAATTGAAATAAATAAATAGCTTAAAAACTGTTTGATATGTGGAAGTGTGGAAGGTGCTTGTGGCCGTTGCTGTAGTGTGTGTGTGCTCGTGTGCTCGTGTACTCGTGTACTGAGTGTGTACGGTGCGCTGCCGGCAGACGAGATGAAGGAGAGCATGGTGGCGAAGGTGTGCGCGCAGTGCGAGGAGCTGTACACGGACGCGCTGCGCGCGCTGCACGCGGAGCCCGCGCGCACGCTGTGCGCCCGCGACTGGATCCCCGCCGTGAGACCTCGCCTGCCTCGTCACACCCGCTCACTCATACACGCTGCTATACTCGAATCACTACATTTATACCACATTTGTAATTCAAATGATCATCACCACAGGGAGACTTTGTACAAAAGTCGTTAGCTTGGCCACCTCTGTCCCATTCGTGTTTCAACCGTGAAGCAGTTGTGTTTGCATGGCTGTGTTTCGGTTTGAAGGGTGGGATATGGCGTGAATTTACTGGGTACAGAGGAATAACAACCGAGTCCTCAGGAATGACAACGCATAGGGGGTATCATGGGCGAAACGGTATACTCTGTTATGTCCATAGTACTGCTCATGTCTATAGGCGACAGTTACCACTCTCCATCAGGTGGGCCGTCAGCTTGTTTGCAATTCTAAGTTGTATAAAAAAAAAAGATGAGTATTCCAATAACAAATTTTAGTTTGTATGTTTTTATAAATAAAAGAATGAATACGTAAATTGATAAAAGTACTCATGACATTAAATTCAGTAATATTTCTATTTCCGTTTAGGTAACGGCAAAGCAAATGGCTTTCCGGGGTCTCACCCATTTCTACCAGAGCCTGGTGTGTCGCGCCAACAAGGCTGTCGGCGAGGAGATCGCGCGCTTGCAGGTAACTTTATATTGGGTATAACGGACAGTGCAGGCCATTATTCTGAACTGAAAACCAGTGGAAATTCTTTCTGGAAAATTACAAGTTTTTTTTTTTCTATTTTTTCATTGAAAATCGTAATTTATGATATTATTTCATAATGAAAAGAAATAATATTGTTAACCGTTCGTAAAATAAGATCTTACAAAATGACATTAATCGTCCGGCAACGGTTATTAGTGGACTGTATGAAAATTATTACAATGATGGTAGCTAAATAAGAAATACAAGAGGATAATGAAGGTGGCGACCACTCACCTGAAGCTTTGTAGTTAGCAGGATTCGGTTCTGGCTTTAGGCTTCCCAGTACTTCTGGCTCGTTCGAACTTACCCTCAGATCCAGGTTACCTATCCACCGCTTTGAACCGACCAGCAGTGCAATGCCCTCCTCTCAATCAGCCTCTTAAAAGCGATACGAAACGATATATAAATTTATACGATATTCGCGGCAATACATGCACGCGCGTGTCAAAATTAAATATTAAATTACTGTAGGGTAATACATTTATATAGTAGTTTAATTATGGAATTATAACTTTACATGGTATATGTATATGATATATTATTTATTAATATAAAGGTTGTAAGCCTCTTGGTAATGAATAGAAATGAAGCACAAGTTCTCACAGTTCATTTACTTTAGATATCATACTATTAAATCATATATTTACTTATTTCACTTAGTATTTGATATATAACAAATAATATAACATAAATACCCAACTTTTGTTAATCCATTCACACTTATTTAACTATAGCTTCTTTAGGACTTCCATCAACAATAATTGTGATATATTTTATATAATGACCACGTGGTTCACTATACTTGTTCACTCTTGATACGGCAGGGAGCTCCGCTCTGTTCAAGTCGGTTGGACAAGCAGTGTCTCCCCACCCAAATGACAATCTTTTATATTCACACGGCGGAATTCGAGTAAACAAGTCACATGTTCTTACAATTTCATTACTTTTTATTTAATTATCACGATAATAAATAATTATAAAATCAATTAAAATATAAATTAGTGTTCTATATACATTACAAGAATAATTTATTACCAAATCCGGTATAATAACAATTTTAATACTTTATTATAGTTAAAGTAGTTACTTTGATTTTTATTAATAAATGTAGGTACACATTTTGACACAAGATGTTTAAGAAAATTAATATAATTTAAAATAAATATCTAACACGTGCGATAATATTTAAAAACGAGAACGACGACAATGAACGTACGTTCTACCGACACATTTGATAACAATAGACAAGACATTTTTTTTCTTTTTTACGATATCGTTGCCAGGCGAAATTTATTATAGCTACAATTCTTAACAAATATTATTTAATAGTAAAATACTATAAAATTAAAAAAAAAAACAGCAACAGAATCAGCTGTGTGAAGTTCAATTCAATTCAATTTTTTTATTGCATTCTACTAATAAGTAATTAATAAAGTATATTGTAGGGAGACCTATGTCCAGCAGTGGACGGATAATGGTTGGAATGATGATGATGATGAGTAGTAATAATATGAACAAGTAAATTTTTTGTAAACATTTATAAACTCGTCTAATGTATAATATGCTTTCTTACAAAGAATGCGTTTGTTTACTTACAAAGAAAGTTTGTTATAAAATCTTATGCAATTCTCACATAAAGAATTACTAACATTTGTTAAACGGCATTTAGATAATATTAATCAATGATTGTTGCGTAAGCTCTTACTTGTACAATCGCTAACTTTTTTAAAAATAATATTTTTCCTCACATACGTAATATTGTCGTAAATGTATTTGGAAGCAACTGTGAGGATATTTGTTTCCCTGAAACGATGTCGTACTGACTCCCTTGAACCGATGCCATAAATGGAACGAATGGACCTCTTTTGTAAAATGTTGTATTTATACCCGCTGCTTTATCCCATAACAGTATTCCATATGATATAATGCTATGGAAATAGCTAAAATAAACAAGTTTAGCAGGTGCTATATCCGTTAATTGCCTAATTATTCCAACTGCAAATGCAGCTGAGCTAAGTCTACCAGCTAATATAGAAATATGGGCACCCCACTGCAACTTCGAGTCTACTGTGATTCCTAAAAATACGGTATCGTTAACAAAATTTAACGTATCACTGTTCAAAATTACACGGAAACCACCTGCCTTACATTAGGAAGCGTAAATTTAACTGTCTACTTTTCACACACTACTTGTTTTAATTGGATGATACAAGTGGAGGCCGGGGCACAGACGTATCGGGGCTCAGAGAAGCGAGTAAATGCGTAGTAGATAACGTAAGGTCGCCGGGCGGCCGGTGCGGCGCGGCGCAGTTCGCAGTGGAGCAGCTGAAGGCGGCGCAGGCGCGCGGCGCGCTGCTGGAGCAGGCCACGCGCGCCGCGCGCCACCTGGCGGAGGCCAGCAAGGACAACGACTTCATCTACCACGAGCGCGTGCCCGACGTGCGCCAGCTCGAGCCCGTGGGCCGCGCCGCCGTCGCCAAGCCGCTGCCGCCGCCGCAGCCGCCCGCCACCTGGGCGCAGCCCGCTAGGGGTACGCTCTCCTCTGCACTACCACTACTACAGTACTAGTACTCACTCAGAAAGTATTGCGACAAAAAGTTTTTATGTATGTGCGACTGGTCACTTATAATTTATTTAAAAATATATAAAAATAGGTACGTTCTAAATTCAAAACTTCCCTCCACATTTTTTGCGAGCTAATTAAAATTACCGTGTGTCATTGAAAAATGGATTTGCGTCGAGAACATTTTCGCGCTATGATTTTTTACAATTTTAAGTACCGTCTGAAACCGAACGAATCGTACCATAGAGTTCATACGTAGATAAAACGTGCTAGCAGTGAAAAATTTGATCCAAGACAATAGACGAGTTACGTACCAAGAGATTCAGCATATACTGCAGATTGGATCAGGAAACCTTCATGAGATTCTATACGTACATCTACGAGTGCGGAGGATAGTTTCACGCTGGGTGTCGCACAACCTCACCGATGTTCAGAAGCAGGCAAGGGTGAAATGGTGCCATGATATGATAGACAAATTTGAAGCAGGCTCGTCTCGGCGTGTTTACGACATCGTTACAGGTGATGAATCCTAGATTTATCAATACGATCCAGAAACAAAGCGCCAGTCGACGGTTTGAATGTTTCAAAACGAATCAACGCCTACCAAATTAAAGCGAGGGGAAGATTTTGATCGCAAGCTTTTGCAATTTGCCTGACTACTTCGTGTCAATTCCTTTATGAACCAAAGAAACATTAACGTCGAATGATATACTACCAAATGCTTGCCAGAAGTTTTCTCTGTTGTGAGCAACAGGCGACCAAACACAGGGCTCCGCGGGCTACTGCTCTACCACGATAATGCACGCCAGCCCACATCGCAATCAAAACGAGGGATTTCCTAGATAGCACACTGGTCAACCTACTGGATCACCCTCCTTACAGCCCTGACCTAGCAACGTGTGACTTCTTCTTATTCCCAAAAATAAAAAATCACCTCAAATATAATAATAATGAAGAATGACAAGAATATAATTTTCGTCGCCGTATTATGCGCTCTCAGCGTTCGAGCAGGCTGTAAACGAGGTGTCTGCGGCGGACTGGAAAAAGTATTTCAAAAACTTGTTCAGACGCATGAAACTTTGTATAGAGGCTGGTGGAGAGTACTTTGAAAAAATGTGATAAAAATATCCTATAAAACATTTTTTTTTTAGTGTCGCAAAACTTTCTGAGTGTCCCACGTACTTTCTGGTTGTCGAGCGATCAGTAAGTTTTAGTCTTCACCGAACTGAATATCTTTGAAACCATTTCTTTAACACTAATACAGGTTCTCTTTATAAGTTTTAAAAATCAGAATCAAATGCCACTGAAAGGCAGCTTGTCCCGTGCCCCGTCGGGGTCGGCGTATATGGCAATGAAACTGGGCTCGGTGAGTCGAGATCCGTCACAAACAGTAGCCACGTACAGCCAAGTACTAATGCCAGTCGCGGGGGCGGTGTGCAGATCTGTTCGCGGGGCTGGTGCCGCTAGCGGTGCACCAGGCGCTGCAGGCGAGCCAGGCGCGGCGCTCCGAGCTTGTCACGGCCGAGATCGACAAGCTGCGCGACGCCACGCAGCTGCTCAACAGGTAATCACCGTACGATCCCCACCTTCATCGGTCTTTTTACCATCATCTTCCCTGTATTTGCATATATTTTTTATTTTTTCAATGTTTTTAATTTTTTAATGACAAATCGTTTTACATATAATGATTTTATTGTTTCTATATAATTTATATTTCTATTGACAGAAGACACGCTCGATCTAGAGTCTTTGTTTAATGGAAGATGCCCGGAATAATCACTGACGCGCATCGTTAAATATAAATTGTAGATTATTTTCTCGCCGATGTATGCACTGTGAGCCATGTGTTGTATGGGCGGCGGTGTGCCCGCAGCATCCTGGCGTCGCTGAGCCTGCCGGCGTGCATCTGATTGAACAGCGGCGCGGGCGGGGATAGAACACTATATATTGCCGTCGTCCATCCGCTGTATATGTGTGTGGCCGTGCGCGAGGCCGGTGTATGCTATATGTGCATGTATATGGTGGATGTATATATGTATATATATATGTATATGCATATGTATGAGTATCCTCGACGTAGGCCGAGCGCATGCTGCGCGATTTGTATATGGAGGAGGCGGACGCGGCACTTTATATAGCTGTTTTCGGCGCGCGCTGGTTCTTGCCGCACGCCGTCCGCCAGCCTCACCGAGGCAATATCCGCGCCAACGCCGCGACCTACCGCCAGATCATCGACACACACCGTGCGCGCCGACAATTTAATCGTGCAGCAGTATATAAGCAGCATTTTCTTTTGTTTGTTTTGTTTTTGATTTCTTTTGTTTTGTTTTGTGCGCTGCAGTGTGGGCCGCATGTTTCTTTTGATTAAATTATTTCTTCTCTCTTCTCTTCTACATGGACCCTCAGTTCCCAGTAACGTAATCCCCTCTATAGATCACAATAGATCACGTTAGATCCGTTCCGCGTTATAGGAAAATGCATTGGAGGAGTATTGTCGTATAACGCGCTTGTACGACATTTCTCGAATCGACATTTTAAATAGAATATTAAGAGCAACCTGTTATGAATCAAACGTAACTTATAAAAAAAAAACATTTTAAATAAATAACTTCTGCATATGTAACTAAAAAACAATTAATTTCAAATATATTAACAGTTTTATTATATGTCTATTCGCGGTCCGAGCTATCTGAAATAACGTTCCACCGACATCTTTTTTTTGGTACACTGTCCGATCCCTGCGTTATATGGGGGGATACCCGTGTTATACGAGGGCTCGAAATCGCGTAATATGAAAACGCTTTATAAGAGTACCGTGTTATAGGGGGGATTACTGTATATTTTTCCATGAACAAACGATGACGAATAACTATGTAGCCTGTAGAGCTAGTAAACGATTACCCAAAATACAGCCGCACTAGTGTTTGATGGTGATGATGCCTGACGTGATGTGGCCTGTGCGCCGGCAGAACATCGAGCTGCTGAGCGGCAGCGAGGACGAGCTGGACGCGGGCGTGCCGGCCGCCGGCGCCGCCGCCGCCGACACCGTCGACGCCGCGCCCGCCGAGGCCGCCGCGCTGCAGAAGCTGCGCGCGCTCATGGACACGGTGAGTGTACCGTCCTCGCTAGCTGCCACACCCGCCGGCCACCCACTGAAAGGGGAACCGCCGTCTGACTGCTACCGTTATTACCGATGACTCGATGAAATAATTAGAAAGAATTAAGTCGGTTTATATTAAAAAAATATTTTGATATGCGGTCAAGTTACCGTATCGTAGATCACGCAACAATATGTTTTACTCGGTCGAGTCGAAACGGCGCCACCGCCTCCGGGCGTACAGAGTAGCTAGCGAGTAACGCGAGGCGGACGCCGCGCAGGTGGAGGAGGTGAAGGCGGAGCGCGACGCGATCGAGGCGGAGCTGAAGTCGGCCACCGTGGACCTGCGCGAGCAGTTCCTGGCGGCGCTGGCGGCCGACGGCGCGCTGGACGAGCCGGCGCTGTCGGCGGCCGCGCTGGGCGCCGCGCTGGCGCCGCTGCAGCGCCGCGCCGCCGCCACGCTGCAGCGGCAGGACGCGCTGCTGGCCGACCTGCAGGCGGCGCACGCCGCGCTCATGGCGGCGCGCGGCGGCGCCAGCGGCCGCGACCAGGCGCTCGGCCGCCTCGCCGCCGCCTACGACGCCTTCCAGGACCTCACCGGCAACCTCAAGGAGGGCGTCAAGTTCTACAACGACCTCACGCAGGTACCGCCGCTGCGGTTTGCATGTGTTTCTCACGTACTCGAACTTTTGCCACCGTCGAAGTGATCGCTTGCGCGTATTATTTTATTAACTCTGCCTCGCACTATTTCGCTCGACGATGTACTACGAAAATATTCAATTTATTAGGTAACAATATTGCATTGTGTTGACCATGATAAGATTTTAAGGCTGTACAAGTGCAGAATCATAAACATACAACAATTTTACATATTAACAACGTCACACACAGATAAGGTGATAATAATTAGTCTGAATTAATATGAATAACAATTTCAATGAAAAATCAAGTCACTAAATACAACTAATAATAAATTAAATTGCTGTCCGTTTGTAAATGGAAACTGATCCAGGCCATGTTTTGTGGCAGCTGCTGGTGGCGTTCCAGAATAAGGTGTCGGACTTCTGCTTCGCGCGCAAGACGGAGAAGGACGAGCTGCTGAAGGACCTCACGCAGGAGCTTCGCGTCCGCCAAGACCCGCGCCGGCGCCGCCGCAGCTCGCTGGCGCCGAAGAGGTATATTTTTCAATTACTGATTCGTTTTCATAAACTGATTCATACTCGCATCAGAAACTTGTTGTATAGGTTTTTATATTTATTTTTATCGGCTTTCCTCACATGTTAACATCAAAGTGTTTGTCGTGAAAGTTACTACTCAACACATAGTATGTTATCTAAGTCTTAGAATAATTTATTTTAAAAGTGAGATACTACTGCGTCAGCCCAATTATTGTGACGGTCGTATTGTAACGTGTATATCATGTGCAGCCGCCGGCGGTCCGCAAGGAGGTTCCCCCGCGGCCACCGCCGCCGACCTCGGGCTCGCCCGCAGCTCCCGCAGCCTCCGCTACCTCCGCTTCGGCCCTTCCATATCCCGCACAACCACAAGGTGAGCATCGACATTTACTACAAAATTTAATGCGAAGCTTTCGATTTTCAATTTAAGAATGACAGAGATAATGCCCCAGAAAAAAACCGTCTTCAGTTATGGGAAAACCAATTATTTTGATTTCAAATCTACTGAATCGATTTCGGCAACATTTCTATGGGACCAGCCTGTAAGTATATCTTTTCAGATAAAAAATTCAAAATTGGTTTACAACTGTCAGAACTACGAGATAACAAACATAAAAATGTACAACCGAATTGAGATTCTTCTTTTTAAGAGTCAGTTGATAAGTAACTGCTTTTGAAAATAATTTATACATTTGTCTCACAAAAATGCCTAACATTTGTGCTGCAATGCCGCTATAGCCAACACACGAGTGAATCCTTTCAAAGAGATTGATCAATGCGAAATTATTTGTACACACGTATTGTACAGCCAGGAGCCAAACTAAAAACATGAAATGTAAACAATCCTTATAATGCGTATACGAAGTGAAGGAAGTGACGGTGTGTGGTGTGTGCGCAGGCATGCCGCTGCCGTACGGCGCGCCGGCGGCGGCGGCCTACTACCCGGCGCCGATGCCGGCGCTGTACAACCCGTACGCGACGCTGCCCTACCCGCACCACATGCGCATGCCGCCGCCGCAGCCCTACCAGCCCTACCAGTACCCCGCGCCGCAGTACCCGCAGCAGCACCCGCCGCCCGCCGGCTACAACCCCTACCCTCAGCAGTAAATATGCCTACTGCGCGACGTCACACCTTGCGCTCTCCACCTGTTCCGGCCATTGCCATCTTAGGAGCATTTGTACCGCAGGACTGGCGATGTCCGCGTCGGCTGTCGAAATTTGAACAATAATAATTTTACACATTTTTCAATGATAATTTGGATAGCAATATAAAATGCAGTGAATGAGTGAAACCGAATCGCCAGTTTGGACGCTTCTCTTATAATTGTTTCAGTGCAATTACAGCGTATAAATGCACGTGAGATATTACGCTTTTATACACTGTAATCTCATTGATCTACTCGTACCATCAAGCACACCGCCACGCCAGTGATATCATGGGCGTCACAGTGGTACCCATGGTATTGTTTTATCTAAAGGCGAAACATACCTAAGTGAACAAAACAAAATATGCAAATTGTTTACGATTAAAATTTCATTGTCAAAATAATGCAGTCATGTCAGGCCGCAGTATAAATGCTCTTAATTATTGAAATGAGTGGAAAGCTAAAAGACGATTTGCGATAAAACGCTACGATAGTATCGCATGATAACCTCTGAGATCCTTCCCTGTAATCGTATCATGGTACAGTTAGTTACACACGAGACAGCCTCGGTGTGAACCACGTTAGTGCTACTGTACGTAATCACGTTGTCATCTTATTAACGTTATAAACCTGCATGCTGTATTCAGAACACACTTTATTTGTAATGTACTGTAATAAATATTTTAATTTGTCTTATGCAAATGCCAAATACATCCTAGATTAAATAATAAACATGAAACATTTCATATATGCAATGAGACACCATTCATATGTTTGCGTAGAGATCAGCGACTGCAGGCTACATCTGTCATTATATAAATACTTGTATCGATTTAGGTTAAGGGGTAGTGTAAGGATGACTAACACGGATGATAGGATTATGCCGGTTGCTGACGCATTTGTAACATAAGGCTCAATAAGTAATGTTAAGGAACTCTATAATGCACCACTGAAGCCGTCACGCTGTTTACCGGTGTACACGGTACACAATGTTATGATGTTCTGTAGACTGTGGTATATATACTATAATAGTTACAGAATCTAAATAATAAATACAAGAATCTAGCTGTGATCTTATAAAAAAATTTACAAAAGTAGTACAATAGAAAGTTGCACGAGTCTTGTAATATTCAGAATTAATCTTCTTCTTTTAATTTTATTTTCATTTAATTATTATTTTAAAAGTCTGTGAAAACTGTGATCTTCTGCCTTGATATTTGAGATAATTTTGTATTAATTTTTACAAATTGCAATACTTTGAAGCGCGATATATTGTTACGCTGTTTTAATTCATCATCAAATCATTACCACAATTAGGTGCTTTATAAATATGAAATTCTCACTATAAGCAAAATAATAATTATTAAATATTGAATAGTTTTGAATGAAATTGTAATATGTAGGAAATAAATATGTTTTTTATTATCGTTTGTTTGAATTGGAAAAATCCTAATAACCTTAAGGTAACAGTTATCTGTAAACGAGGGCTACATTAATAACTGTCACGCAATCACATCAGTCGTGCTGTTGCATGAGGTACCAAGTGACGAACATCTGGGGGCAAAACACATGACACACAATAAGATTGTTTCCTAAACAGGTTCAACCAAGAATTTAACCCAGGACTACATTACGCATAGTGCTAAGTAGTTCGCTACGGAGATCTGTTCTGTATTTGCAAAAAACGAACATTATTTTTTGTTACATTATTCCCTTTAGAAGTCTGAGCTGAATTCCATGAGAACTATTTGTGTACCTATATACACGTATTACACTATCTTATATGCAGAAAACAACGCTATTCTTAATATTGGCAATATATCATGTTGTTAAATCTCAAAACTAATTAACAGTGCCCTGGTGTTCGTTATTAATAATATTAAATAAGTCATTGGTAGCTAGTCGGAAATAAAACTACATATTAAGTATCACATAACTATTTTATTAAATCATAAATAAACAACTATTGCAGTAAACAGATTATTTATTATTAGCGTTTCAATACTTGGGTGCCGGAGACTCTTCCTTTGAGTAATCCCTGACAGGTGAGTAGAACTGAAAGGAGAACAATTAGTTTAATGTGTCGTTACCTTTAATAGAACAGCTCAATAGAAAAAAAAAAAAATATTGCCAAAAATACAATAGCTAGTGGCTATAAAATTATTACTACATGTTTTTTTGAAAAATACAGTCCAATTGTTAACACTACCTCCTACTACTGTGGTCCATAACTGAATTGATCCAATCAGATCTCTCTATATAAATAGAATTTTTAAAAACGACCTTCCTTTGAAGATTAACTTTTAAAAAAAATTAAGACTATAAAGATTCACAATCCTTTTCTGTAATTTTAAACCCAATTAAATATTTCCAACTTTAACCCTTAAATACCTGAAGTTTCAAATTTGATACCGGGGTTATAAATCTCATTGGGCGCCTACAATCGATTTTATTTTAATATTTGGCTGTTTACATGTTACCAAATGTTTTTTTCAAAATAAATATATAAAAATATTGTTTTGATGTTTTTACTATTTTTCCCCCATTAGTAAACACAGTATAGAATACACTTATATATTTTTTAATTTGATTTAAAAAATCAGGCTTTTAAGGGTTAATTGCACAGCAGGCTAACATTTTCTGTGGATCTCTGAACCCACCACAGATGGGGCACCTCTAACTCAATAAAGATCTGCTTTATATAATACTAATAACTATGTGAATAAATATACAATGAATAGAACACCCACATTATCCAACAGTGTCCACTGTAATCTACAGTGTTAGGGACACTGTACATTATGGTGGACACTGTTGCAATACTCGAAATGCAATATTGTTCTGTCCTCATTGTATTGTATATTATTTTAAAAAAATTGGTGATATAATACAAAAGTAAGTTTCGAATTATAATAGGTTTACAAATGAATTTGATTTAAAACCTTGTTCACAGTAACAACATAAAAGTCAAATAAGCAATGAGCATAAATGTTGAGTTAATCATTGCAGGTACGGGGGCAAGCCCTCCTCAATAATTGACTACTTGATAATGTAGTTGAGTATTTTAGCAAAATAAGTTTTCTATTTAAGTTCAAATATGAGCATTCTCCATGGGAAAGTATTTCTGAGAATTCAACTTGAGAGACAAATGTCAGTGACCCCCGGTGTCCAGTTCAGTTATGATCTATTTTTCAACATTAGTGTTCAGACAAATCACAGATGATATGTATTATGTCGGTTATGTAAATAGCAAAGTGTATAAGCACGCATGTAGTGTGCCTTGAGTGTTAAATGTTCTAATACACATGATGGAGGCTTTCTGAATTCCTCAAGAGGTCAACGATCATGAAAAAACTGCTCAAACTGTTAAACCTATTTAAAACTAGTCTACAGCATTCTCTATCTATATTCAGATACCTTATATTGTTTTGCCCTGTATTCTTCCCAAGGTTCTGGGTTGGTTTTCTTATTCCATGAGACGTCAGGGGAACGCAGGGCGAGCCGCGTTAAATAAACGATGGCACCGCCGCAACCCAGTGCAGTACAAATGTACAACGGGATCAACTACGCATTACATTAAAAATAATATTAATAATTCAACAAAATGAAAAATATCATAGGTTAATTATGTAAGACGCGAAAGGAGAAAGATAGCACATTAGACCATTAAACAAATGAATAACTTACAGCTTTGTGCTTTTTCAAGCTTTGAAGTGATAATCCCTGCATTTTGATTGTATAAAGCAATTTAGACTTAACGATCGATTAGTAATAGTAAAATTAATTCCGTATTCTCAAAATCGCTGCAAATCGCAAGCACAGATCAAATCCAGTATATCGCACTGTCTGTCAATTCGCTAATGAGATAAATATTATACTCTGTGGTCTAATTAGCTTCGTCAATGGTTAATAATAAGAATATTTGCGGTCATTATCCCAAATTTGATCTCTATGGAGCCTATAAGATTGTAAAATTTAATGAAAGAAATAAAAATTTAAGAAAACAGACATGAAATAGCAGTGAGGAAGAAGAAAAACATTTATGCTTCCTAACCGATGAAGGTCATAAGTTATCATTACATGAAGTGGCTTTGATAAGTTTGATACGGATGGATTAACAATACGATTTACAAATTATTTGTTAGTCCTTGTTCTTAATAATACAAGTATTTAACAACTAACAACAACATAAATATTTAGATATTAATCCTTAATCTATAATGATTCTATCTAATTCGTGACGTACACTGTGTATGTCATTAGACATATATTTATACTTGACAAGTTCTATAAGTAGTCTGTGTATCTGACACAAGTGCTATTCCAGAATAACCTCCTTTATTTACCCAATAATTATCTTATTGAGCTATAATAAACAAAATAATTACATTAGGTTTTTATCTAACCTTATAACTATCACTATGAGTTTTCTTTTGTGAGTATATTTGTTTTATGTAAGTAGGTACTATTTATATCTCGATTTCCAATGCTTTGACGTATTGTTTACGTTCGTTCATTATAATTATATATGGAATTGTTAGGTCTTATCGTAAATATTCACTATTTCCTTGTGTTGTTTGACTATTGATTGTATACAGGATAATGGGTCGCAACAAATATTATTTCTGTGCATGTTCTTGATTACAAAAAGCACTTTCCTGTGACGTGAATATTCTTTCAATAAATAATATTTCTATTATCTTAAAGTTATTATCACTAATTATTATGTTATTATGATTTTATATCAGCGGAAGTCGCTCCAATAAAACATTCAAACCAAAGAAAAACATTCCGGAAGGCACACACCAATATGACTTGATGCGACACGCGGCGGCAACTCTGGGCTCAGGGAACTTGCGACTTGCCGTCATGTTGCCCGAGGGCGAGGATCTCAACGAGTGGGTCGCGGTTAACAGTGAGTGTCATCAACAAATCAATGCTACTGTACATAATTAGCTACAGACCACAGGGACTGATCAGGGGACGCTGCCAGGCCAATGAATTAATTACAAGTTAACATGATCATTTATTATAAAAGGTGGTATTTTTTTTATCTGCGGCCGTAACTAGGTGCAGCTATTTTTTAATAGTTGTATTCAAAATATATATAAATGTATATATGAATAATGAGATATCTTTCAACTTACTAGGAACCCTGTGTGTTACAGTTTGCTGAACAACTTGTGTTGGTTATTGGCAAGGTTGTCAGGAGCTTCATTCAATGCAGATTATTGATTACAGTGATGATTGTTCAATTCAAAACACAATAGATTGGCTAAGCAGCCCTTAGTGTATGAGTCATAATTGATAGCATACACGGCCTAGTGTGTCAATCATAACTTCCTCCACACTATCACAATATGGACATCCTGTGTGTTGTTTATTTGATGGAGAGCAGTGTAGACCTGTAGTATATGAATAACATTATTTATTATGATACATTAATATACTAGCATGAAACTATTGAAGTAAGTAGATATGTAAAGCCATTTATTGAGGTATATAGGTACATGAAGTATCCTGGCACATTGAATTAGATGTAGCAATGTAATATTTTAAAATAGCCCTGTGGTTGGTAGTGGCCTTTTGAATTTTTTAAAGAATTACCTCAGTAACTTTCTCCTGTGGTATTTGTATGATTTGCCTTACTGGTTGTTTAAAGAAATATTAATCTGTGCTGAATACTTAGTATTTGAATGTGAGTTTATTACATTTTGTCACCTCCACCACTTGTCTAATTGCCATGAATAAATTAATTTGGCATACACATAACATTTGGGATACTGAAGGATATAAGTTACTTTTTATTCTTATAGTGCCTCTTCAACTAGTGGAGCTCCTTGTTTGTTGCAAGATTGAATAATTCAGCTGCACTAATGCACTGCATAACAATGCCTATCAGCTCCCAGATGTTGCAGAGACAAGATATTTTCTGCAACCGCCCTTTATTTACCAGCATCTTTGCCCATTATAGTTACATGTAGGAAGTTATATCTGTTGTGTGTAAGAACATGGTCAAGATATGAAGTTTCTACATTTATTATGAGTAATTAAATTTAGTATTTTTTAATTTAGTGGCAGTTATTCTGGTCACAGATAACAACTAGCACTGAATACATGAACGGAATCATATTGTTACAACAAGCTGACCATTAGTTCAAACATTATTTAATTTATTATATTATATTGATTATGTTCATACATTATTACTGAACAACACATCCATGAGTACAGCTACATTTTAATTTAGGTTTTAATAAATAAATACACCCTTGAACTGTACCAGATGAGATTTTTTTTTATTATTATTTAAATATATTCCTGAGCTTATATGCCCATGTTAGAAATCTTAATCGCATTGTACACACACATATGTATACCAAAATAACTCCATCTAGTGGTCAACCTGAGGAGTAATTCTGTTGTTTCCATAGTTACTCAATATGGATTATACAATTACATATCCAAATATTAACTGGTATGTTATATGAATACTCTATTTGTAAATACTGGGATGATGTCAATCTGTATTAATTATGCATTCCCAGGCAGCCTGTGTGATGTTCTAATATGAGTCATTGTGCTGTTTCAGCTGTGGACTTTTTCAACCAAATCAACATGCTGTATGGCACCATAACAGAGTTCTGCACCGAGGAGTCGTGCGCGGTCATGTCGGCGGGGCCCAAGTATGAATACCACTGGGCTGATGGGCACACGGTCAAGAAGCCCATAAAGTGCTCAGCGCCTAAATACATTGATTATCTAATGACCTGGGCACAGGATCAGCTTGATGATGAAACACTGTTCCCCTCTAAAATAGGTAAATATTTTTTTAACTAACTAAATAATTCAAACTTTTTTGAGAAATGGACAATGGGTACAGACATAAAGTACCATCATTATGCCGACAGGTGTGCCATTCCCGAAGAACTTCCTGTCGATGGCGAAGACGATCCTGAAGCGTTTGTTCCGCGTGTACGCGCACATCTACCACCAGCACTTCCCGCAGGTGGTGCAGCTCGGCGAAGAGGCGCATCTCAACACGTCCTTCAAACATTTTATCTTTTTTGTACAGGTATTTAGACCTAGTTATCCATTTTAATATCAAGTGATTATAGTACATAATCACTTGCATAAATAGTATAAATGCTGTTTATGCTATGTACCTACCTACCTGCGCAGACGTCGATACGACGCAGATATTCTAATATATAGATAGATAGTTTACTTACATTATTTACAGCACACAAATTACAACATATATAGGTATACATAAAAAGCAAGATAACATTCGTTTGTGCGTGCGCCATAACAATACAAAATGGTCACAACTCAATTTATTGCTTTGTCCTCAAAAGAGCAAAGCACTGATATTCTGTTGCGGCCAAAGGGAATAGGGTAACAATAAAACAATACTACCAGATTATCCGTACAGTGAACAGACAGATATGATAGTTTATCTAGCAGACAAATGGAACATAGAGGTAACTTGTTGGAATGTCTAACTTTTGCCTCTCAATTAAGAATTTTGGTATAATATTTCTTGTAATATTACACTATTAGTTTAGTATGCAAAATAGAAATGTGTTAGGCGTCTGATACATGGTGTGAACATACTGCCCGGCACGCAATGGGCAGTGGGCGATCGCCAACAAGTTGCTGCTTCAGTAATCGAAGCGATATTTTTCGTAAACGATTTCGCGTGGACGAAGCCGTGATGTAAAGCTGATATGTCGTAAATAAAAGCTAATATAGCATAGCTTTTTTCAATTCTCGGTTCTTACCACTTGCATTTGCAATATTAAGCACAGGTAATAAATGTATATTATCTTATAATAATTTGTGTTTCAATAACTGTCAATTTAATAAACCGTCTTTCAAAAAAAGCGTTCACGCTCACTTTCTTACTTTATCCGAGCAGTAAGTGCTTTATATTATTCTCAATTTCGTGTATAATATAGTATATATCATATATGTGTAAGTATATTTGTTATTCATATATATTTATTCGTTTATATATGTAATTTTAGTATGTATGTATATCAATAATTAGTAGTACCGCATTCGAGTATTCTGACACTGCACTATGGTTGACTGGGAGAGAATGCTTTTAGCATTAAGTCCGCCATGTACACATATTTGTACTGATGAATAAATAAATAAATAAAACTGACTTTGTGGCAAAACCAATTATTTTCATCTAAAAACTGAACTATCGAACCGATTTTGATAAAATTTCTACGGGACCAATCTGTAAGTATATCCATTCAGATGGAAAAAAAAACAAATTTTTCTAATTGATTTAAAATGGAAGAGATGCAAGGTAACAAACATTGTGAAAAACAAAAAATACACAACGGAATTGAAAACCTTAGTTTTGATGTTACGTGAAAAGAGAAATGGATTCATTGATCAGTGCACAGTGCAACTTATTCGGGCGAGTTTCACCATTCAGTCCACTGTATAATAATTAAATAATTAACTAGAGATTGTATTTAGGAATTTAGTTTGATCGAGCGGCGAGAGCTGGCGCCTTTGCACGAGCTGATCGAGAAGCTGACGGCCAAGGAGGCGCGATGATCAGGCGGCGTAGCCCCGGCCGCGCCCCGCGCCCCGCTACGCGTCCCAGTGTTACTACAAGGAACGGAACTTCACTAAAATATATCAGTCAATACATTTTCTTCATATTAATGAAAAGTAACACGAGTTGTCGTTGTGCGAGGGCGCGCATCGCCACTTAACTTGTATGCCTTAACGCATATTGTACGTACTGCGTAGTGAGCGGCGAAACGAGGAAAATCTTTAATTGCGACGTTTCTCGTTTCGTCGTTGTTAGTATCAATTAGCTCGTATTTAATTTATGAACTATTCGCGCCTAATATTAGTTTTTGTATTTAAAATTTGTACGATTTATTGATTGATTTGGTGAATCTTCTATTCGAATTGATCGACGTAGATCGGCATGTTTTTGTGATAGCTTTTACTGGGGCTGCTGCACCTGCTAGGTCGGATGGACCGTGTGTGCAGTCGACATGAGCAGCTAGCTGCCCGTACTCGTAACTTGCACCAGTAGACAGCCGGTATCGAATCGTAACCTGGCTTATAAACTGGACGGAGTTAATGATTCTGTCCATTGCCTCAGGAGGTAGGCAGCCGACCTTGTCGACCGCACATATGCAGCATGTCTGATAGTAGCCTGCTGATCTAATAGCGAGGATTATTTTAAAGACCGATCTGCGCTTTAGCAAAAATGATCTGGGTATGAGTGTAGCTAGTTATGTTAGGGTGGTACGCAACTTCGCGCACAGCACACCGCGCCGACTGCGGCGCCGGCTCGGAGCTCCGTCAGACAGGAGCCTCCGCCTGTCGCTTCGAGCACTCCGCCACCGCAACATCTACTGAACATGTAGAAATCTTTGAAAATTTTAAAATAGTTCGAGTTTCGGCTCATGAAGTGTCCGTTCACAGAGACCGACGTGGATTATACACTCGGAACCGGCCGAAGTCTATCAAGGCCTGTTCTAAATGCATACGATTAATATAATAATGAGTAGGGATAATATTTATATTATTGCATGTATCACATCTCCTATCAAATTGTTTATAATTACTCCTCTCCATCCAAAGGTTGCCTGCAAAAGATCGCTCTTATCGATAAGGTCGCCCATTGTTTTTCTCACTGTGATTATTTCTTGTAATTATTTATATTTATAATAAGTTTACTATTGTAATCTTTTGAAGGAAACAATAAAGTGTATCTATCTATCTATCTATTTTTCTACACTGTAAAATCATGTTTTCCTCTCATGCGTTCTTTTTCATTCACAATTGTAAAACGAGTAATATTTAGTCTACGGCATCCTTGTACATGTTTGTTGTTTTCTATGGCGGTTGTCTCGTCGCCGGCCGCGTGTAGTATAATAAATTATCTATTTGAATCATTTAAAACTCCATATTAAACAGTCAACATCTGTTGCCTCCACGAGTCGGTCCGTGTGGACGGAAACAAGCGTATTAATGTTGCGACCGGACGCGGCGCGCGCGCACCTAACGACAAAATATCAAACCGTAGGACGTAGATAAGTTTGCCTTTCTCTACGATAATAATAGAAAGTATATATAATCAGATTTTTTTTAGATTTGATACAGAAGATAAGGTTATCGTATGAATTATAGACAAGTATAAGAGATATTTTTAGAGTATAAAGTGAAATTTGTGTCCAACGTTGGACAGGCGTGATCGCAACTACTGAGGTATTTTGTTTTTTTTTACTTTAGTATCATCAGCAATCATTGGAATCTTTTGTTGCTTTACATATTTGTATATTGATTGTTCTTCTATGAAGTATATTTTGAAGATTTTTTTAATCGAAATGATTCGTGTGAGATGTTTATTTACTTATTTTGTTTACAGTTATGTCATTATATTTTAAATATCTATATTATTTATTTTCTAAAATTAAAGAAAAAAGTTGGTACTCGAGCATATAACCAAACGATGTGTTATATTTAATCATTGATGCTACCTATTTTGTTTGTATAGCGTAATATTAATTTATTTACAATTAGTGATATTTGGCCGAAATACAAACAGTCCCCGTGTAACGAGAACAGAAACGGGCACACTTGTAGTTGCTGCTGTGACAGACAGCAAGTGGCGGCCAGTGCTAATTGTACCACTTGTATATGTGATACGGGAAGCTGCGTTGGATTTCGGCCAAATATTCTATAAACATTAGAGTTATAATTTAGATCAATTGTATTTTTCACTTTTTTTTTTTTTATAATCACTTGTGCTACGTGACTGTAGGTACTGCCTAATAAGAATTGCATATATTCTGTGCATTTAATTGCATCGCATTTGAAAGTTCAAATTGTAACTGTGGTCTGTGTATAATGAATTTGACTGACGTGTTTTTCTCGAGATCTAATGTCATACAATGATATGAACTAATAATAAATAATATTATGTACAGAATGTTGTTTACTTTTCAACTTTTATAAGTTCTATTCAATTCGAGTTTAAAACAGATTTTTTTTTTATTGTTAGATATTTAGGTACTTTGGAAACAAAGTCAAAATTTCATAGAAGAGTTAAAATTGATTTATTAACTTTTTTATGTAAGTATTAAGTTGTACCATCGTTACCATGTAGCCTCAGTATAGAATGGGCCACCCCTTCCTTTCCGTTGCTGACGTAAGAAGCTATTTTTTTTTATTGGATGAAAATGAATGGTAACCCCGCCTGCGCTAACGGGATACGCTGGCGGAGCACCAGTGAAGGGTGATAGATGAGAATGAAAACAGGTCAGTTAGTCCATCATGATGAATTCATCAGGAATTAACCATGATAGTTTCCAGGGAGAACCGCGAGGAGGTCGACCTGGTTGGGTATATTGCTAGCAATAGGATTCTCAATCTCCATTACTAACAATCCCTTTCCCCCCAGGTAGGAACGTTAGGTGTTGATAGGGCATTAAAACGATTGGATAGTTCACTTTATATAATTTTATTAAAAGTGCATAATTATACGCTATTACAGTGAGGAAAGTGACCAATGGTCCGTCACACGAGTCAGCTAGCGATCAGTTTCATCCTTCAGTAAAAACTATTGCTTCATATAACGCATTTGGGGAACGAGTCAATATTATACATATATATACTTTATTGCACTTGTAAGTTACATATAAAATAATGTATTTATACATGTTGCGAGCAAGGGTGGACTTGTCTCTGACAGAGATCTCTTCCAGTCAACCCAGTACAGTGAGAAAGCTGAAGTGAACACTTAGCAAGTGTTCATTACATATATTCTGTTAATAGAATTGATTGAAAATTGATTTAAACTTCATTCATATAGTCAGGAATGTATAGGAATTATGTAATAAGAAATAACAGTCACTGTAAGGGCATCCACCGACCCATTCATGAATTATTATACAATTATTTCCCACAAGATAGCAAATTAATGATTTTCATATTATTTTAGAAAAGGCAGTTTCTGAATTGTTTAGGGAGAAAAAAGTAGATATTTCTTGGACAGGGAACAAAACAAAGTATTTTAGATTTTCCAGAAATAATATGAATACGTAGATTGTTATCTCTTAAAATATTTATTTAATTTGCTATTTTCTTAAATCTGTGCACCGCCGCTTGCTCTCTCTGTTTGGCGTGGTGGTTGACTGGTAGAGAATGCCATCAGGCATTAAGTCCGCCCTGTAGACATTTTTCCATGTGTGCAAAAGTATAAATAAATAAATAGAGTACAATAAGAAAATCGAAAGGAGCCTGAATTGACCGAAAGAGTGTGCCTGCGCGGCGGCTGCGGCGGCGGCGGTGGTGACGGTGGTGACGGTGGTGACGGTGGTGTGCAACTAGGCGGAGGAGACGGGCGGCGGCGGCGGCGGCGGCGCCAGGTAGGCGGGCGGCGGCGGCGCGGCCCACGGCGGCGGGTTGAACGGCGCGCGCCAGCCCGGCGGCGGCAGCCCCAGCAGCCCTGCGGCACCACACGCAACACGCTACACTCGCCGCGGCCCTCTCACACGACCACCACACCCACCGGTGGTGTACCTTTCTCGGTTGTTCCACTATCAGTGAACACCGCCGTTTTGGTGTCGTGTGAAAGCGCCCTAGCCTCGTACGGTATTACACGTGTATACTGTCCTAAACTTTACCCAACTTTTTTGTGACCAAGCAGCAGAGAATAAAAGAAATTTGATGCAGACAATGTGATTTGTTTAAGAAAGGAATAACAGTAATTTTCTTTTATACCCCAAGGGTAGCAAACAAGCATACAGCCAGTCTGATGGTGAACGATCACTGTAGCCTATGAACGCCTGCAACACTAGGGGTGTCACGTGCGCGCTGCCAACCCTGAAGAAACCATAATATACCCTTTTTAAAGAACCCCATACTGTAGTGTTTAGGGAAAACCTCGGCAGGGAGCTCATTCCACAGCCTGAGCGTTCGCGGGAAAAAAAATCTCTGAAATCACACTGTATGTAACCATCTAGGTTCAATGCGTGCAAATTTAAATGCTTTATGCTTTTGTTTGCTGACACATAGATCACGTTCAGTCAGCAAAAGCGCAATGCTGGCCGGCAAGCAAGCCCATTTATAATAATACAAATTCATACGTATATCCAGAGTTGATAACATAATTCATAGATATACAAGTACATGAATGATCTTCCTATCAAACATGTAAATTGATTCAATATCGATTTTTTATCAGTGTAATAAAAAAATTGATTCGGTTTCATCGTGTCAGGATAGCCTTCAATACTTTTGTTACATTAAAAGATAGAGTGAGAAACAATGTGATTAGAGAGAAGTGTGCACTGAAAGGCGATGTAGTGACAAAAATCGAAAAAGGAATGTTGCGTTGGTTTGGTCATTTGGAGAGGATGGATGAAAGAAGAATTACGAAAGAGATTTATCGAGCAAGAATGAATGGAGATGTCGGTAGGGGCCGCCCTAGACGGACGTATGTCGACCAAATAGGCGACGTGCTGAAGAAGGGCCCAATTAAAAGTACCCGTAACCGGCGAGCGTGTGTGAAAAGATTGATGAATGTGGAGGAAGCGAAAGAGGTTTGTTTGAATCGAAGCATTTGGCGTTCCATTGTTTCTGCCTACCCTAATGGGAGACAGGCGTGACAGATATGTATGTATGTATGTACTTTTGTCGATTATGATTATTTGAAGTGGTATTCATATAAAATAAATGAAGAAAACTCACCGGGTGGCGGCGGCGGCGGCATGTGCGGCGGTCCGCCCGGCGGGCCCATTTTGTTATCCCCCTGCAAAAAGAGTTTTATCGAAACACTAAACACAACAAAGTAGTACATTGCTTGTCGGGACAAGTAGGCGACATGTGTAACTTCGAGAAACTAGCAGCGGCTCACCTGATGCGGAATGATTTCACAAACATTTATTTTTAATACTACATTTATAGCGCGTACAATGTCTTGTGTCCAAGATATATAGTACGAGAAGCCTTCAAATTATACCATATTTTCTCAAGTCATTTTTCTCCCGAGTGATATGTGACATGTTGCGGATTGTATTGAGACGAGGTTTGTTGAAATATATACTTCCAAAGGCTCAAGAAATGATCTTATTTACTAAATAAAAATATAAGAAATTAATACAAGACTGGTGGAGCGATACATTGAACTGGTACGTGCAGTGCTCAATTAACAATTATTAAATTTCTTAGTAAACCAACAATTTTACTGCACTGCACGCATGAACATAGATACGGCTCCGTATGATACTTTACAGTACCCACACCTGGGGTGAAAGGGATTGTTAGTAATGGATACTAAGACTCCCATTACTAGCAATATACACACCAACCAGGTCGACCTCCTCGCGGTTCCTCCTGGAAACTATCATGGTTAATTCCTGATGAATTCATCATGATGGGCTAACTGGCCTGTTTTCATTCTCATCAATCACCCTTCACTGGTGCCCCGCCAGCGTATCCCGTTAGCGCACGCGGGGTTACCATACCATTTTCACCCATCAAAAAAGTACCCACACGTACATATAAAGAAAATATGTGTTTGTGTCAATATATATAAAATTTGTTATGGTATGAATATATTGAATTTTTGAGTTTGGTTAGTAGCGTGGCAGCCGCCCATTGCAGTAGAAGGAGGCGTCACCTGGTGGTGGGAGATGGGCGGGTGTTGTGGGTGCGGCGGCGGGTGGTGGTGCGGCGGCGGCGGCGGCGGCGCCGCGCTGCCCGGCGGCGGCGGCTGGTTGTTCGCCACGCCTGCCAGGCATTGAATTCATTGCTAAGTATAAATTTATTATTATAAAAAACCAGAGGGAGACTTTGTACATAAGTCGTTTGCTTGGGGACTTCTGTCCTATTCGTGTTTCTATCGTGAAGCAGTTGTGTTTGTATGGCTGTATTTCGGTTTAAAGGGTAGGATATGGCAGTGAATTTACTGGATACAGAGGAATAACACCTGAGTCCTCAGGAATGACAACGCATGGGGGTGTCATGGGCGAAACAGTATACTCTGTTATGGCTAATTTCCATATCTCAGGAAGAGTACCACAATCGAAGGTCTGTTAAAAATTGTACACAAAGTATCACTTAGTTCTCCGGTTACTACGGTTAGTACACTCTATAAATTTTTTTGCAGGTATTCCATTATGCCCCGCTCCTCTATTAGGGTCTAGTTGTTTCAATTTCAATTCTAGATCTTTCTTCCCCAACATGATATGTGACAGGGAATAATTTTATCTAGAAATCTATTTTTAAGTTTACCAGAGGGCGACTTTGTACAAAAGTCGATTGCTTGGCCACCTCTGTCTCATTCGTGTTTCAACCGTGAAGCAGTTGTGTTTGCATGGCTGTGTTTCGGTTTGAAGGGTGGGATATGGCGTGAATTTACAGGGTACAGAGGAATAACATCCGAGTCCTTAGAAATGACAACGCATGGGGGGTATCATGGGCGAAACAGTATAGGCGACGGTTACCTCTTTCCATCAGGTGGGCCGTCAGCTTGTTTGCCATTCTTAGTTGTATAAAAAAAAAAGTTAGATAAATAAATTTTATTGTCCTCGAAAACTGAGCTGAAATGTTTTGAAAATAGTTCGCATATATTTTTGCTAGCAGTAACGGTATAATTATACAAAGTATTCTCAGTTGCGGACAAGAATGAGTTACGACAAGATTTTATAAGAGACTTACAGCGTGTACGTAATAAAACAGATTGATCATAATCACGCGGATAAAAAACTTTCTATTTTTTAAAACAACTATGAAATTAGATTTTTTCATATAAGCATTTTCTTCTTTTCCCGTGGGTGTTGTAAGAGGCGACTAGGGGAGGGGGGAAGGTTGATAGGCAGCAGCGTTTCTCTTAAAACATATGTAAAATCTAACTGCGGTTATCAACCTGCTTGCCAAGCGTGGCAACTACTGGCAAAACACCCATTATGGGGAAGGCTTATGTCCAGTAGTGGAGAATTAACGGCTGAAATAATAATAATAATAATAAAAATGTTTAAATAAATAAATGTTAAACTAAGACATGCTTACCGAGCCAGGGCGCGGGCTGGCCGTGCATGGGGAAGCTGGCCGGCGGCAGCGCTGCGCCCGCGCCGCCTGCACACACGCGCAGCGTCAGCGACAGCGACACGGACACACAGGCGACACACTTACATACATTATATACATGCAAGGTGTAGGGTTCCTTACGAATATTTTAAATGTAAAAGTGAGTTTGTTTGTTATCTGTTTGCATCGTAACGGCTTACTCAATTACTATAAAATTTGGTATACACGTGCAAATATGAGATGGAGATTATAAGCTATTATATATTCCAGTTCCATAGACAAAGTTGTGGATAAAAGCTAGTATTAATATAATACTACACAACGTCATAATAAAAATGTATGTAAGCTTGTTTTTGTTTCTTAATACTTATTATTCCTTAGCTTCCTAATCGTTCAACCGATCGCTATAAAATATGGCGCACATATAGTGTATGGAGAATGACCACGGTCACGTGAACGAGGTCACGGGTCAGCAACTAGTTACTAAACAATGTAACAAGTGTCAGCAACTGTAGCGTAGCCGGGTCTACCGTGGCTGACCGGAACGCTCGACTAACAGCGCCACGTTACTGTTTCTATGGTGGTGGGTGCGCTGCAGGCAGCGGGATGCATACCGGGCGCGGGCATGATGGACCGCAGCGGCTGCGCCGGCCCGAACACTGGGCCGCCGTAGCGCCGCGCCGGGCCTCCTCCCGGCGGCCCGCCGCCGCCCGCGCCGCCCGGCGGCGCCTCGCCCAGCTCCGCCATCAGCGACATGTACTCCTCGTCGATCTTGGCCTGCGGAGAGCGGCGGCTCGTGTCAGTGTGTAGTGCGAGGTAGTGTCGCGGCGGGAGGCGGGACGTGGGCGGGATGGTTCACCTTGCTGGCGTGGGAGGGCGCGTGCTGGCCGGGCCGCTTGGCGCGGCAGTCCCGCGCGATGTGGCCCGCGCCGCCGCACGACGAGCACACGATGCTGTTGGTCACGTTGGGCTTGTCCGGGCACTGCAACACCACCACGACAGGTCAGTATACAGTACACAGAGCGAACGAGTACCAGTGTGCGGTGTGTGGGGTGCAGTGTACAGTGTACAGTGTGCAGTGTGCAGCGTGCAGCGTGCAGTGTGCAGCGGGCGAGTACTGACGAGCCAGGTCTTGTGGTCGGTGGCGGTGCAGTTGGCGCAGCGGACGGCGTCGTTCTCGCGGAGGGTGCCGTTGAGCTGGGCCAGCTCGCGCAGCTGCATGCGCCGCAGGTCGTTCTGCCCCTCGGGCACCTCCACACCCTGCCGGATCACCTCCTTGATCTGACAGTTTAACAAATACAATTTTAAATTGTCACCCACAGCATGAAGTCTACTATATAAGAGAAGAATATAGAGATAAATAAGTTAAACATATTCAGAAATAATTATTGTGAATGATCTTCAAAGCTCAGAGATATACATATCGTAGTTAGACATAAACACAATTTTCAGAGAACCTACAGAACAGACTACATTTATGAAAGACTAGCGACCCGCCCCGGCTTCGCGCGGGTACACGTCACATTAGAAAACCTCTAAATTTATCAGTGTCTCTCTACAATATTATGCATGTATTATACATATAAAACTTCCTCTTGAACCACTCTATCTATTTAAAAAAAAACCGCTTCAAAATCCGTTGCATAGTTTTGAACATTTAAGCATACATAGGGACGGACAGACAGCGACAGCGACTTTGTTTTATACTATGTAGTGAAGTTGAATAGGAAGCTATTCCAGAACATAATACAATATTTTTAATAGAACACCTGACAGTAGAAATTGTCTTCAAAACACTCGTATATCTCTTAAGGTTTGGAGATTAATACCATCAGTATCAAAGAAGAGCATTATTTTAAGTATTTTTTAGAACGCCATTGGTGGCAACGGTGGGATCGTGTAGAAAGCAGGCTGGTGGAGGCTAGAGCGCGTGGCGTACCTTCTCGACGGCCTTCTTGACGCAGTCCGCGTTGGTGGCGGTGATATAGGCGTGCAGTGGCTCGTCCTCGCCCGGCAGCGGCTGCCCGTCCTTGCGGCCCACCTTGCCCTCCTTCACCGAGCCCTTGCCGCGGATTATTATCTTCGCGCCCGTCTCTTTCTCCATCGCTGGTTGTTACAACATTCAAATATGCTTTATTTATACATTAACAGAGAAGAACTAAGGAAAAAATAATTTTATGCATAACAAAAACTAGTACACCGCGTAGTTTTAGCTAGTAACAAGAGTCACCAATGCTAAATACTTTATGTTTAACCGACTTTAAAGATTTTTTTAATAAGACTGACTTCTTGTTCAACCAACTTCAAAAAGAATGAGGTTCTCAATTGAGTTGTATTTTTTTAACAGTTAGTTAACATATAACTAACTATAACTTAACATATGTTAATGTAATTTCGTCAGATGTAAACCGATTTGGAAAATTCTTTTTTATCTGAATTTTATCAAAAACGGCTCAGCAGTTCAGTTTTTAAATTATAATAATTGTTTTTAACACAATTCTGAAGTCTGCTCCTTTTCGTGGAACACAATCTTTAATTATTGCTTTAACGCTTCTTTTTTAAATTAAAGGATTTTCCTTTATTAGCCCCGTACTGATTTACATACGATTGTAGTTTCTTTTTTTATATCATCGACTTCAAAATATTTTAACATGAGTATAAGTCATAGTTCTTTATGAATGAAATTTAGTTCCACTGTGGTATAAATTCGTGCTCATCACTTCCTAGTAACACTAACGCGAGCAGTTGACAGGGCGAGGTACCTTTAAGCGTGTTGCCGCGCGGCCCGATGAGCAGCCCCACGAAGTTGATGTCGGGGTGCTCCTCCTGAGGGATCATCACCTTGTCGTGCACGCGGATGATCGGCGGCCTGCCATCACACGTCACACGTCACACGTCATACGTCACACACACCCGTATCGTACGTACACGAACAAATAACATCATATACTCGGGCGGAGCGAAATATTAAATGCTCATGTTGTTCGGAGTGAGGGTGTACGCTATTTTACTACATAGCCAATATGCTTTTACTTATCTGAGATTTGCATTAAGTATGTATATATATATATATATATATATATATATATATATATATATATATATATATATATATATATATATATATATATATGTATATATATATATATAGAAGAATTAGGCAATATATTTTATATTTCCATAGCATAATGTCTTATGGCATACTGCTGTGGGGTAAAGCAGCCGATATAAATACTATATTTGTTTTACAAAAGAGAGCCATACGTTCTATTTATGGTATGGGTTCAAGAGAGTCATTACGTCAGTGCTTTAAAGACTCAAATATCCTCACAGTTACTTCACAATACATTTATGAAAATATTATGTATACACGGAAGAACTTAGCGAGTTTTAAAAAACTCAAAGACTGTACAAGTAGAAACTTACGCAATATAAATAAGCTTATTTTACCTAAATGCCGTCTGCACAAAATCAGTAATTCATTCTATGGTAATTGCATAAGATTTTATAATAAACTGCCGGAATCTGCATTAAATCTGACAGAGAGGTATATACATGTTTTTTTCAATTCTGTCAAGTTGTGTTTGCATGGCTGTGTTTCGGTTTGAAGGGTGGGATATGGCAGTGAATTTACTGGGTACAGAGGAATAACACCTGAGTCCTCAGGAATGGTAATGTATGGGGGGGTATTATGGGCGAAACAGTATACTCTGTTATGTCCATAGTACTGCTCATGTCTATAGGCGACGGTTACCACTTTCCATTAAGTGGGCCGTCAGCTTGTTCGCCATTCTAAGTTGTATAAAAAAAAAATCCAAATATTTTTTACACATCAAATTAAATGGTCAAAGCATAAATCAGACATATAGGTCTAATATGTGTCTGTTGTCACTCAGGCGATGGCTACCACCATTTCCCGTCACGTGATCACCATCTACCACTAGAACGAGCGTCGTTCTAACGAAGCACAGGTAGCGGCACGCGAGGCCGGTGTTTGCGTGCAGGGCGCGGGTCGCGGGGCGCGGGCTGGGTGTGCGTACTTGTAGTCGGGCGGCGGCTTGAACTCGGGGTTGATCTGCTGCATGCGCTGCACGAGGCGGTGGCGCTCCTCCTCCAGCTTGCGGCGCGTGCGGTACTCGCGCGTGTTCAGCCGCTTGCCGTCCGTCGAGTAGATCGGCTCCGGCGACGGCGACCTGCGCAAGCGCACCGCTCACTCGCCGCTCGCACGCCGCTCGCACGCCGCCCACTCGCCGCTCGCACGCCGCCACACCCGCCCCGCCCATACACTCGCTACACGCTACACGCTACACATTCTTGTGTTTTTATTTTTGACAGCTCGATTTTAGTCCAATACCACGGGCGTACTGTATCGATCGTGCCCACCCCTGCATTAAACAAAGTCACTACTCGCGTGCATTTGTTTCGTCACTTACTTCTTTCAAATATCAAAAATGCAATGTTTAACAATCAAATCATGAAAAATTTCATAGTTTACGCAAATTTTAAAAAAGATATATTAAAAAAGATACATTAAATAAGCCGATATATATATATATATATATATATATATATATATATATATATATATATATATATATATATATATATATATATATATATATATATATAAGTAATAATATTATAAAGAGAGAGGATTTGATTGTTTGTTAGTTTGTAATGGAGAAATTAAACAAGTAATTTAAAAATTCTTTAACCTACAGATCACAAAATTATCAGCGAGTAACATAGCCTATGTTATTATATGTTATTTTCAAAAATTCTATCTACCCGTGCGAGTAATAAATGAGAGATCTCAGGCCGAATCTAGGGATCCGGACCACCATTTTTTATATACTATGTACTAGAGTACATAATAAATGGATTAGACAGAATATACCAAGAATGCATCTTTTATGTAATGCAAAATAAAATAAAAATCGAGCGTCAAAAGTAAAAAATAAACGATGAATAGTGTAGCTTCATGTCGGGCGGAGACGAGTACATCGTTTGAGAACAAAACGGGTGTGGCTGGCGGCTGTGCGCGTGCGCGTGTGCGTGTGTGTACACAACATGTGCGCACATTCTGCACTAGTGCAGGCATACTGCACCAGTACGACACACGCCACCGAACGTGGCGAGTGTATCTAGCTATAATGTGTGAGTAGTAAATCGAGCACTAGTGCAAGGCATGTGCGCACGTCGTGTCTCCTTGTATAATATAAATATAATATAAGGTAGTGGAGTGAGCGACCGTCCTATCTACATCGACTCGCGGACCTAACGCCCTGAGAAAAAAATGGTTTTAATTCAGTTAGCTGAACCTGAAATTTTAATTTATTATCGTTAGCCCTGAAAATAATTGAGTTATATAAATGGCCGTCGCTGAAAAAATTCATTATTAGCTGTCGTTTGTATTAGATTATTATTATTATTATTATCAGTTGCAGTGAGTTTGTAACCTGCAAACATGAAGAAAACGGCGCATTAGTAATAAGCGTGCCGACACCGACACGGTCCAGCACCACTATAGTCTATTTCAATATCACTCAAACATGTAATCAAACGAACCCTCAAACCGGACCATAGACAACGCGGTGGTGTCTATGGCCATAGTATTAGTTATTATTATGTAATAATTTATTATTATTACAATTACAATAGGCTAATTCTGAAACTATCGCCTGTATTCATTTGTTAGATGTAATGAACACACTGTATCATTTTATTACACTAAATTATGCTACCAATATTTTTATTGATAAACGCAATGTTTTTTTCGTACAGTACTGTGAATAATGGCGACCATAAACTAGACATTTTTTTCATCTGTCCTATTTGCTTAAGCAAATGCAATAAATACGATAATCAATATTTTTTTTTTATTTTATCCTCAAATTCATATTTTTAGAATAAGTAGTAAAATATAATGTTACCTTAACATACGGGTAAATGTGTCATGAATACGGTCGAGTGTTCTTGTCTCTCTATTTTCTATACTGGCAACATTGACTCCATATCCACATGATGGTAAATGATTATCTACTAATATTATAAGGAGGAAATATTTTTATTTGTATCTATATGTGATAAAAATAAAAAATACGTTACCGATTTTCAAAATTCTTTCACCTATAGAAATATAGAGGGCTACTTGATTAGCAAGTAATAGACTGTATTTTATTCTCATAAAAGCAATCTTTTACACATACACACATAAACATTGTTTCTCGCGCCTCCGCTGAAGGAGTCCAAGCCATATTTGGCAGGAAACTCAGATTCCTGAAGGGAGTTCCACAACTTGATAGGGTGACAAAGATGCTAAACTTTTTAGTTCTTGTATGAATCTTACGGACAGTTTTATTGATCATTTTATCAAAATTGAGTTTCCAGTAAATTCCATTGAAATAGAGTTTAGGTGACCTACCTCTACACGCTACGCTCATGCCTGACCATATTCTACACTTTACGTGAGAGTTACTGTTTATGACACTGTATGTGGACAGTGCCCCGCGTCCTGTAAACAATATTTGTCGGGGTTATTGTTTACCGGCAGTACCTACCTAACGCAGACGAGTCATTAATGTTACGTTACAATATAGTGAATACTCTAGTCGATAGTGGTTATATTTAAGTCCGAGTGTCGCAAATGATACGTCCGCCTGGTAGATAATAATAATATTATAAAACCTCGTGTCGGATAATGTTTATACGGCGAGCGGGCCGGCGTGGCCGGAATGGCCGGTGGTGGCCGGTGGTGGCCGAGGGTGGCGGAGTGTGGCCGGGGTGCGGGTGCGGGTGGTAGTAGTAAGGCGAGCGAACCTCTCCTCGATGTTGGCCGGGATGCCCAGGTCGCCGGAGCGCAGCTTGCGGCTCACCTCCTCGATCTGCAGTTGCACTGTAAGGGAACGGGTTAGCCACCGCGCGGCCATACGCGCACATTAGAATACTGACCGCACAACGCACTATTACATGCCTACACTTACCTACACGTACACACACATAGACACATAGGCAACACAAACTATATTATGGATATCAGTTTCAGTTCTAAATGTATCCTGAAAAGTTGGCTAAATATTTATACATAGGTACAGTACAGTGAATGTTCCTGTAAAGCATAATATATATATATATATATATATATAGAATGAAGCTGAAATAAAATTAAATTTTGAGTGATCAAAGGGGTCAATGATTACTTATAAACAATACACAAACATTGATAACATTCCGGTAATATTAAAAACTGAAAAGTTTAAATTATTAATTAATTATAAAATGGAATCATAATACTGCTCTACGTTATACTTGTCGCCTCTCGTTTAACGTGGGCGGGCACAGTGTTTGCCACATTATCGGTCGAGATACCAGTCTACAGTTAGAAGGAAAGCTAAACAAATTTGGTTAAATTTAGTTTTTTTAGTGTGTGTTTTGGCAAGTGAACTTATCTATTTTCGAATATATTTCCTTCGTGTAGCTTCATTGTCACTAGATCAACAACCACAGTGCGAGGCAATAGAGCGACCCCACGCACATATGATATAGACATCATACACGTGCGGCGTCGCTCCACTGAGAATTTGTTACAATCGGTCTACCTAAATTCATACAGTAAAATATATCCTACATTAGTGTAACAATACTTCGTCAATATAAAAAACGGGGGGAAAGCCTAGAGTGGAGCACTAAAAGTACAAGAGGAACAATGTGGGAGGAAGGCGAGGAAGGCGAGTACTCACGCAGGTACTGCTCCTCCTGGTCGCGCGTGAGCGTGGAGGGCAGCACGGTGGGCAGCCCCGGGATGAACGTCTTGTCGTGCTCCGAGCCCGTCCAGCGCGTGCGCCGCCGCCGCGCGCGCCGCTCCGCCGCCGTCTCGCCGGGCGGGCCTGCGCGCCGTCACGCCACACCGCTTACATACCATTGCCTATATTTATCTACCTTCAGGGAGCATTCACCCTTTCGGGGCAGGCAAAGAAAACTGAATTCCGAGACTAACATTATTAGCAATATATATTTATATTTACCAGCCTGTGCCTCGATTGTAACAAACAGTAACGCTCAGAAATATTAAAACTGATGCTGAACGCCCCCTGTTGCAGATCGTAGGTGAATAGTGAGTGCAGCCTGCGCAGGGGCAGATAGAATGTGTGAGATATCATGCTGCGAACCTTGACCGTCGTCCTTGTCGTCATCGGGATGGTAGTCGTGGTGCTGCGGCTTATCCCGGTAGCGCGACTCGGAGCGCGCCTGCAGCTGCTCGAGCTTCTGCTGCACGGAGGTGGGCGGCGGGATGGCCGTAGCGGCCGATAGCGCGGCCGCCGCCGCCGCCGCCGGCTGTACCGGCGCCGCGATACGCCGCTGCGCCACAAACGTCTGTTACCACGCACGCCACGCACGTCACGCAGCGCCCAGCGGCCAGCGACCATAAACGTTCAACGAAACCAACCGAAAAGAAACCAAAATTGACGCGCAATGAAACAAAATAAAATACAAACAATCATAACAAACATAAAATAATAAAAATAACAATAAATTAATGATAAAGAATGTATTCATTTCACCCGACTCTTAAACTAGGTTACACTAGCCTACTTATAGCCAATATATAATCAAGTAAGGTTATTGTTTAAGACTTGACCAACAATATTGACAATAGTAAAATATACAAAAAAATATGCTTACCATGAAGTCAATATATTTCTATAAAATAGAATACTTTCATATCAGTAATGTAATGATACATTATATGAATTAAAATTTCCAAAATAGACAATAATTTAGTGAACCAAAAAGTACTTTATAAAATTCTATGACTCTAAGATTTAAAGACAACACTATTTTTTTTTAATTAAATGGAAATTGCAATTAGGGATTTATTCAAACATTTATATTACCTTTCTTTCATTATCATTGTGCTGAAATAACACAATATGAAAATTGTGAACCGTAAGTATTGTAAATAACAACAAGGTTGGGGTTTAGAATTACTGCAGATATAATTTTCATTCAATAAATACTTCAGATAAAATTATCAATATTATAATATATTAATATGGAGTCTCTTACTAGGTAGGGAGAGAGAACAGAGTGCTAAAGTTCCTTATACTTACATAAACCTTTGTATGTATATATACTAGTGTATGTACCTGAGCAACAGCTGCAGCAGCGAGGATGGCCGCCTGAGTGGCGGGGTTTATAGTGGTGGTGCTGGTCACCTGACGAGCGGTAGCTTTGGTGGTTGTGCCCACCATCTGATCCAGCAATGCAATTGTGCCATCCCTAAACATAAACACAGATATGAGTTACATGTAATATTGTTAGATTCATGTTTATAACTTATAAAAGGATCATTCAAATAACAGTAAGTGTAATTTTACTAATGGTCAGTGGAGCAAAACCTATAAATTGCCAAATGTTCCAATTAAAACAAACCTTTTCTACTTCCCGCTTAATTATCAATTTCATTTATATATACATATTTATATATATTGCTAAAAAAAACTGAGTGTTGCTGCTACACCTGCTCCCATCAAAAGTGCTCTAGTGAAGTGTTATGTTTCTAAATTGAAAGTATTCTAAGATTGATCCTGTACCAAAACATCAAAATTAAAGTAAGTAGTTCTATTAAAAATAATAAAATGTAAATGACCTAAATTTGTATTTTTAAGTTACTGCATGTCATATAAGGCAGGATATTTTAGATTAAAAACAAGCATGTCATCTCTACATCATAGAAGCAGGTCATGTATTAATTGCTAAGCAGCATAAATCAGGTCATCATTTGCTGTTTATGAGTTACTTTTATGAGATGTGGACAACTCATATGTTATAAACAAGAGACAAGAGGGAAACATTACAAATGTTATCCTGTTTTTTCTAACTGGTAAAGGTACATGTTATTAAAATAGTGACCTGTCTTTAGATTTTCTCCCACGACTGCGACTCCTCGAGTGGGACTGGCTTCGGCTACGCTTCTCCTTATGACGGTCCCGACTTCGACTGCGCTCCCTATCTTTGTCCCTGAGACAAAAAATTGTGAGATGTAAGAATAGTACTAGGATTCAGTTTAAGTGATCCAACTGGAATAAACTACGCTCAACCAGACCAAATCAGTAAGTTTAATGAAATTCAGTTGAATATTGTTGTTAGTGCATTGAACTTGGGATAGTCCAATTTAGAAATAAACCAAGTTTATGGTTTAGAATTTAGAAAATTCAAAAGTAGTTACATTCACAACATAAAAAGAATTATTCAGAAATGATATTCATATGGAAAAAGTGAAAACAGGAATACTCAAATTTAGAAATGTTCTCATTTTGAAGTCTATTGAAAATAAATGTGACAACCCTTGCAACAAATGTGACATGATAACAGATTTCTATGGACAATAAAATCACTATATGTAGAATCCTTACAGTGCTTACTATAAATATGTAACTCAAGATCTAAGGGTGGGCAAAGACAGAATACAAGCTTTAGACACAGTGAGTGCCACCTATCACCTACCACAGTCTAATGATAAACGCTATGGACACCACGGGGATTTTCATCATATTGACTGGTGCCCACCCCAGGATGCGCGTGGAGATTTTAATCTTTGCACAAAGACATGTCTTAAGATACACCATGAGCCTTTCTTAAGGGTCCAGCCCCTTCCCCCTGGATAAATTTTCCAATGGTGGACACAGTTAGTAAATATTAACTATACAAGATATAACTGTTTAACTGACCTCTTGGAACGGTGACTCCGATCTCTATCGCGGCCCCTATCGCGGTCTCGCTCGCGGTCCCGGTCCCGGTCCCGGTCGCGGTCGCGGTCACGATCTTTGTCACGATCTCTATCGCGATCACGAGTCTTTTCGCGATCTCGATCCTTATGGCGATCCCGATCACGGGAGCGACTTCGGTCACGATGTCGCGAGCTCATTATATATTTATACTTGTAAACTAGTACAAAATCAAAATATAATCAACAAATATTATTACACTTTAAATTGTAGCTCTGAACAAATCACAGTACACCCGCGTGGTACAAATATGGCAAAATTATTATTAATGTGTTCTATAAATCTATAAGTTTACTAAATACCATATTTTAAATTAATATCCACATTCGTAAATAAAGTGTGTACGATAAAAAGAAAGAATAGTTTTATTACTCATAGCAATATGTTATAAATAAACTCCCACAGATTACTAGATAGAAAAGCTTGACGTCAATTGATGTTGACATTGACAATTGTTTGTGTGAATTTTGAGAATGGCAACTTCTGCACTTAGGTTTTGTCTAAGAGCAAGAAACTACATAGAAGGAAAGATAAAATAAAAAAAAAAGTAAATCGTATGGTTGCCTCCTTTCTTTTTAGGCAAATATAATTAGTAAAAAGAGGATGTAAAATACATCATCAGTTGCTGTTCTTGACAGTTCATAGAAAATGTTATACGCCCATATAATCCTACCAAATTCAGATACAACCTGCTTGCAACTTTCTACATAAACTTTTCTACAAAAATTTTCGATATAAAAATACATTTCTTAAACAGTGTCAAGTATATAATCTAGTAATGTAAAATTTGTTATTGACATGTTTTGTAGTAGTAAGTAAGAAGTATATAGTATTATATTATCTGTGGTAGTATTAATGTATCCACGACGGGAACGGCAAAGGAACTAAGCTGTACAACCTGATGTTCAGTGTGAATTTTTATTTTGATGTTTGGCAACATCGATATCCTTAATCGATTAGTTAAAAAATATATATATATATAAATTCTTCTACAGTTAGATTATCCTTTTGGTATTTTGGGTAATCAGTTTCATTCATTTTTTATTACATAACATGATTACTACCTAATCTATAAACTACTTAAATGCATTTTTTTTCTACAATATTAACGGTTAAGTGCTAATATACTCATAATACATAATATTAGTTTTAGTTTTACTAATTGCACAGCAGAGGTCGTGCCAACCGTCGGTTGCTTCAGTAATATTAACTTCAAATCGCTTTGCGGGGGAAACACTAACAATAATTGTTAATTGATTTTAATCTACACTATCAAATTTATAAATAGGTACCTATGTATGCTTAGCAAATTTAAAAAAAGTAGCTCAGGAAGAAAAATTGACAATAATAGGTATTATAATAACAGTTTTATGTTTCATTGCTAACAATATAAATACACCTTCATTACTAGTCATGTAATATATGTATTTTTACAAACTTTTATTATTATTACTTGTATTCCAAAAAAATTTCAAAAGTACCTAACCAATTTTTAAAATACATTCACCTATATTAGCAGTAACACGGGCAATATATTAAGATTGGCCGTAACCGATGCAAGTCGTTAGTATATTAAAAAAAAAAACAATTATACTTATGGTCACTAGATGGAAAGTGGTAACCGTTGCTTATAGATATGAATAGAACCAAGGACATATCAGTATATACTGTGGCGCTCTTAATACCTCTTTTGCCTTGCCATTCCTGAGTGTTATCTTTATTAAATATTGATTAAATTGTTACAACTGTAATTTCACTGATATATCCCACATTTCAAACTGAAACATAGCCTTGCGAGCATAGCTGCTTCACAATAAAAATATGAGTAGGACAGAATATTAATTCACACACAGGGCTCTGACTACTTTATTTAATCAAGTATCTCTCTATCGTCTATAAAAAAATAGGTTTTTTTTTTTTTTTATATCATCAAGGTGACAAACGAGCATATAGTCAGTCTGATGGCAAACAATCACTATAATCTATACCTATGGACACATGTAACATCAGGCATAGCACGTGCACGTTTTAGACCCGGAAAAAACCATATTCTTTTTGAAAACTTCCATACAGTAATCTCTCTAACTACAGTACATTTTTAACTGAAAATGGAATGGTTACCCCGTCTGCGCTAATGGTATGCACTGACAAGAGCCACCAATGAGGAATGATAGATAATGATGATACCAAATCATTTAGCCCATCATAACAAAGTAAACAAGGGGGAACCGCATGGCGGTAGACTTGATAGTATCCTATCGATGCTTGCTAACAATTAACTTTTTATTATAATACAATGGTAAACCCGCCTGCGCTATCGGCTGTCAGTTCCTATTACTAACAATACCTTTCTCCCAAATGGAATGGTATCCCCGATTGTGTTGTGGTGTGTCGATGTAGCATTACTATTATTTTATGCCACATTAGGTATGTCGCATAAACTGGCTGGGTTAATGATAGGTGAAGATAAACTCAGTTGGCTCATAGTGACAAATTTACTAGCACAATGGTTTAAGGGCAAGCGAATCGATAAATAAAATCGTCATCAGTAATGAGTGCATAAGAATACATTAGAATCGTTACAAGTCTTATGGAGTCGCACTGCATGGAGGTAAATCACTAGCTATTTCATAATTGAATAAATCCTTGGCTATATACTCTTTGGAATAAATAAAAAAAGTTCCAGGTTCATCATTATATTTTAAAGGTCAAAATACATTTTCTTACAACTTGTAACAGTTCAATCATACTTAATTACAATTTAGAACATGTTATTTCAGTACAAAATGTCACAAAAAAAAAAAAAGATACAAAATGCTGTAAATAATTATTAAAACAGCTTTGAGCTTACAAACAAACTAGTAAAAAGTTGCGCCTGTCATTACATTTGAGTAAAATTATATTACACCAGCTCCTGTGGAGTGTGACTTTGTACAGATCAGCACCTGCTTAATATTTCAGTAACTGGTAGCAAGATAATTTTAACAGAGCATGAAATAATTGTACAATTTTTAGTAGAATAAAATGTCCCATCAACAAACCAAGAAGTCAAACTTAATTCTAATACAATCATATTTAAATCTCCTTAATCCTAGAATAGTTCTAATCCTTATAAACTAGCAGTAAGTCCGGACCAACAGTTTTCTGTAATCACTCCACACTCCACTGTCCTGTTCAACATCACTATCTTGAAGACAACTATGTTTACCAATCAGGTGATGAATATTAGAAGCTGGTTGCATCACGTCCGGAATCAAATGCAGTATGAAATGTATCAGATATACCTGCAATTATAATTACATATGTGTCAAAAGCTACAATTGTTTTATTTAACAATACCTACACCGACTTATATAACTGGTCAGTACGACCAGTTGTTATAAGAATGGCAACATTATTATCAATTAGCAAAAACAATGAAATTTCCAATATTTCTGAACTAGAAGTATCCCATGGCTTACATCATGTGACATTGAATAAAGAGCTATAAATGCAAAAAATATTGTTAAAATCTGACCAGTTGACTGAAGAGAGTAGCATGTTCAAATACAAATTTTTCCTTTTTATATATTAGTACACATGATTATTTAAAAAGTGACTCCCTATTATTCTTGTTTTTATTATTAAAAATTATTGTGTAAAATGAAAGTGGTTAAAAAGTGACTGTTGAATGAACTAAAATAGTCATAAGATGGAATATTTCATTTTCACCTAATGGTTAGCTGGTAGGGAATGCCATATGGCAATAAACTCTGCATTTGTACAAAGTTTTATTGTGCAATAAAGAATAAATAAATATTTAGAATTATTAGTATATAGATGTTGATCAATTTAAGCCATGTAATATAATTACACTCATGGTTTATTAATAAATAAGTATATATAATTTAATAGGTTCCTTAGACACAGCCTTAACCAATATGGGGACCATAGTTAAGCAATTCTGTAACTTTATTTTGAATAAAGATTATTATTATTATAATTCAAATGTAACTAACCTTAATTAGACGGGTGCTCCTGGACCTCCCTTTTTCCCAATGAGTGACTTGTGTATGTGTGGAATGACACCACCTCCTGCAATGGTGGCTTTGATCAGACTGTCAAGTTCCTCATCTCCTCGGATGGCAAGCTGCAAGTGACGGGGTGTGATACGTTTCACCTTGAGATCCTTAGAAGCATTGCCTGCCAACTCCAGCACCTGGTCATGAAACATTTCATATTAAAGATCCTTGACAAGTAAAGCATTTGGATGTTGTAGTATGGGCATTATATTGGAAGATTTATAAAGGTGAATATAATTATAGAACTTAATATTCAATTGTACAGATATGGATTGTAAACATTCTTAGTATATTATTACATCATTCTTATTTTCTGTCTAATAGTATTAGTACTTATCATTATTAAGCAATATTCTGGCCATTGAAGAATAATTACTACGACAAGATTTTAACAGATAATAATGTCCAGAATCTGTGGAAAATTATTAAAAGTGCATGAAATAATGTTTATGTCATAAGTCTCATCATTTATAATTCATAACAGACTGAAGTAACAGTATCCAAACATATAATTTATACTGAAAATGATGTAATGAGGAGAATGCCATTAATTCTGTGGGTCATATTCAGCAGATAATGTTTCATACCTGACAGTAGTATTCTTAAATACTATATTTCCTACATGAAATAGTTAATAATAACAATAAATACTACTGGACATATTACACAGTATTGCATCTTCAATTAACCAAAGCTTATTTATAATAAACATAGGCATACTTAAGGGGGAGCCGGGTGGGATATGTTTGACACAGAATGAAGTGTGGAACTTTTAGCTATGAGTAAAAACATCTCAGACTACATAATGGCCTTTTTTAAGAAACCAGACCCCCACCCCCTGGAATATAGGCTTAAAGACACAGATGATTACAAACACTTTTTTAAAGTATTAGTACATATACATTAACAATAAAAATACCCTGAAGATCAGTAATACACATGAATAAAATTGTATTATGTTGGAATTGAACCTAGAACCATTTGAAGAACCAAAATAAATCTAAGTATTTTGAACTTTGATGACAAAAATTTAGAAATTTGGAAAGCAAAATACAAAGTAGATAGATACAAATTTGTAAATAAGTAGTAAATATATGGAGAAATTTTTCTATAAATGTTTTAGCTTTGTAAAATCATGTAGCAATATTTACATATTCACTGAAAATTGTCCGGAAATAGTGATGTCAATTACGAGGACTCCGCAACGAACGCTCACATGTATTATTAATAAGCAATAAATGATTTTGGTGTTTTAATCTAAGCTAATAAGTTTGATATAGCGAGTAACAAAATTGTTTACTAAATAACTATATCAACAATTTTTCCCGCCAAATTGGATTACAGTATAACAAACATTTCTGATAACTAAAAACTAAAATAAGGTGAACCTTACGAAAATGAACATAATAAAGATTTTAAAGAAGTAGGCCAATGTATAGTGATTTTCCAAAATTATCAGTATTTCATGTAATTGCGATAGAACAGCAGCCGCCATATTGATAGGGCGTCGCGTACTTACTTCAGCCGTGAGATATTCCAGAATAGCTGCAGAATAAACAGCCGCCGTAGCTCCAACACGACCATGGCTCGTGGTTCTGTTTTTAAGATGTCTATGAATTCTTCCCACGGGGAACTGAAAAATATTGATATATCAGACCTCTTATTGATTATTTCCCCCAGAACAATGTTGAACTGTGGCCGCCATAATAGAGAGGTCATGCGTATTATTAAATTTTATGAAATACTGTTATCACTTGTTAATCACAATAATTTCGATTTGTAAATTCCTAAAATAAATAAAGAAAGTTTTAAAACATACCTGTAATCCTGCTCGCGCTGATCTGGATACAGCTTTCGCCTTGGCTTTGCCTGAATCTTTGCCCGCTTTACCACCAGCCTAAAATTATCGAAAAATCCCATTAATTTTCGTCCTACAGAGCTGAAACTTCGCTAGTAGGTTTATTACATCACTAGGCAACAAAACACATATTTAAAACTTCACTATATTCAATATATTTCACGAAATCTTGCAAAACTCACCATTTTGAAACGTGTAAGTAACAATCACTATTAGTGTGAGGAAACCAACACAGGAAAGGCGGCAAGGTAAATCAACTACACACAAAGATGGTAGCGCCGCTGCCGCGCAACGCTTACAGGTTGACCAACCGTACTTAAACGGAAATGTCGTAAAACAGGCAACGCTGATCAAAAGTCCACCAATCAGTGTCAGTAAAAATGGCGGTCAGCACTGTGCTGCCAAGCTACTGGTGGAGATAATGTGAACTAAATTATTGTCCGTAAGCGTTTCGTTTTACGTGCGTACCTAGGCACAGTAGTAAGGTGATGTTATACATATTAATTATTACTTAATATTATGCAATTTTTTATTACTTTTTATTTTGTCTTCTCTTTGTATTATAAACGTGTATTTTTTTAAAATGAAAATGTGAAATGGTAACTCAATGTTTAAACTAGCTAAAATAGTAATAGTTCTAAGAACGATGAAAAAAGCCATAAGTTTGGGCGTTTTCGGTTTAAATTAAAATTTTATTTTAATCTATTGTGTAAATCTTACTGACTTCAAAACCTTCTTAATACTACTATCTCTCCTTTATTCCGGTTTTGGCACGATTTACAATATTTGTTTGTGTAATTTTTAAACTGTTGAACACATTTTAGTAAGGCTGATATTTTAGCGTGTGTCAAAATACTACACTAATATTCTTTAAGATTTTAAAATAAATGGCTTGTAAAATATATTTTATTTTTAACATAAAAGCCTGAGTTTCCTTTCGTCTGAAGTTCCTGAGCCTTTCGTCTGAGATATTAAGTTTGGATATATGATGTCGTGGACTTTTTTATGAAACGATGATTTTATTTATTTAAAATTGTACATATTAATTATTAAAAATATATATTTACCAAAATATAATAAATAGTTTATAGCACTCAGGGATAATGTACCTTTCTAATAATGAAAGAATTTTCGAAATCGGACGAGTATTATAGTATCGAAGATTACACCGAACATCCAAACTTACTAAATTTACCACTTTATAATATTAACTAGCGATCCGCCCCGGCTTCGCACGGGTGCGCATTACATCACATCACATTAGAAACCTTTAGAATTATCAATGTTTCTCTACTATATTATGCATGACACATTATAAACCTTCTTCTTGAATCTTTATATGCATAGTACATGCATATATCAATATCTATTAAAAAAAAAAAACGCTTTTAACGCGTTTTTTTCTGTTGCGTAGTTTTAAAGATCTAAGCATACATAGGGACAGACAGACGGGAAGCGACTTAGTTTTATATTATGTAGTGATGATAGTGATATATGCATGTTTGTATACATTAGTATCTTTATAATGGTACGTTGCCTGCCCTTTGTTCTTTTCTCAATGTCCTCTACCCAAAGGTTGTTTAGAAGAGATTGCTTAACGATAAGGCCGCCTTTTGTATCACTTCTCATTTATATTTACTGTATGTATTATTTATTTACTTGGTGTAAATAACTAAATAAGCAGCAGTTGCCGTTACTCATAACTTGTTTAAATGAGATGATCATGAGTCCCGACTGTTTTCGGTCACGGCGACCGCTTCGACTGCGTTATTATTAATTTATTTGTTTGCATAGGGGGCTGTTGTCCCTCAAACCTCAAAACCTCAAAATAATGATAGGGACAATAATGGGCCATTGTCCATTAAACAAACATTTATACACACACACACACACACACACATTGTTAGGAATGGAGATTGACACCCCTATTGTTAGCAACATACCTTATTAGGTCGACCTCCACGTGGTTCCCCCTGGAAACCATCGTGAACAATTCTTATTGAATTTGTCACGATGGGCTAACTGACCTGCTTCATCCTCACCTATCATCCTTCACTGGTGCCCCGCCGGTGTATACCGAAAGCGCGGGTGGGGTTACCATTACATTATCACCCATTAAAAAAAAAATAGGCCTAATGGGGTCTGTTCAGTGGCACCTGATGAGGCAACATTTTTGTAAACCTATTTCTTAACCTGTAATTTAAATTTGATAGTTTCGCAAAATAACTGTTTTATGGACTATCATTATCAATCAGTCATTGACCGTGGTGTCCCACTGCTGGGCAAGGGGCTCCTTCAATCGCTTCCATTTTGCACGACCGCTAGTCAAGATGTACCATTCTTTGTCTAACATCAAAATCTGAAATAATCATTTTGATATAAATCTATTAGAAATTCAGTTCATAACAGTCTTTAGACCATATCAATTTGAAATTTGAGTTTTAGAGATAGGTTTAAACAAACGGCGCCTCAGAATTGACACCAGTGAGTGAATAAAATTATTGACTTTTTTTATATTCGACTGTTAAGAGAGCCTCGCTAAGAATCGTTTCGTATGATACGTAGCTTTTCATCATTCATATCCACTGTTGTACATAGGTCTCCCGGTCTAGAATTCCTCCCTCCCTGCAGCACATTTCATGACATCGCGTCCAGTTGGGGATTTCAACTTTACATTGCGTTTTCCTGTTAGCCACTCATCGTGAGGTCTTTTACCCCAATTTCAAGTAAGTGACGAGGCAAAAATTGAATGTGGGCGAGATATATACTGCACATATGCATATATGTACATTTTATTTGTGAAATAAAATTTAAATTATTTAAAATTGATGCTGTTTGTTACGTCATCATGAGAGAATGTGCAAAATCTGCAAGCTACAAATTGGCTGTACAGCTACAAATTGGCTGTACAGCCAATTTGTAGCTTGCAGATTTTTTTTTTTTTATACAACTTAGAATGGCAAACAAGCTGACGGCCCACCTGATGGAAAGTGGTAACCGTTGCCTATAGACATGAGCAGTATCATGGACATAACAGAGTATACTGTTTCGCCCATGATACTCCCCATGCGTTGCCACTCCTGAGGACTCAGGTGTTATTCCTCTGTACCCAGTAAATTCACGTCATATCCCACCCTTCAAACCGAAACACAGTCATGCCAACACAACTGCTTCACGGTAGAAACACGAATGGGACAGAGGTACCCAAGCAATCGACTTTTGTACAAAGTCTCCCTCTGGTAAGCAGTAACCTTGCAGATGTATCCAGATCATGTATAAGAAACGATATTGTTATGGTTTGAGTGATTTTTTTTATATATATATAAAAAGTGATATAAGTAAACAGAAATATTGGTGTAAATTATTTATTAAAAACATTTACATTTATAACCTATAGTAATAATTAATTTGGCTCGATCATCACAGTACTGCTATTTACAAGAGTGTTTATTATTTGTAACAAATGTAATACGATCGTATGTAAGACATTATAGATAGAGTACTTAATAAATCATTCTTCTTTTTTCTAATATAATTTTTGTGTAGTTCTAACTTAGTACAAAGTATCGGCAGTGTGAGTGTAGGCGGGCCGCGCCGCGCCAGTGACCTGCGCCGGCGCCGCCTTACGCGTTCGGGTCGTCCACGAACTCGTCACATCGGTCCTCTAGCTCCGACTAGAAAAGGAAATACATTTAGTTAATATAATTAAAATCTGTAGCGGAACATATATATTTGGTGATATTCCAATTAAACATTTATTTTTAATTAGGCTTATGTACAAAAGCTTCTTTAAAACCGTTATTTTTTATATATATAATTGAACTGTATATTGTGTCAGTATATAATATTTCGATCAACCTGCAAAGAGGTGGAAATGGATAAAAGGAGGTTAAGTAACGCGGACTACAAATTTACCCATTGCTAATAATATACTCTGTCAGTTCGACCTCCAAATAGTTCCCCCTAGAAACCATCGTGCTGAATTCCAGGTGTATTCATCACGATGAGCTAACTGACCTGCCCTTTCATCCTCACCTATTATCCCTCACTGGTGCCCCGCCAGCGTATACCGATAGCGCGGGCGGGGTTTCTTTTCTATTACCATCCTTTAAAAAATAATCTTTACCTACTTTTTATGATTCTGAAAGTAATTTCAATACTAACATTAACTTAATAACTTTAGCTAATAACATTATTATAAAAAAAAGAATAGTGACAAGTCTATAGGCGACAGTACCACTTTCTATCAGGTGCCCACCTTGTATGCCATTCTAAGTTGCATAAAAAAAAAACAAGAAAAAAGTGAGAATTAAGATAGTACAATCGACAAAATGGGAAAAATTAACTAGGAATTAACTGAGATGTGTTCCAAGAGGGGCTGCGTGTACGTTGACTCGGTAGAATTTACTGCTAGCAATGGACAGTAGCACCCCCATTGCTAACAATCCATTCGATGTCTTATGTGAGTGGAGTGGAAGGGTAAGGCAGGTGGCAGGTGGCAGGTGGCAGGTGGCAGTTGGCAGGTGTGTACCTCGTCGAGCTGCAGGCACTTGCCCCACTCGGCGAGCGTGATGCGGTGGTCGTCGTCCTCGTCGCAGTGATCGAGGAACGGCGCGATGCAGTGCTCCAGCGCCATCAGCGGCGCCCGGATCGGGAACAGCTCGTGGCGGGACACGTATCTACGCGACACAATACAATCTCTTCATTAGAAACTCTTCCTATTTTTGTTTTATTCTACATAAATTGATGCACATGTCTTCACAAAGCGCTTTTATATTAGTTAACGATGTCCTCCTATCATGTTTGTTTCCGTAAAAAAAATATATATATTTACAACACAGGGAGCAAACGAGCATGCTCACCTGGTGATAAGTGACTACCGCCCATGATCACCCACAACACCAACGGCATTGCAGGTGTGCTGCCGGCCTTTGCTCTTTTAAGAATATGCTCTTGAAGGTTATGTTGTCGTATCGGTTCGAAAAAACTGCTGCTGGAAGTTGATTCCAAACAGTGGTTGTGCGTGGAAGAAAGTGCCTTGAAAAACGCACGGTGGAGGACCGCCACTCGGCCAGATGGTTGGAATGAAACTTCAGTTTATGGCGGATTGTACGATGGTGAAAATCAGCAGCAGGTATCAATCCGAACAATTCCTCAGAACACTCCCCATGATAAATTCGGTAGAAGATGCACAGAAATGCAACATCTCTACGCAGTTTCACCGGCTCGGAGAACACTGTATCTTGGATATTACTTATGGACTGCCACGATACAGGTTCGTATAGTGAGGGCTCCAGTGTATTCATGTTGTATATTTCTTGTATTTAATTAATAAAAAAACAAAAATAGGAATTGATTGCTGAGTAAATGTATTACAATACAGTGTTGTAGTATTGGACTGCAAAAATTAAGCAAAGAGATATTAGTACTTTGAAGAGTAATCCGGCCACTTTGCTTACTGTCGTTTCGTTTTCAAAAGCTTACTAAGGAGCATTGGAATAGAATCGGAACAATTAATAGATATCATCAAATTTGCGTTTAACTGTCCACTGCTGGACATAAGCTTCATCCACGGTACTGCTCATGTCTATAGGCGACGGTTACCACTTTTCATCAGGTGAGCCGTCAGCTTGTTTGCCATTCTAAGTTGTATAAAAAAAACAAGTACCTAAGTGAATCGATACAAGTTGAGTGGTATGTAATGGCGATAGAGTGTGAGAGGTATTGTGGTTTAGATTGGACGCTGGTGGACTGTGGTAGTCACACGGTGGCTGGCGAATAGCGTGTGGCGTGTGGCGTGTGGGTGGCAGCGAGTAGCGGTCACCTGTCGTTGTCGTGCGCATCGAGGTCGCACCACTTCCATATGGCGGCGTTGGCCCAGCGGCGCGTGAGGTTGGACTCGGCCTCGCGCTCCATCTGCAGGTAGTGCGGCGTGAGCTCGCTGCGCTCGGCCATGTCGCGCATTATGTTGAACAGCCAGTCGCGCATGCGCCGCGGGAAGTCCGACATCTCGCTCTCGCTACACTCCTGCGGGCCACAGTTCGCACCTTACATTACCATGTCTTACGAGGAATTTATTGTCGACTCTCTATTCCCAATACCTTCTAACTAACAGGAACAACATTTTCATGAAGACAGAAAATATCTCGACTGTAAATTTGTATGATGAAATCAAAAAGTAGTTATTTCATTGGCGTATTTAAAAATATATTCCAGCTTGGCCCCTTAATAGACACATTATTTAGTCTCATGTACATACGTCTTTACGCATAGCTGAAAGCTTTACTTGCGTCCTGGGTTGGGCTGGATTAAAAACTTATCTATAACAAAACTAGCGGCCCGTCTTGCCTTCTCACAGCTGGAGATTTTTACAACATTTTAAAAAGTGGTTATTGTAACATAACGATAATAGTTGGACATAGAGTATCGCAAAGTTTTTTGTAGTTATTGATATTTTCTTCAATATTGTAGAACATACTTTTGTTCTATCATCAATAGTTTCTACAGCGCATGCGACGAAAGATATTTTATAGCATTTTTTACACCTTGAGTTACGTTACCAAAGTTTTAGTAAGGACCCCTAATGTTTTCTAGCAATAAATATAGCCTATGTTACTCAGGGTGAATGTAGCTTTCTAACAGTGAAAGAATTTTTAAAATCGGCAAAGTAGTTTTTGAGTTTATTCATTACAAACATACATATACACAAAAATACAAATCTTTCCACTTTATAATATTAGTGATAGATGTAGATTATCGAGATCAAATGTCTGCACCTTGTATTTTCACTGCTAAAAAAATAGGAACGAAATTTCACATACAAATTATATCGTAAATTAACAGGATACTTTTCATCCTAATTGAAGGAACAAAAGGGTGATATAGAGCGAGTAAAGTGGTAAGGAGGCAGGCAGTGGCGCCGCTCACGGACCGGCATCTGCTTGCAGGTGCCGTAGTACTCGATCTGCACGTGGTGGTACTGCGGGCCGCGGCACAGCTCCGAGTTGTCGAGGCACAGGCAGCGCTGCCGGTACACCTCGCAGTCCGACGACCACGTCTCATTGTAGTTCGTGCACACCTGTCACACAAACAGCCGCCTCATTACACTTTCATTGCATGCGGGCCACGTATGACAAGATAAAAAAAAATGCAAGTAAATAAAAAAATATTTGACTTATTTGAAGTATTTATTTTTATGTTTATTACCTTCTCCGATATATATATATATATATATATATATATATATATACATATATATACATATATATATATATATATATATATATACACACACACACATATATATATATATATATATATATATATATATATATATATATATATATATATAACATAAACACCTATTTGGAAAATTCTTTTTTTATCTGAAAGTAAATATACACTTACAGATATACAGACTGCGGATATCAACGTTTTTCAATAATATTGTAACCAATGTTTTTTGTCTAAAATAAAGAATTATTATTATTACTTACAGATTATTCTCATAAAATTTTTATCATAATCGGTTCAGTAGTTTAGTTTTTAAATCAAAACAACAGGTTTTGTCACAAATGAAGTTTATTTTTTTGTACAACACAATCTTTAATTATATAAAAAAAAAAACTTTATTTATTTTTATTATAAAAATTTATCTCGCAAGGTTCGCTTATGTTCTTTATAAAAAAATCCTCAAAATATGAATCAGGAAAATATAATAAGGCGCGGGGTTACCTTCCTGCGCTGCTCAGTTTCATAGGGGCACTCCTTGATGCAGTTGCAGACGGCCTCGCCGTGCTCGTCGATCTCGCACACGCGGCCCGCGCTGCAGTGCACCTTCAGGCACGGGTCTGCACCACACATACACAAACACACACACACACACATAAAGTTTCTCTCCAACTAATATTTTGCAAGGATGTTTGGTACTCAAACAGTTGAATAGATTTAATGAAATTGGAACATGGGTTAGGATACATCCTAACTGAAGACATACTTTATACGCTGATACACGCGGACAAAGCCATAAGAAATGGCTAGTTATAGATTAAAACTTTCCTCTAATATTTTATAATATGTCCCATCTATGATTCTACCATTCTAATACCAAGCAGATGCGCTTGCATGGCTGTGTTTCGGTTTGAAGGGTCGAATATGACACTAAAATTACAAAGTACGGTATAGAAATGGGTACTATAGACGCTGTAGTGTCCAAAGAACTTATCAAGAAAGAGAGGGAGGCTGAGTGAGAGAGAAAGAGAGACAGAGAGAGAGGTATAAAATTGTATGAAGAGATTTAGTTGTTGTTTGAATCTTACCGTCGAGGTACACTTCGTGGTCCGGGTCACCGTTGCGGGTCACTTCGTTCAACAGTTTCAATACACGGGCTTTCTCCGAATCCTAACAAAAATAGGTACAAATTGTCATATATATATATATATATATATATATATATATATATATATATATATATATATATATATATATATATATATATATATATATATATATATATATATATATATACAATGTGAAATTTGATACAAACAGAAAAAATTATATTATGTGTGACTCGGGCTCCTATCACCCCTTCTCCCCCTGTAAACAAGTACGGTAGATATACAGAAGGATTTTGAAGATAAGGGCGACTCCATTATCATTGCCATATTCAGCTATTGCAAGAGGCAGTAACAATGAAGTTTTTATTTGTAGTTCCGCAGTGCGGAGAGGCTCACATATCTAATGTCTAGAAGATACAAGTGACGGAGAGTATTATCCATATTAAAAAAGTTCTTTCCAATGTCAATCAAGTATGATTATTATTATTACTTATGACTATTATTGATTAGAAGATTGTCATTATTGTGTTCTCATTTATTTATTTACTCTCTATTACACAATGAAACTTTGTACAAATGCAGAGCTTAATGTCATATGACATTCTCTACCAGTTAACCATCTACCAGTTACAAACAAAAAGCGTACGAAGGGCAGATGTAGTGAAAAATATGTGACATAATTATAGCAACATACTGAAATTTATTTAATATGTGTATATTATATATTTAATATATATGTACTTATGATTGTTGTTTAAATCTCTGTTTAGCACTACTACTGCCCGCTCACTACTTCCTACGCTACTGTGTTTTTTTTTATGGGTGAAAATGCTATGGTAACCCCGCCTGCGCTAACGGGATACGCTGGCGGAGCACCAGTGAAGGGTGATAGATGAGAATGAAAACAGGTCAGTTAGCCCATCATGATGAATTCATCAGGAATTAACCATGATAGTTTCCATGGCGAATCGCGAGGAGGTCGACCTGGTTGGGTATATTGCTAGCAATGGAATTCTTAGTCTCCATTACTAACAATCACTTTCCCCCCACGCTACTGTGTTAGGTTGACTGGAAGAGATCTCGTTTAAAGATAAGTTCACCTTTGCTTGTATCGTTTCGAATTATTATTACTGTGTGTTTTAGTGCAATAAAGAATATATAATAATAGAGTTACCTGGTACTTCTTCTCGTCGAGCCGCTCGGCCATGCCGAGCTCGAGGTGCTCCGCCTCCAGGTCGTCGAGGTCGGTGGCGGCAGCGGCTTCCTCCGCGGCGCCCGCCCGCTCCGTCGTTGTCGTGGTCGTGCGCAGCCGCTTGTGGCGCCGCCGGTGTCTCTGTGTCGAAATTTATTATACAATTAGCACAGGGACACTTTGTTTACTTCTGCTATTGGTTTCCTCGTGTTGTGTTTGCATGGCTGTGTTTCGGTTTGAAGGGTGGGATATGGCGTGAATTCACTGGGTACAGAGGAATAACACCTGAGTCCTCAAGAATGGCAACGCATGGGCAAAACAGTATACTTTGTTATGTCCATGGTACTGCTCATGTCTATATGCGACGGTTACCACTTTACATCAGGTGGGCTGTCAGCTTGTTTGCCATTCTAAGTTGTATAAAAAAAAAGACTGGAAGAAATCCCTTTAAAGGATAAGTCCACCTGTGTACATTTTTGCTATAACCTAATATCTATACTGTAAGTGAATGTACAAATACAGATAAATAAATAAATAAATTTATAGTAGATTATAAATATAAGTGAACATAGTACGGGACAGCAGCTGGAACAGAGAGTGAAGTAGGTATACAATGACGTAGATAGTGCAAGAGAAAAGAAACCAACCTCAGCGTCAGCGGTGCAGATCACAGCGAGGAGCAGCGCCAGCAATACTAGCCGACCCTTCATTGTGGTCTCTGTACTGGTCCTAAAACAACGAACACATTTAATCTCATTTATTTATTTATTTAAGTATGTATTAGTAACTTAAAATATACATTTATATTTTAAGTTTTTTTTTTATGAATGATAATGAAATGGTTATCCCGCCTGCGCGAACGGTATACGCTGGCGGGGCACCAGTGAGGGATGATAGGTGAGGATGAAAAGACAGGCCAGTTAGCCCATCGTGATAAATACACTTAGAATTCAGCACGATGGTTTCCAGGTGGGACCACGGGGAGGTCGACCTGTAAGGGTATATTGTTAGCAATGGGACTGATAATCCGCATTACTAACAATCCCTTCCACCCCTATATTTTAAGTTACTAATACATACTTAAATTCACATTATTGCACGTATGCATATCTCTATATGTATTTATAAAACGAAGTTTCTTGTCTCCAGTTAAACTGTTTATAACTACTCCTCTCCATCCAAAGGTTGCCTGCAAGAGATCGCTCTTAGCGATAAAGCCGCCCGTTGTTTTCTTAGTGTAATACTTTTCTTGTAATTGTCTGTATTTATTATAAGTTTACTACAATAAAAAACATCTTATGAAGGGAACAATAATGAGTATATATGTAACTATTACGTACGTAATTGCATTTTCCGCTGTGATTCACTAAGTTACTATGAATGCTATCATGTATTAAATTTTATCGGTATTAACCACGATGTATAAAAAATTATGTTTTATATTTAATTGAATTTTGTAATAAAGAATATGTAATTATAAATTTAATTTATTATATTATATTAATTATATTATGACATTTATATGCATTTAATCTGTAATCAATGTTGTGTACGCCTGTTATAGGTGTGCATATCAGCGTGCTACACAAAAAATGTTTTTTAATTTATGTATAATATGTATACTGTTGGTGTGTCTAATTAGAAATAAATAAAAAAAAAAGAATGAGACCAACCCTACAATTAGTTTTTTGAAATTAGCCTATTAAAATGAGGGACATATTGGAACGAATATTGGGGATTTTTTTAGATATTTACTTATTTAGTTACAAAAACTTTACTGACCAAAAGAAAATATGGTACAAGAAGCGGACTTAATGCTAGTAGCATTCTCTACCAGACAACTTTTGGGGTATTTTTTTTTTATGGGTGAAAATGGTATGGTAACCCCGCCTGCGCTAACAGGATACGCTGACGGAGCACCAGTGAATAATGATAGGTGAGAATAAAAACAGGCCAGTTAGCCCATCATGAGGAATTCATCAGGAATTAACTATGATAGTTTCCAGGAGGAACCGCGAGGAAGTCGACCTGGTTGGGTATATTGCTAGCGATGGAATTCTCAATTTCCATTACTAACAATCCCTTTCACCCCACCTTTGGGGTATTAGCTTTTACCAATATTGTCGTCTATGTAATATGTTCATTGACCGGGGTAAAAGTAGCCTGTATCCTTCTTGATATCATTATAACACGTGTATACCACATTTTATAACGATTAGTTAAGCCAGGGGTTCTCAAACTTAGGCACACCCCACTAAGGGCCCTAGGAGGTGTGCGCACGTACCCGTGCGCCTCCTGAGACGGTAGGATGGGAAGGGCATTCCCCATCCTAAACACGAGAGGTGGCCTGCCCTACAACATCTACAGGGCGGACCGTCGCGTCGGGCTCCGGTCGTCTTCAACTCGGGAGCCCGGGGACCCGACATATGCGCCTCGAGGTACATCGTGAGGTTTTAGTGGGTAAAAATCCCACACACCCCCTCTGCCTTCCGTCCGGCAGTTGGGAAGGTCTTTGGAAGATTTCCTCACGTTAAAAAAAAAAGGGGTTCTCAAACTTATTTTGTCTACTGCCCACTTTGAGAATAAATTATTTTTTAGCGGCCTTCAATTTTTTTCACCTACTTAAAAACCACTATTACTTCAAATTAAATTAATCAATTATTGTGTAAATTAAAATTTTTTTTCTGGTTCTCTTACCGCCCACCTTTAGGCCTGCAGCGCCCACAAGAAGGCGTTATTGCCCACTTTAAGGAGTTAAACTGTTAAGGAATACAGAGGTAAAGAACGAACAAATACACTTTCATATTTGTAATATTAAAGTAAGAAGGATTCTTAAGATATGCAGTAGGATGAAAGTTAATTACATCATCATCATCATCATCATTTCAGTCTTTATCCGTCCACTGCTGGACATAGGCCTCCCCCATAGACTGCCATAAGGATTTGAGGTTGCAATGCATTTGAGGTCGTCACTCCATCTAGTTAATTACATACAAATTAATAATCAAGACGTTTCATTCATCACATTCGTGTGTAGTATATTTGAAATGGATGTTAACAAACTTATATATATCCTGTAATGTGTAGGTAATTAGGCAACACGATCCATGAATATTTTACTGCAATACCGCGCTATTTCGAAGCCAAGCTCGTTTGTTATGTACTCGTATGTTGACCACGCCACACCGCACCGCTAAAGTCGTCCACCGAACTCGTAAACTGAGAAATCGGGACAGCACCTTTAAATTGCACCATGAAGAAATTGTATATTTTCTCGACTTTCGACTCTCATATTCTTAAGTTTTCGCCGTTGTTATTGTCGTATAATTCCGGCATAGAATAGGTTAGAGTCGTAACAGATAATTAAGAGAACTTAATAGTCAAGAATTGGGCAACAGCATTTCTTTTAAAACTACACCAAAACTTAACTGTGATTGCCGGCCTGCCTCCCAAGCCTGGCAACTACTGGCACAAATTATCCAAGGGGGAGGCCTATATTCAGGGCTGTCCTGTTTCTTGACAGATAACAATTTTCCGAACCCTACGATATAAAAAGGACGATTTAAAAGTGCTTGTAAACAAGTTTATATGTAGAAATGAAATGAAATGAGATTTATTCGTAAAAAACATAACTGTAATTTCATATCTAATATTAATATTATAGTTTTATAAGGGTACAGTAGTTGTGGTTTTAGAACTGGGCTCCTAAATAGGTTAATATAATAATCAGTTTTAAGGGAAGGTTTATATGTAGAAAGATGAATTTAAATTGAAACATTTGAATTTTACCATATTTTATTTTTATTTATTCTTTATTGTACACAAAAAATTACAACATATAATATATATAAAATAAAGATGTACAACAGGCGAGCTTAACTCTGTAAGAGTTCTCTTCTAGCATACCCTGAGTGGAGAGGAGCATTAATTACTAGCGGGCTGTGTGCGTACAATAATAGAAGGAAACATTATAGATGTTTCTATTAAAAAATAATAAATATGTTGACATATATAAGTAACTCATACAATTAAAATAAAAAAAAAAATACATATCTGTAAACAATAATACATATACATATATACATAAACATAAAATATCTCTTTACATACAAAATACGTACATATACATACATAGACATAATAAGTTTATGAGGACAGCTGGATGCTCTTTTAATCTGCTCTTGAATATACATATGAATATGAACTGAATATAGTTCATATTCATATGTATTATTAAGACATTCTTTATTTCTTAAAGAGAGAGAAAGAGAGAGAGAGATAAATAAAATTACAATCGAGATATATGCAATGCTTTACAAATAGTACGCAGTGTAAACAAAATTAAACATGGCGACATTGGCGTTCTGTTGATGGTAATAATTGCAGATGAATTCATCGCCTAGATCATCATATCTGTCAGAGCTATAAAAATAATACGAACAAATTGAGTATCTGTACAGTCGGTAATGTGATATGTAAAACAAGAGCGCAAGTGGCGATGCCTCAGCACATCTACGGCGCGCCGATGATCTCATGTTGCACAGGAGTCATCTGTTTCACTCATCATTACGCTCAGGAGCCAGTATCATATTTATGTATCTGTTGGTAGCTCAATCATTTATGGCGTAAGTACAAAACAGACTAGTGTTAAATTATACTTATGTTCAATTTTTGCAAATCGGGCGTTGTGTTAAACACAGACAGAACCCCGGCCGACTGTGCTTCTGCCGGGGGTTAGTTGCCATCTCCTCTTCTTAAGAGGGGAGATGAGAATTTTAGTGAAATTTAAAAAAATAATAATAAAAATTCTTTATTTGGAACAAAAACATTGGTTGCAATATTATTGAAAAACGATGATATCCGCAGAAGTATAAAACTGTGTCGCGAACATCAACGCCCTCCTCCTCATTGCGGGATTCCAAAACAGACATTTAAAACGTATGGTAGCTAGTTACATCAACGAAGACATTTTGTCATATCTAGCAACCAACTACAATACTAATAAACTACTAATTACTACTTAAGTAAACTAATAAAAACAATGTTTTTTTAATGGATAATAATGAGATAAACGCCCCACCTGCGCTATCGGTCGGTATACACTGGCGGGGCACCAGTGAGGGATGATAGGTGAGAATGACGTCCGGTCAGCTGGCCCATTGCGATGAATTTGACAATAATTAATCACGATAGTTTCCAGGTGGAACCGCGTGGTGGACCACTGAACAGGGATATATTGCTAGCAATGGGGATTAACGTCCCCATTACCAACAATCCTTTTTCCCCGAAACCAATGATTAGAGAAACCAATGCGATTTTTGACATAGCATAACACTGACTCTTTAAGTGAGAGTCGTAAAGTTTGAGAGGCGATATTAATTGTAAAATTTGTAACGATTCCTTTTTCACATAAGTATGACAAATAACTTTATTTTTATGCAACTTAGAATGGCAAACAAGCTGACGGCCCACCTGATGGAAAGTGGTAACCGTCGCCTATGAACATGAGCACTACTATGGACATAACAGAGTATACTGTTTTGCCCATGATACCCCCCAATGCGTTGCCATTCCTGAGGACCCAGGTGTTATTCCTCCGTATCCAGTAAATTTACGCCATATCCCATCCTTCAAACCGAAACACAGCCATGCAAACAATTGCTTCACGGTACAAACACGAATGGGACAGTGTTGCCTAAGCAAACTACCTTTGTACATAGTCTCTCTCT